AGGGTTTTGCCCGTCGGTGATGTAAGAAGGCAAAACTGTGCATTTATATGCAGTGGAACCCTCTAAGCTGGACACCGCATTGCTCGGGTAAACTGTTGGATAGCAACAAACTCAGCAATGCTTATGCTGTCTACTTATGCCTAGTTACAGACAAAACCATTGGATATTATAGCACGAGGTCCTCCAACAGAACAAAGTGGTTCAATTGCACACCTCAATTGGAACCCACCTGGCTGTGGGATGGAAGAAAGTGTCCATACTAGTGGAGGTGTCGTTTTTTTTTCTGGGGTAATAAATTGCTTTAAAGAGCTGTTGTTTAGGAAAGGAAGGGTGTCCTAGTTCCGTTTCAGATGTGTTCTTTCACTGCTAATATAACCAACTTGCAACTACAGTGCATTAAGTTCTTACATAACTTCCCCATAATCTGATGTTTACTCTTTGGCAGGGATTGATTTACGATGACAATATTTTTGGGTTAAAAATGTGTAACTGTAACTCAGTTTTGTGTTAAAATATGTGTAACTGAATAGTGGGTAATAATCCCAATAGACCGTATATGTGGCTTTTATCACTGTTTGTGTGTCAATGGACAGTGTTTACAGGGAATTTCGTGATTAGTAAATGATACACGTTTGTTCGGATGGGCTTTGCCAAATACCTCCAGTATCATAGTCAATGCAACCGCAATGGTATCATTTAACGCCAGTCCGCCGGTCGTGTGCGGTACATTTTCACCGTCGATCGTGCACGGAACATGCGTACTTGATCCAATTCGTCACTTAATTACTGTAGGTTAGTGTGTAGGATGTTTAATATTGGTGAATGCCCAGACATGTCAAATGCATTACTTGTGGGGGTCGCCGCAAGTCTAGATAACATTCGTACGTACTACGTAAGTGGGTTATTCTTTGCCTTGGAGAATTAGTGTGAAATCCAATGCACACGAACTGCCGTGGCGTACACTCGTATGCGATATATACAGCCAGAACACATAGATAGAGATGTGTGTGAAATGAATAGCTCTGTAGGAAAATGTTTTCGTCGGGGAACAATGCAAGACACATTCTCAGCAGAAGCGAATAATGCGATTAGCGGAAGTCACACGGCGGGCATCAGTTACCAGGAATTTACTAGTGTTTATTTCTGCTCCACAAACACTCGCACAGAATCTGACGTAGTAATCCTATTACATCGTTCATCCCATCTACAAAGTTGCAGGTGCATATTACGCGTACTGTACGACACGGGCATTGCGTAGTAATTGTACGAATCTGGCGCAAGTTTTGCTGCCGTTCGCACAATCTCAACAAACATGTGCATCTGTCACGTTCTGCGAAGGTTGTTTACCGGTTTACCTCTCTTCTTCCCTTCACGCGATCGATCAACTTGCTGGCATGTCAGATTAACCACAGTAAAGAGCGAGGCTGGTACAGCATATATACACACATCTTTGAGAGTACGTATTACGAATGTGCCCACTTTCAAAGCTTGCATACACAAGCTAACATCAGCACCTATTACAGCTCAGCGCATAACAACATATTGTTATTGTTCCTCAACTATACACTAGTCATATACTTCTAAGTCTGTTTGGAGTTATCATCGCATGCTAAGAATTTAGCTCTTTGCAACATATTTCTGTGAAGAACATTCAACTGCTACCTATACAATATCGTGCATGCCGTGGTCTTTGCCAAAGACTTGCGAGGAACTGTAGCCATGTGTGCAGGACCCACCCATGACTTGCTCACTTACACTTATAAGGAATAACTCTGCGTGTGTACTAAATGGTTACTATATCGGCTCTGTATAAGGCCCTCTACCGATGTGTACTATAATTATTATAAACTTGAGCTAATGAATCAAACACCTGTTTTTTTAATACTGTACATCACCCGCCACGCAAACCGTTGCTTTATCACCATGCAAGCTCTGTTGACTATATCGGCTCTGTATAAGGCCCTCTACCGATGTGTACTATAATTATTATAAACTTGAGCTAATGAATCAAACACCTGTTTTTTTAATACTGTACATCACCCGCCACGCAAACCGTTGCTTTATCACCATGCAAGCTCTGTTGACTATATCGGCTCTGTATAAGGCCCTCTACCGATGTGTACTATAATTATTATAAACTGGAGCTAATGAATCAAACACCTGTTTTTTTAATACATCACCCGCCACGCAAACCGTTGCTTTATCACCATGCAAGCTCCGTTGCTACGTCAACTACATATTGTCTTACTCTAAAATATTTCTTCGCAGCGATCGTGTTTTGCAACAGCGTACACAATGTCTGTGTGGCTCAAAACCACACAACGCAGCTTGGGGGGTTTCACGAATCAATCCATTGATTTCCATAGCAACAGAGTGTCCACCTCAGCAAGCATGCAGTAATGAAATAAGCGTCGTTTGTGTTTTTGACGTTAGTTCCTCGCATGACATGCACTTAACGGTCTCGCTTGGGGGGGGAAACTCGAACTCACCACACCTATCTACGAGAGAATTGGCTTGCGTGTGAAATAATGTTAACTGCACAATTGCAACTCTACCAAACAGCCAAGCTACTCCAAAGAAACACGCCCTTCTCTAAGCTAGTTCGGTGCTTTTTGATGTCGTGTCGTTTTCTCTCCGCCTTTTCTGGCGGGTCAAATCGCTTCGGAACTTTCGTAAAATTCTTCTTTTGAATTTGTCTGAGTGCTTAGCAACATTGGCACGTTCCTGAGGATTGCTGGTCTTCAGAGAGTTGTGCTGCGTTGTTTGGCACGTGTACGTCGTTAACACAGCAACCGAAAAAGCCGGGGAACTACGTAAGACTGGAATAAGGTACGTTCCCTATGTTGGAGAGATTTTATTGGGTGGTTGATTACCTAGAGCTAGAAGAATTCACAGTGTCTGGGAAGCAAATCTATCAATTTTCACTGCCACCCATGTCTCCTGCCTTCACTTACTACGGCAGCTTAATTCGACATAGCTGTCAGCTACATTCCTCAATCTGGTTTTAATGGCTTTCTAGTCAGTTTCCTCGAGTGGGATAGTTTAGAGTTTTATATGTGCAGCGGTGCAGTAAAACAATATGAATATGAAAGTTAAAGGGTAAGTATGCAGGCTTGGGATGTGTACATACTATTGGATATTTCTCTACTGACTGGGAGTAAAGCCCTATGAATTATACTGATGACTGTGGCAACGCAAGGCAAGTGCTTATCAAAGAGTTCGGCTACCTTGTTCTTAAAAATCTCCCTCCCACCTCTCGAGTCTTTGACCCAAACTTTGTACTTTCCTAGCATCAGTTTTCTCATAATGGCTTGAATTCAAATGGAAAAGGGAAATGTATATCAGCATAATGTCACCTCTCAACCGGTTAGGCTGCAACACACAGCAATCAATGCAGGTCAAGGTTATATCAACATCGCCCAACCATGAACATGCATATCGCGTTTCAAAGCCTCTTTCAAGTGTACCATGGGCACACGTACGTATATATCACAAAAGTACACTGCATGTACTAATTATATTATTATTACCATTGCCATAACCATCAAGGCAGTAGGAGGCTACTGCTATTCAATGTCAAGTTGGCTATAACTAGAACTTCAGCTCACACTGCAGTACTGCACGTCAGATCTTTTGATCTCTAGAATTCCTCCATTTACCCTAGGGAATTTCAATTAGAACTGTGCTCGCTTGCTCGTGTATTTAACCAATGTAAGCTGCCGTTGGCCTGAAAATGAACGCGATTCTCGAGCGAGAAGAATGCCATCCGGCAACAATGCTCCATTTAACCTTTTTTTAACCTCCATTTGCTTTCTCACAAATGGGCTTCAATTATTAGTGGAAAGACACCATTATTTTTTGCAAAGTAAACATACGAATGAATGGGCACTGTGCTTGGGAATGGATACATTCCAACGCTGAATAAACTAATCGAAATTCCTCTTCATTATTTAAGACTTTAGAGATGCCCACATGTCAACTGCATTGTATACGCAAGAGTTTTCACAAGGCCATTGCTACGTGTTTAAGATGTCGACTCAGGCAAATAGTTTCAACGTGTGCTTGCATAGCATAGGGCCCGGCTCTTTATTCTGTTAACAGTCTCTTAGGGCATGTTTTGACTTGCTTGCATAGCAGACATATTTGTCAAAAGTAACTTGCGGCGTGATTTACTATGTGGGTGTTACGCATCCCGGATTCCCTGTTTGCAGCACGTGTACCTCTCTGATCACACCTCTTGTAGGTGTTGGGACTTTCTGCCTGACTGGCCCACTCCTTCCCACCTCTCTTTATCATCTCTCTCTCTCTTTCTCTCGCCTTCTGGCCTCTTCCTATCCTTCATTCCTGGAGGAAATTGCTTTGAAATTGACTAATTTGTGCATTAACAATCCAGGCCAGAGACTAATTGGGCATCCTAACATACATTTGCGTGTGTCCATATAAAAATCCGAGTAATGGGCAACATATTGCAGCAATTGATTTAGTCTCACTGTATAATACGCTACCGTACAATACCATCAAAGCTACACAATTGTAAAATTCTCTGCAGTTCGCAAGACTCCAGCTTGCTTGCGATGAAAATGGAATTGATAACCTATTAGCAGGATTCTGTTGTGTATCCAGACTGAACTTCCATGCCACTAAGGGGCACATGACATAAAGGAAGAGAAACCATAAGCTCAATAACTCAAGATTGTTATGGTCGACTTCGCTGATGCAGTGCCTGTATGCATGTGATTTCCTTCCTTATCTATTCAAAAGCCTGACTTTTATTGCATGAAGGTATAGACCATGTGGCTAGGGCTAGTGCTCTAGTTGGAAGGGGTGGATGTGTATGTAGTTGGTAGGCAATAACATCATCACCCGCAACATATGGAAGAAAAGTGGCATAATTGCCTATTGATATACAGAGATGCTTGTCTATCAAAACTTTGGTGCGACACTTTTCTGTCTAAACGTAATTCCATAATGTGGGTAGCAAATACTCTTACATAATCTTACGTAATATAACAGGCAGGTGCTTGCATGATGCACTTGTACATCACAATTTAATTAGGCTACAGCCTAAGGAAGTGTACAAAGCTTGGCCATTACACACACACACACACACACACACACTCAAGCACAAGTATCTCTTGATAATTGGGCAGTTTACATAGTGCGCACTGCACTGGCTTGAATTTCTCTTTTTGACTAGTGGCTGAGGTGTACACACTAGCGTAGGTAGAGCCACAACTCGGGTGCTGTGTAAACGGTCAGTTGATGTAGGCCCAGCTACTGGCTCCTAGCAGGCTGCTCTACCCACTCACACGGACAAAGATGGAGCAGCTGAAAAGGGGGAGAGTGAGAAAGACAGAGAGAGTGGGAGGAGCACTGCTAGCTGCAGCACAGTGGCGAGCGATTTCGGTGGCAGTAGTCTGTGCAGTGCCCTAGGGAGTCGTGGGGTGACTGTGCTTAATGAAATTTAGAGGCTACTATTGTGTGTGCATGCAGAGTTTGTCAGAAGGGGGAGTTAGGAGTTAGTCTAGAAGCCGCAAATTGAGTGATCCAGTAGACCTTGCAAAATGTATTGCTGGTTTGTGTGTGTGTTAGAAATGCAAGGCCCTTGTCTAGTTGGGGAATTTATTATCATGATAATTATATGAAATGAGAATAAAGAATAAAGCAGTCACATTGCCCCTTTCAAAAGGCAGTCTCTGGTGCCGGTCGCATTATGCTGTTCTGATGGTCTGTTTGCTAACCCAAAGATATCGCTATTCTTCCCACTACAGTTCTTTCTGGTTCCAGCGACAAAACACTCTACCTCGGCGAACTTCAATAGCCGCTACACACACTTTTTGCATTATTGAGACCTTTTTGTGGTTATTATCACCTGGATTATTGACTCCTCCTTTTGTCTGTACTTTACGTGCATGCGGCGGGTAGATACGTGAATCGTGATCTGATACGCGTTCGTCGTCTCGACCTCTTGGACACCAGACGCGGACGGACACGGACGACCCGGCCGGCCGCCGGACGCCTGGGCGGGCGGGCTAAATTACCACCGCCGCGCGGCGCGCGGCCAGTGCGCGCCGATTTCGTATAAAACCGGAACGATTCCGACAGTGTAGCATGTTCACCTTCCTCGAGTCCTGGAACAAGGAACAGCACCGAAAAAAATCTAGCCCTCTCGATTGCATAATTGCAACAAGCGACCGAAGATGCAGCAGCAAAACCTGCAGAAATTGATCCACGTCTCTCTCCTCGTCCTGCTGGCGACCGGACTCAACTCGGCCGAATTGAGCCGTCAAGGCTCCCGGCTAGCGGAGAACTTGGGCATGTTACTGGGTCTCCCGCTGGATATGGAGATCCCTAGAACCAATGCCAGTGCAGTCCCGCAGTTCCTCATGGACGTCTACAACTGTTGGACAAATCTCGGAGCCAACAACGTCGACCGCGCATCGTGCCTACCCATCAGCGACCGTGCGGCGAAGAACCTGGAAGATATCAACGTCGTGCGAGGCGTGAAGGGGACAGGTACGTATTGTGCACACAAAATAGTACGCATGGTGGCTCGGATAGGTTAGTCAAGCAGATAAAAACAAATAGCTATAACGATTAGCCTGTTGCACGCTGCGTGCACATGCTCACCAACCGTTCTCTCCTCTTGTTTATACAGCCCTACCAACCTCTTCTGAGGGAGTCTTCAGTCACTCTCCCCACCGACTGCCCGCTTCCATTACCTACCACTTCAACGTGAGCAAGAGACGAGTCAAGGAAGACGTCAGATACGCCTACGTCCGCATCCCAAAGCAAGCTCTCCCACAGAAGAGCATTGAGCGTGTAAAGGAGCAGTGCAGTGGCCCCTTCTCCCTGCAACTTCTAATGAGAGTCCATTCCAACGAAACCGACACCACACCCCGCAATGTTTTCACCCTTCTGTCCAGTGCTCAGCTTACACTAGACGGCATCGGTCGATCTATCCAGGTCGAATTCAGCAACATCACTCACCAGTTCACGCAGTGGCAGAAAGAGGACATGGCCCCAACGAGATGGGATGTCGTGGAGGTCAGGCTCATTATCGGCGGAAGCGACTCGTGCTACAACACGCTCACCCCAGAAGACCTCGGCTTCCGACTAGACACTAACGCCCACATTGTTGTCTTTGCGAAAAGCGACGATTCAGAAGAGGCACTCATAAAAGCCGGACTCGCCGAACTCGCAGCAGAGGCAACTGCATCGAGACAGAGAAGAAACGCTGAAGACAGTGGGAGCATGCAGGGAAGCGACACTGCTGACCAAACAGTTTCTGGTAGACCCAACCTTACCCATCTGACCAACCACACAGAGTTCAATGCATCCACCTACCACCTTCGATCCTGTCGGCGCTATTCTCACACGGTGAGCAAATCACTCCTACTGTATATATAATTATAGTGCAGGCATAACAAACAAACACCTCTGAGCATGCAAAACAGCGTATTTATAGAGCATGACACTGTCAACACGAGAAGTGGAGTTTCCACAACCTCATGCAATGCATCCCCGTCCCTCGAGCGATCAAGCAGTCAATTAAAAACTCTCCCTCTCTCTCCTTGCAGATCTCATTTGCGGAGCTGGGATGGGGCGACTACATATTCCTCCCTGAAACATACGAAGCAAATTTCTGCGCTGGATCCTGCGAATATCCACTCACGACAAACCACAACACAACAAAGCACTCGTACATCCAGAGTCTAGCTGCAAAATTGAATCCAGACCTCGTACCGCCACCTTGCTGCACTCCTCACACTTTATCATCGGTGAACGTTATATACGCCACTGAGAGCGAGAACTTTGTTGCACACGAGTGGCACGAAATGCGGGCAGAGGTATGTGGATGCAAGTAACTTTCTTCTATGTCACATTATCGTTGTTTGGCAATGTCACTTTTATATATAATATAGAGATAGAGTGCTTCAGTTTTACTATCACTTTCTCCATCCTCTCATACATCAAAATGTTATTATTTTGCCTGGCAATATCTGTAAATCAATCATATTATTATTATATGGCAATAATCCTAATAAATTATTATCATGACAGTATCTATATGGTGTTATCTGTATTAACAAGATTTCTCAAAGAAGTTCTTTGCACGTGACTGACTCAGCAAGCGCACTGCAAAACTAGCACTTACCAGCTTCAAATAATTGCACAATGGGGACCAACTATACAGGAAATTGATTTTTGTGGGCGTGCTATTTATAGCAAAGTATGCAGTTACATCACTTGAAGAGTGCCCAGCGGGGCAATGGAGTACTATAAACTGACTACAGTACTAGTGAATCTAAACCGTAGGTATGCCACAAGATAAACAGTTTACGTAGTGGAAATACCCCCTTGGATACATAAAATCTCGCAACCGCTTAAAATTGGAGATTGAAAAACGTTCAGCAACTCGGACAACAATGAGCAAGGTGTTATGCACAGAGCGCATGCAGTTATAGGCAAAGTCCGTCATTTATATTTTCTGGGCCTTAATTGAATGCATGTCAATGAAGGAGTGTCATTGGACTGTGCTAATGTATATGAAAAAGCCACAGCTCATATATAGAACATTATGTGCATACTTTGTATCTGTTGTTGCATCCTGTTGATGTCGAAATAGGTTGAAATGGTATGCACAGAAAGAAAGCAAACCCACAAGACATATGTTCATATACAAACCGCATCCAAGTTATTTTCATGCACTCGACAACAATCCTTATTTTCACTAATCATGAAAAAACGCATTACGTAGCATACAATCACAAAGTAAATATAAACAGCGCATGTAGAATATGTGCAATAATAAAGTTGTATATAAAAAAGAAGAAATTATTAATGATGCCAGTTTTTATGCCATTTTGGAAATGATGACAGTAGCTTATGCACTTTAATCACCTCTGTCACTATGGAAACTAGAGTCTGAATCCAAATGTAGTTTAGTGTCCAGTAAACGGTCAATATCATGTATATCGTCACTGAGAGGGTGTGGCTTATCTTTGTGGGGGTGTGGTTTCGGGGAATGGAACATTTTATCGTCTGTCGGCCTTGTAACTGCACATCCTAATCACACAATGAGGAAATGGAGAGAGGATGTAATTGGAAACAAGTATAAGGGGGAGGAAAGGAAATGAGATGCAGAGGGGGAAATGTGGGAGAAGATAATTTAGGGAGAAAGTGAGAGAGATAAGTAAGGGGGACAAGAGAAAAAGAAGTGAGGAAGAAGGGAAGGATAAATGAGGAAAGGATAATAAATAAGGGGAAGAGGGTGGACTAAGTAAGGGGGGAAGGAGAAGGGGGAGTTAAGAAATGGAGAGATGAAAGCTATATACACTGATGTGATATCATAAACAGTGGGTACAGACCTATGTGGGTTTACAAGAAATGGGGAAAAGATAGGGATAGACAAAAATTGAAAGCAAGTTATTATACACAAACACAGCCATATGTCAGGTCCACTCACTGTCAGTAGCAAAAGTACACCAAGTGGGTGTTAAGGGGATGAACCGAGTAACATCAGTGGAAATCGTTTCAAGATGTGGTAATGTGGCAACATCAAAGACTCTGGATACTGTCAGTGGAAAAGGCTAACGACTTTTCACTGTGTATGTTGTGTCAGAGGCACCCCAAAACACTCACACACGTAATGAAAGCATTTGAAAGCCTTTCAAAATCTGCCACTTTGGCCCACCATGTATGTGACAGTCTGCATACACTTGCCCAGGAAGAAAGAGGTGGTGGGTTCGAATCCTGCTGGTAGAGCTGATATTTCTTCTTTCTTCCTTCTCTACCTCTTTCCTTTATTCTTTCGGTCTACCAGCGCGTGAGATCGGGAGCGAGATGCGCGGATTAATGTAACCCGGTGAAGTAAGCAATCCGTGCCAGTGCTAACACACGCTCTCATTACTCACGTATGTATAGGTATGTATACCTAGAACAGATTCAAAGCTGAACTGCGAGATGTCCACCTCTTGATTTGTCCATCTGTCTCTCTCTAGATCCTGTGGAGTATTAACAAACCACACATAATTGTGCTTATACGTGTAGGTGAAGATACGGCGACTGTGCGTGTGAACCACCATTATTTTCCCTACAACTCAACAATCATAATACGAGGAGAAACTTGATTTCTATGGCTTTGGCACAAAAGTAATTTTTGTACATACTGAGGTTTAAGGCCAGGTTTTGGGATTCACAACACACGCATTATTCCCATATACCCTTTATGGGGACCATTGGTTAGTCATACAGTTACAGGTTAATGCTTGAAGTCAATGTTTGAAGCAAACACTTTCAAGTGATGTGCAAATACATATAAAGGCGCTGTAGATTGGTTCCCACCCACCCATGATGGTTGTGTTCTAATTAAAAGAAAACCGTGAAATATCGAACTGATACCTTGAGTGTTGCTCTTGATTTCGGGTGCGGATGTAGCAACCACAGTAGTACTTTCATGAGACCTGTGATTGAGCAAAAGACTAAGACTGTAATTCTCTAGTGGCTATGGATAATGTGACGACCGCAGACAAAACAGTAGCGTTTGAAACTGTGGAAAACGGTCCGATAATTGCTGCAACACCTGAAAAATTATACGTCTGTTTGCTGTGCGGTGTAATGCCCGCTGCGTCACCTAAGATTGTGGACATGGCTGCTGGCAAAAAGAACCTGTGTTAGCATTCACAATGCTTGTAGCATCTGCAGAGATGTTAAGTGCTGAAAAATTATACGTCCGTTTGTCGTGCGGTGAATGCAACACGCGGTTGTGCCCTTTTTTCTGTGATTATAGAATGGCTGCACACAAGAGCACAGAGGTTCATTCACAGAGGTGTTACTGCTGAGAGACACATACGTGGGTTGAACAAAACCGGCCGCCTCAGTCATAACAGCAGTCTGACAGCCTCTCAGACGAGCAATTCATCTCGTGGATGTAGGCCCTCCACACGAGGTTCCCGGAAAACAGCTATGTACATACATTCTTGGCACTCCGCATTAGCCCCTCGCAGACAGGGCTAGTATCCCACACACAGCTCTCCAGCAAACCACACAGAGATTTATAGATATTCCGTACAGCTATTTGACACTCAATATCGCTGATATTATTATTGTTGGACTTGGTGTCTAAAAATAAAATCCTGCAGTGGGGTAAGTATTGTATATCGCCGCTATTGGGTGCTATCAAGCTTTGCCTGGTGAAAGGTAAAACGTCCAGGCTTGTTAGCTGCATAGACAGATTGTATTTTATCACACTCGACTTGTTACTTTTATTTCTGCAGCGTGTAAAAATATTTTGTAGTCTAATAGCATTCTTAACCTTCTGACTAACTATGTAGCTGAATAATATTAATAACAGTGGGTTATTTTGGGGGGCCAAATATTTTATTATCAACGCTCTACCACACAAAATGGATCACACACCGGCCGCAGCTTTCTAAATTCTAAGGGATTCTTGGCTGAACAGCCAATGGTGCGAAGCTACCATCTGCTGGATTATGACTGAACGCCTCTAAGTCAGAATCCACGCTAGAACTCTTATGTACAGTCAACTAGTGACATGCATAATCTCAAAATATCCCTAAATCCATAATCATCTCCCTAGTGAAACTTCTCCCTAAGTAGAAGAGTGAAATGAGGATAACTTTCTTTATTTATTACACACCACAAAAGGTGCAAATGGAATGAGGAAATGAAGAAGATGAAGAAGAAGGGCGGACCAGCGACCAGCTGGACTATGTCCCGTCGCCAACCAAGGGCTTAAGGGCTCCTGAACTGGCCACTGGCCCACCAAGAAAGGACACTTATTTCGAACATGCCCTTAAATAAGGACACCTCACTAATGCCTTCTGCCTAATGCCAAGTTGGTGTCCGGATTAGAGGAGTTCCACCGTAATAAAGTAATCATCCTTGGGTTAACAAATATCATAAACACTACGATTGTATAAATTATACTGACCTGGGCTGGTGAAATACGGAGGTTGCAAATGTCCCGATATGGTCTCCTCCACATCAAAGAAGGGGTTTTCCCCAAAAACGAGTGTGTAGAGGGTGACGCCCAACGCCCACATCTCAAGCTCCGGTCCCGGGTAACTATGGAAACAGTCACGTGATTAATCAGCCACACCCACCATTGACACCATTACTCTGAAGGTAAGTTTTGTTAGTGCATTATTACTATGCCTGACGTAAGGGATATCTCTAAGTACAGAATACAACGGAACAGCCTCTAATTGGGACACCAATGGGACCGAAGAAGGCGTCAATTATCTTAGTGACTTGTCCTTGGTTCAATTGTATGCAAGAACTATTCTTGGGAAAGAAAAGGTGACTTAGAGAGGGGTTCCACTCTATATAGACTTCCAGTTACTGAGTTTGACGCTCTCTTTTTCTGCCACGAATATTGTGTATAGGTCCCCACTATTATCCCGCGCGAAATAAATGGGTTATCTACATATTATATAAATCAGGGGCACATTTCATTTGGTTGCAATTTGAAAGAGGAAGCATCGCCCACGGGAGCCATACGAAGGCACTGTTGCCTGGAGAATGTTAGAGAAGGCAGGAAATAGGAGATTTTAGAGGGCTGTACTAGAAATATTTGCATGGGAGGTGGTGAAATTTACTATATGAGATGACTCACTGACTTAATGTATATGCCATGCTGGTCTATACAATATTGTGAGCTACAGTAATGCAGTGAAGTCAGGCATTGTTAGGAACCCCTCTAATCTGGACCCGCAATGGGACAGAAGGAAGAAAGTGTCCATAATTACTGAGGTGTCCTTAATTTGCAGTATTTAAATTTCATGCAAGAGCTGTTCATGGGGAAAGAAAAGGTGTCCTCAAATCAGGGTGTCCTCAGAGAGGTGTTCCACTGTATTCTATATAGTTCCATGGACCGGCAACATTATTCATAGCAAGATGCCATTCATACCACTTTACATACATGGCACAGACGTAATACAACAATTAGCACAGTTGAACAGTTTACACAGCAATAGGATAGACCTACAGGCCCTGTGGTCTATCACACATTGCAGTAAAGAGACACTATTCCAGACTACACTTGTCACAGCCTCACAGACTGAACCTGTATATACTAACACCGTGCTCCTAGTCTCCATAAGACTGTGTTTCCATATGGACTGCCTCGATCGTGTTTTAAGGAGCCACCTGTCTCCCATTCTAGTATACACCCCACTGACTGTACACATACACATACACTGAGCTAACACACTGCTTCAAGTTCTCAAATAACAGACTGTTTTGCATGTTTTAAGGAGCCCATGCTTGTATATACTTCCTCAGACTGTGCAAGCAAAACACTGCTTAAAGTCACCAATAAGGCTCTTCACCATGCCACCATACGTAACGTCCTTGAAGAGAGCGAGCACGCAATAGAGGAGGGGGAGAGAGGGAGAGTAAGAAACCAAGAGGAGTGGAGGAGGGAGGGGTAAAGAAGCAAGAAAGGGAGCGAGAAAGAGAATGCACAAGAGAGAGGAGGGAGGGAAGGAGGGAGGGAGGGAGTAGGAAGTGGGTGAAGGTGAGGGGAGAGCGTGTGAATGAGGGTGACCTCTATCACACACGAGAGGTGCTAGAGTGTGTGACACCACGCAGGGTGAGTGACACAGGGTCACTGGACACCAGGATGGAGGTTTAAGCAGCAAGGGTTCAGGAAAGAACCTATCAGGCATTGCAAGCATCTATGTATGTATGACTTGAAAGCAGATGATGTTATATAGCCAGAAAGGAAGAGGGATTTTTTTGAAAGTTATTACAAAGCCTGGGGAATAGCCACAGGAAGAAGAGTTTGCAACTTCATTGGCTAGACGGATATTTAGGATTCTTGGCATGTTTCCACGGAGAGAGTAATTTACACATTATGTCACTACGTGATTCGGTGGTTAGAGCGATGGTCTCCAGTGAATTAGGGAGTTTGCAAAAAGGAATGGCGTGCTGGGGGTGTCGGGGTCAAGCTACTTTGCCGAACTTTGTAGCGTAGAGTCCATTTTCACACTACCAAGTTGTGTTGCAACACTGCTAATGCTGACTCTCTGCATTACAACTGGTTTGGTGCCTGTTCTAGTGTCAGTGTGACTGAGAGGGACTTCCACTGACCGTGATGCACGTTTGTTGTGTTGCAAGTAAAAGAACTTCCCACTAATCTTCCCCCCAATAGTTTCCTAGCTAGCACCACAAACATACAAAGTTTTCCCTCACCTTTGTTGGGAAACCGTGGCCACTCCGTTTCCTCTAAACATACGGAAGCTGCCTCATTTCCCTTCTCCTTCTTCATCAGACGTAGTACACAGAGCCACTTGAAGCTTGTTGGCATATCCTATTACTTCAAAGCTGATGCTATATATACACTTTGGACTTAAACATGCTTAGCTGCACTTTTGCTTTCTACCATCATTCTCAACATTCATTCTAGTAATCGCAAAGTTATATCCTTCGACTGAACTATACGTATTTGCTCTGCTACCATCTTTTTTCACTTACTATCTCACAGTTTGTCCAGCCTTTCACTGCCTCTTTCTAACATCTCCTCCTCTCCATATCGTATCTACTGGTCCGCAAACAGTAAACACTGAATCTCCGGAGCCTGGTATATAAGCTATCCAAACGAGCTCCGATCGATAATATGTGGATACACACATGTACATACACATGTGTGTACACACCCCCCACAGCTAACAGGTCAAACCGGTTTGGCAGGTATGCACCTGGATTACGACAAAACCAACTCTCTCACGGCCAGCCACGTACTGGCTGATAACACACCACTCAATAATCTCACTAGGAAAATATGCTAATTAACAAACCAAATAGACATGCAATTACAGGCTTATCAAACGATCGACTGCGATTCTAAATGCTACGTGTACGTAGGTCAGAATTGTATATTACATCATAAAAGATGGTACGTGTGCACGTAAACGATGTACACAAAGCACGATACAGCAGATTCTAAAACAGGACTGTGTAAATATGTCACTTATGGTATGTACCCCCCGTGGCTGTTAGCCTAGGGAACAGACGGGCGACATGGCTCCACGCGTCCGCTCGTGGGTGCTGCGGTACCACACGCAGAGCTCTGCAAGAGATAACAGACTGGGAAAACACAGTCTAGTATCCCACCCTTCTTCCTCCCTCCCTCCCTCGCGGGGTTGTCTTTGCCTCCAGCAGTCTATCGTACACACCGTGCCCTCCGTACCTATACACTACACCATACTTACTGATAAGACAACGTGTTATACATACAAACATATACATATGCTAGCGGGTGGGATAGTTCTCGCGTACTATATATGAACCTCCCACAGACATATGCTGGACATAGGGAAGTGTTGATAGGCAGAGTGGTGCCAGAGAGAGAGAGAAGAGACGCTGAACACAGTCTGTTATCGTCATATCACACACCCCTAACCCCCACAAGCAGTCAAAAGGTTTGTTACACCTTACGATGGAGAAAATGAATATGGTATTATAGTCTTCATTAGTGAAAACACCTCTTTCTGAACACCAATAAAGTGTCCATATATATTAGCGAGGTGTCATTATACAAAAACAACTGTTCTTGAGAAAGAAAACTGTCCTTATTAGAGAGGTGTCCTTATTAAAGAGGTGTCCTTATTAGAGAGGTGTCCTTATTAAAGAGGTGTCCTTATTAGAGAGGTGTCCTTATTAGAGAGGTGTCCTTATTAGAGAGGTGTCCTTATTAAAGGGGTGTGGGTTCCACTGTATACTTGTGGTACATTTCATAGTAGATGTGAATCATGCCTGATTCTCAGCACTACAGAAAAAGCCGTGTTGGGTCCGACCGCAGAAATACGTGATACAACTATCGGATTTCACGAGGAGGTGCTGGTTGAGGAAAAGAGGGCAGCAAAGAAAACAGATCAATTACCGAAGAACAGAGAACAGAGCGTGGGGGGGAGAAGGTGTGGGACGGCGTGTGATACCAATCAGCTGGTGTGCACATTAGTGCTATAGCGTGGATGACTGGATTACCTGAGATTAATTATTGTCTGCACATCTCGCTTCTATAATCTCACGCCACAGGTACGTATATAAGCTGGAAATAACGTGAGATGAACACAACACACGCACACAGTCTGCCTCAATAAACTAGTGTAGTTTAGAGAAAAAGTAGCGTATGGATTGAGCATCACGTTTGCAGACACGCAGCATACATAAACCTGGCCCCGCTGGCTGGCAGTCGAGACATACAAACACAAATATACCGTGATTCATAATGGCCCATAATGGGCTCCTTGCAGACTGTGTGCATTGCGGTCGACTGACCGAACAAAGATAAGTGTATTCATTACCCATTTTCTAGACATTATCGTGGCGACGGGGGGAAAAAACTGATAACAAAACTAGGGCCATAATCTAATTAGTGGGAGGGGAAACCCAAGAATTTGCGAGTTGAAGTCTAGACGTTATTATTGCTGGAAAACTTTTGTGTGTGTAGTGCTGCTGACCTTTCTACCGCCATCGTGAATATCGTTATCTTCACTACCAGAATAATTGGGAATTGTTACGTGTGTGTGTGTAAGCTTTCGTAGTTCTTTATCAGTGCCATGTGACTCAGGGCCGAGTCACTCTGTCACTCCCTAATCGTTGCTTTCCTTATAGGGAATTCAGGCATTGTGCTGGGAGGCTCTATGAGCCACACTGTGCATGATGCAATTGTACGGAACACGTCCCTAGAATGTTCCGGAACACCACAGAACAGGTATATACTTTGTGAATCGCACTCCATGCATCCGTCTACAGTGAGTCATAGATTACTGTGCGATTGAAGTGGTTCACCGCTGTTTCGTAAACTGGTTACGCAACGCTACACAATAGGCTAGAATTCGGTATATTACATGGTTTAGTTGATGTAGACGTTTCTGGCTGCACACCTAAAACAAAAACCGCTGACACAAATCCAGTAAACCGAGTAAAAATAACCCGAAAAGAAAGAGAGGAATGAAAACCGTTGGCTTCACAGGAATGCCGTGTGATGTAAAACAGTGAAGCTTTTTGTGGATACAATGTGCAGGGAACGTTTGTTTAGGGCACGCTGCTGTTAGGAACACTCACCCACATTCACACATGTATACACAAACTAACATACCGGCGAAGCTAAGTGAGGGGTTTCCCCCATGCAACGCTCTTAATGATATTCACGACTTCTCTCCGATAACAGTTTTCGAATTCTCTCATGTTTTCTCATGTAAACAGGGAGCATTCTAAGAAATGTGGTGCAAGCGAAAAAGCGGACATGGCCCTATAGGACCTCAACAATTCAATTACCACCATCCCTGATCATTACAGCTGATAGCTACACTCTATAGCATCTATAGCAGGCCAAGTGGCTAGTGGAGACAAAAGGTCGAGTTGATTGCTCCGTCTCCATGTCTATGTAGGTCACGGATTAGAGGAGATTGTTTGATTTCAGAGCAAATGCTTATCAACAACACCCAACTTTGACTTTGACTTTTCCTTGTGTTTTGACAACGCACGATATGCTTGTGAAAAAAACAAAAAGTATTTTGGTTACCAGGTAAGGAACCACCATTTGCCGGGAAACATCCCTTTGGACGCCATGGGGATCTCCTTAAATAAGCAGAAACTGATGTATAAAGTATATTAGCGCCTAGTATTCTAACTCCCATATAAATTCTTATGGACTTATGGAGGCTCTGGACACATTTACGTGTCCGTGGATGGTTAAGTGTTAACTGGAGAAACTTTAGTAGCAAATCGGAATTTCGCGGAGAGTTTAGCCTACTATACAAAAAACACCTCGACACCCATAAAGGACCTTCAAATTTGGTAAATTTTCGTTCCGTTGGAAATCCCTCATTAGTTACGCTGCATTATGATAGCCATTGATTACTTCTCAGTAAAAAATATAGTCTAGTGGGCTATGTGTTCCTAACTCTTGTTGGTTTTACACAAAAACCTACACTTCATGTATGTGCCTTAAACTCTCTGCACACACGAGTACTGTTCCAGTAAATTATGTCATAAATATGTCATAAATGTGTCATAGATGATTTTCCCTCTCAAACAAAAACACGTGTTCTAACACGTGAATAGCGTTCCCGCTACAATAGCCACCTATTTCATGGGGCGTCACAACCGCACTCGAACGCTGCACACAAGAACAGTGCAAACGAAAGCACATGTCGCGGGAAATAACACGGACAATCGAGCTAATTAAATTCCTCGCCAGAGACTGATATCTTCGGGCAGACATGTCCTTCCAGGGAAGAAAAACACCTCTGTTATTATACCTAGCAAGTTCCTGGGAAAACTGTCGAGTGGGCTTGGCAAAACCCTATCTACAGGCTGGGTTGGTTCACAGCTAATGAACATGGACAGACTATGTCATAAAAAGAGTACTGTTCATCAGGACAAACGAGAATGGAGAAAAATTGATTCTGACAAGAACACGGAAAGAGTTGCGATATGTGTGTGTGTGTGTGTGTGCGCGTGTGCAGGGTGGAACCTCAGATAAGGGACCCTCCTAGATAAGGATGACCTCTCCACAAGGGACACTGTTTCAACCCCATGCTTTAGTGTATTATTTGACCTCTGAGATAGGGACGACCTCTCTACAAAGGACACTTGTTTCTTTAGTGTATTAATAGGAGGGACGCCCTCTCTACAAGGGACACTTGTTTCAACCCCATGCTTTAGTGTATTATTTGACCTCTGAGATAGGGACGACCTCTCTACAAAGGACACTTGTTTCTTTAGTGTATTAATAGGAGGGACGCCCTCTCTACAAGGGACACTTGTTTCAACCCCATGCTTTAGTTTATTAATAGGAGGGACGCCCTCTCTACAAGGGACACTGTTTCAACCCCATGCTTTAGTGTATTATTTGACCTCTGAGATAGGGACGACCTCTCTACAAAGGACACTTGTTTCTTTAGTGTATTAATAGGAGGGACGCCCTCTCTACAAGGGACACTTGTTTCAACCCCATGCTTTAGTGTATTAATAGGAGGGACGCCCTCTCTACAAAGGACACTTGTTTCAACCCCATGCTTTAGTGTATTAATAGGAGGGACGCCCTCTCTACAAAGGACACTTGTTTCAACCCATGCTTTAGTGTATTAATAGGAGGGACGCCCTCTCTACAAAGGACACTTGTTTCAACCCCATGCTTTAGTGTATTAATAGGAGGGACGCCCTCTCTACAAAGGACACTTGTTTCAACCCCATGCTTTAGTGTATTAATAGGAGGGACGCCCTCTCTACAAAGGACACTTGTTTCAACCCCATGCTTTAGTGTATTAATAGGAGGGACGCCCTCTCTACAAAGGACACTTGTTTCAACCCCATGCTTTAGTGTATTATTTGACCTCTGAGATAGGGACGACCTCTCTACAAAGGACACTTGTTTCTTTAGTGTATTAATAGGAGGGACGCCCTCTCTACAAGGGACACTTGTTTCAACCCCATGCTTTAGTGTATTAATAGGAGGGACGCCCTCTCTACAAAGGACACTTGTTTCAACCCCCATGCTTTAGTGTATTAATAGGAGGGACGCCCTCTCTACAAAGGACACTTGTTTCAACCCCATGCTTTAGTGTATTAATAGGAGGGACGCCCTCTCTACAAAGGACACTTGTTTCAACCCCATGCTTTAGTGTATTAATAGGAGGGACGCCCTCTCTACAAAGGACACTTGTTTCAACCCCATGCTTTAGTGTATTAATAGGAGGGACGCCCTCTCTACAAAGGACACTTGTTTCAACCCCCATGCTTTAGTGTATTAATAGGAGGGACGCCCTCTCTACAAAGGACACTTGTTTCAACCCCATGCTTTAGTGTATTAATAGGAGGGACGCCCTCTCTACAAAGGACACTTGTTTCAACCCCATGCTTTAGTGTATTAATAGGAGGGACGCCCTGCCCTCTCTACAAAGGACACTTGTTTCAACCCCATGCTTTAGTGTATTAATAGGAGGGACGCCCTGCCCTCTCTACAAGGGACACTTGTTTCAACCCCATGCTTTAGTGTATTAATAGGAGGGACGCCCTGCCCTCTCTACAAGGGACACTTGTTTCAACCCCATGCTTTAGTGTATTAATAGGAGGGACGCCCTGCCCTCTCTACAAAGGACACTTGTAATCAAATATATACCTGTTTCCAAGTAGTACTTCGGGAGAGCAGTATTCGAGGGTGCCGCAGAAGGTGTGGAAGAGTTTGCCTGGCTCCATGTACGCTGCACTGCCAAAGTCTATCAACTTCATGTGGAAGTGTTCGTTCATTATTATGTTTTCGTCCTACGGGGTTTGTGGCAAAAGGACAATCAAACACACTGACAGAAGATGTCTGCCACACCCAGGGCTAAATTTAGAAATGTTACTAAAAACGGAACTTAATTGCATTCTTTCACCGTGTCCCTATCGTTTGGTTCCATCTCTACTAAATTCAGACCTTATATACTGCCACATTCCCTTTAATTTCACACATGTACAGTTGTTACTATCAGAGCTGCAGATGTTGCAGTTAGAGCTGCAGTATATACCTTTGACTATGGCACCCCATTACTAAAGACCTGTTACAAAAACGGCACGAGTGTTGTACAGGCTTGCATCCTACAAAACCCCCATTCTAATGCACAGAACAGTACCGTTTCCTTGGAGACGGTCACCACGACAACCCCCGCCCACCCACCTTGACGTCTCTGTGTAGAATATTCTTCCCGTGGAGATAGGAGAGCCCGGCGACCACTTGTCTGAACATGTAGCTGACGAGTGGTTCGGTTATCTTTGGACATCTCTCGATGAACTCGAAGAGGTCTAGACCGTCTCCGTGCTTCTCCATCACCAGTTGGAAATAGCACTCGTTCTCGTAGGCTTCCAGTAGCTGGGGGGAGGGGGAGGAGAGGGGAGAGTGGGAGGAGGGAGAGGAGAGAGAGAGAGAAAGTACGTTTATAGTGGACAAGTAAAGTCCAGGGGGAACGGAAGGAGATTAAAAAGACCAAAGAGAGGTTGAGAGAGAAGTAGAGAGAGTAGGATAAGCAAGGGGGATAAAACAGACAAAATAGGAGGATCGAAACAGGACAAAAGAGAGATTGAGAGAGGGAAGGAAAGGGACTCAGCCTGACTATTATATCCAAGTCCTCATCATCACAATGTGTGGGTGGTTAAGTGAGAGAGAAGAGGACCAAAACAGGCGAAAAGAGAGAGAAAAAAGAAGGGATAGAGAGAACGGCTCACCATCACGATATTGGGGTGGTTCAGTCTGGCGAGGAGACTGATCTCCTGGGCTACTAGTCCCATGTCTCTGTCATGGACCCAACAGTCCTTCAACACTCCACTCTTTCTCAGGAACTTCACCACTACCTGCACACACCACACATCACACGCATATGAACCTTATACTAACGCATATGAACCTCATACTAACGCATATGAACCTTATACTAATGCATATGAACCTTATACTAATGCATATGAACCTTATATGAACCTTATACTAATGCATATGAACCTTATATGAACCTTATACTAATGCATATGAACCTTATACTAATGCATATGAACTTTATACTAATGCTTATACTAAAAAAAACGCAACACATTTTTGGCAAGAAACGAAAACGCGAGTAGTTCTAATTTTTCACGTGCGCCCGTCAAGTTTAGAAAATCCTCATTGAGACGACTATGTTTCCTTGCTTTGTGCGCCAATAATACTATGTTAGGCACAAAGTATGCGCACGTGCAACAATGTCACAAGAGGTACATATATATATATATAGTACCCTGCAAGACAACGCATTCGCACACAATGAATCATTTGGACAACGGAGGAACATATATAATCCTAGAATAAGGGAAAGAGAAAAAGCATATCCCTATGATAGCCCCCCCATACATCTATGATGCTAGGTATATACCATGCTAATCCCTATATACTAAGTACTACTGTACTTAGTGATTAACTGCCAGTAGCACCTGCTCTATTGCCATCTTAGGTGCCAGCAAAGATAACCGCATGATACACTCTCACACATTGTTGCCAGCACGTACATATTTATGGCCTTATATCGGGGTATTCCCGGCAAGTCATGCACACACAAATTCACAAAGTGCCTACTGTTTGTACAAAAGAAGGGCATTGAAGTGCATACCAATTGCTTGTCGGATTTGCGTTGGGCAAGTCTAACAAATCCAAACGCCCCCTTTCCCACTGGTCGTAGAGTGTCATAGCATGATCTGTAGACCCCAGCGACTGCCAGCGACTCCTCTGACCCCTGTGTGTGTGCGTACAATAGAGTAGACAAGTGGAGAGAATTACTACATAATTATTGGAGATGTGCAGCGACCACAACAGTTGGAAACTTGGAGAGAGAAACATCGCTTATAAATCATAGACATCGGTTATAAACCACAGGCAATGGAATATGAGAAGTGGGCGGGGCTAGGGGTTAGACTAGACAATGGAAAGACAATGGAATACGAGAAGTGAGCGGGGCTAGGGGTTAGACTAGACAAGGGAAAGACAATGGAATACGAGAAGTGGGCGGGGCTAGGGGTTAGACTAGACAATGGAATACGAAAAACACGTACTTTTGTGAGGTAAACAGTGATTTGTAATGACCGAAAAAATCAGCAACAGAGAATGGACATTTACACAGAAAAATGTCAGGCGTGATTTTTTCAACCTGCATAGTCCGTGTGTAAACTGGCTTTCAACCTCCTCAAAGTATGGATGGTTTTGTTCATAACCCAAACATACCGTGCTGTGTTGGTGAGGATCCTGAACTGTATCAACATCCTCTATTACATCTGGCGAAATCCCAACCTGTACAATATATGAATGGTGGAATGAAGAGAAGAATAAAACCCTGATTGCAACACCCTTCCCGTTTTACCTCCTTTACACACTCTCCCCCTGATTTTGTATTTCTTGCAAGCACGTGAGTGAAAGATAATAATAATACTCAGGTGGCAGCCATAGCACTGGGGCCGTCGACCACGCACCCAGAGCAATGGGCGGAACCGTCAACATACGAAAACACCAATTGAAGATACATACGTGAGTGAAAGATAAGATGTCTAAGTGTGTAAACCTGGTCAGTCCAGTAAGGATCCTCCCTGTTGATGGTCCAATCTCTGTTCATGTCGCGACAGAGCCACACACAAAAGAGTGACTGATCTCCAGCCAGCGGAATGCACTTCAACTGATGGGATTAGGTGGTGGTGGAAAGATTAGAGGGAACGTGTCAGTACATAAGGGCCAAATTTAGAAATGTTACTAAATATAGAACTAAATCATAGGGGGCCCAGTGCAAGAACGCAATTTAGTTTCCTTTTTTTCCAGCAACAGTTTCTATATTTAGCCCTTGCATACTGCAACATTCCCTTTAATGAAGTTCCCGTTTTTTTGTAACATGACAACGCGACATTCCTATAACTTCATACTCTGTATGTACGTATGTACGTATGCATACCTGAAAAACGACAGCGATGGAGGAGCCATCTTTGTGACGTATGAATCCTTGAAACAGACCCTCCGGAAGAGAGACTATGGACGACACCGAGATACCGTCACTCTCACCCGCAGCCCCTCCTGGCACCGCCGCGGCTCTGAGGTACTCGCTGAACGAGTCCGTTTTCACCAGCAGAGAGTCCGGTGTTTTCGAGGCAGGGGTCGATGAAATGGGGTACTGGGACTCAGTTTCTTCCTCGTCTGCCTTTTGTTCCTCCTCGTAGTTTCTTTCCTCCCCTTCCTCCCTCTCTTCTTCCTCACTTTCTTCTCCTTCTCTTTCCTCTTCCTCTCCCTCTCTCTTCCTCTCTTCCTCCTCTTCCTCATCCAGCCCTACAGCTCTACCTTCAAATCCACCCCCAACCTCCTTCCTCTCACTCCCTCTTCCACTTTTCACTTCATTTGACCTCTTCTCTCCTCCCCCCTCCCTCTCCTCCTCTTCCTCCAATAGAGTCGGCATCGTGCCGTGGCCCCCCGAAAACCCCCCGGGGATATTTTTGTCTGCCCCCCTCATTATCTGGTGTCTGGGAGAGACGTTGGCTGTCGCATGAGGACTAGTAGATGGTCCGCCAGAGGTCAAAGGTTGATGATGGTGAGAGTGGGCGGGGCTTTGCCCGTGGTGGTTTAGGTTCCGGACAGGTGACCTTTGAACTTCGTGGTTCTTTCTCCGGACGGGAGAGGGAGGGACATGTGCACGACCTGAAAATTCAAAGCAACAATCATGTCACCTGTACATGACATGTATGAACTATGAACTATAGGGTGGCAGGCAAATTCTGCTTATTAAAGAAGATACCCATGGCATCCAAAGGGTTTTAACACTGGAGTTATTCCAGAGTGGCCACCATTTTTATTACACAGGGAGGTTCCACTGTAATGTGTACATAGATTGATTAAAAGCTGTAGAGATTGATGTAAAAAGCTGTAGAGATGATCGAGTAGGACACTATTGTACAGTAGTCTCCTCACTGGAGAGGTAGTCGAAGGCGGAGTCTGGAGAGAGAGAGCGTTCGGCCACCGACTGGAACGATATGTCGTCGCTACCCTCGTCCAGTGGTGGGAGGGGCATCCCCTGGTCGTCAACGTAACCAACATGGCTGTAGAACTCCGGCATTAGGAATGTAATGTCCTGAGGGAAGAGAGGTGGTGGGAAGAAAAGCAGAAATAAAGAGAAATAAAGAGTTGCTTAATACGAACCACTTTGAAATCCCCAGGCATTACAACACTAATACAACTAGCTACTGTTATAGTGAAATTCCTTTTAATATGAAAATTTTTTGATGGTCCCTCTGGAGTTCATATTAACGAGGTTCGACTGTACCCATACAGTGTTTCACGACTCAGAAATATAATGTGTGCTGTCTACATGCTATATATAGTCATACCCTCCTCAGAAGTTCGTCTTGACTGTAGCCTGTCAACATCAGCGAGAAGTGGTGGTTGCAGCCGTGAATGGTACCGTTTGGTAGAAAACTGACCATCCCACTCAAAGCCGCGTACACTATCACCTTTGCATCAACGTACGGAGGAACTAGGGGTTCGACTGGGCTCCCAATGCTGTTCATCATTAGAGGGGTTTCCCCCTTAGTCGGACTGATGGCGTTTGTTGAAGGGGTTTCCCCCTTAGTCGGACTGATGTCGTTTGTTGAAGGGGTTTCCCCCTTAGTCGGACTGCGGTCGTTTGTTGAAGGGATTTCCCCCTTCGTCGGACCGATGTCGTTTGTTGAAGGGGCTTCCCCCTTAGTCGGACTGCCGTCATTTGTTGAAGGGATTTCCTCTTTTGTTTCACTGCAGATGTTATTTTTAGAGATTTCCCCTTTAGTTGGACCACTGATGTAGTCAACGGAGGGGAGTTCCCCATTCTCAATGATTGTAGGGGTGTCCCCTATATTTGGACTGATGTTGGTACTAACACGAGGGGTTTCCCCACTCATTGCAATGATGTAATCCATACTGGAATCCTCACTGGCACTCTTCGAAGAGGGTGGAGTTTTCGGGGAGATCGACAGGGGTTTCCCCTAAATCGGGTGAATGAGGGGTGTGGTCTTTGTGAGGAGTTGAGTGGGGAGATGTGTGAGAAGCGAGAGGAGGGGGAGAGGTGGGAGGTGGGGAGTAGAGATCTCCGAGAGAGAGGTTTTGGGAGAGGTTGGTGAACTGGACAGTGAGAGGGAATGCGGTGTGGTCTCGTGTTCTGCCCGTGACTGCTTGTCTCTCTGGCATCTATGACAGAGAGAAAACTCGTGTTTGCATCTAACAACAAAGTCCTTCGATACAGTAGAACCTCTGATAAAGGACACCCCGAATAAATAGAAAAAATCTCTCAATAAAGGACTCATTTTGAGGTCCGAAACATTGACCATTCTATATAGTACGAAACGCCTGGTCCCAATGTGTCACTATTGTGGAGGTTCCACTGTAGTAACCAGTGTACTGCAGTAGTTAGTGTAACCTGATCAGTCATGTTTTGCAGGGTTTGAGGGAGGGAGAGGGAGGGGATGAGGGTGAAGATCGACTGGCCCATCACTGCCACGGTGTTAGGGTAGCCAAACAGTGACGCAAACCACGGATCACACGACACCACAACACCCTATATTTACAAAGTATTACATGAGGTCACTGATTAAAGACCAAGTGGTGCTTTACTTCCACACAAATGCTTGGCGATAGAAATAAAGCTAAAGTGAAAAACTGCTCCAAAAGGACACATTTTCCCTAAACAACACTGACACTTCACTAATTATCGACACGTTTGTCCTGTGTCCTATTAGTGAGGTGCCCCTATTCCAGGAGTTTAATTGTATATACCCAACAAACTCATTATAGAGGTGTCTTCATTTCAGGGGTGTCCTTATATACCCCTGATTGTACATATAATCACTATACTGCCCCATCATATGAGAACAAGGCAGACCTGGTGGTCCAGGGAGAAGCAAGCTGACGTTCTCTCCACGGGCTCCATGACCACAATGACTCTCATAGAGCTGGCGGAGACACTGATCTTCTTCATCCACACCGAGACTGGGAACTCCACTCCATATGACGTCACTGCATCCATCTATGCCCACGTAGTCAGGTCGAAAAAGGAGTTAGCCTTAGTTTTACAAAAGACTATTTAAAAACTTCACAACAAAATAATATGGTGTTTCCTTTAAAGATGTGTCATTTACCACAGACAAGCCAGTGAACACCATACTTAAACTGATCTACTATCTACTAGCAAGTAATGAAGCAACAATACGTGAGATACGAGCAATTTGTGCCTTTTCCCCACTCACCACTTTCCCGCTAACGAGCACCTCTTTCCCGGCGGCATCGATGTTCCTCTCCACCAGAGCGTGCTGCTTGGCACGGTACGGCTCCGTGAACAAGTTCTGCACCTTCGCCCCCACGAGGTCGCCCCACTGGTAGCCAAACAACTCGCACGTTATCTCGTTCGTCATCAGAATACGAGAGCTCTGCGCGTCGATTGTTACAATGGCTTTGTTTGGGTTCCTGGCCGCTGTCGGGAAGAGCGTTGAAGACGACGAAGCTTCGTTGGTGTTTGATGATTGCATTTGATGAACCGACGGCACATTCAGGGATTTATGCAGCAGGCCCTGACCTGTGGTAAAAGCACGGACAAACGAACCTCCAAGTAGGGGGTCCCCGCCAATATTCCCCCCGTGGTTGAAACTGAAATGAAGCAAGGAGTCTCCATTGAATTTCTCTAGGGTGTCGTGACGTGGAGATGGACTGGTGATGCGAGACCACAATTCCGAGTTGTTGTAATCGGTATAATCTCCTCTCATCTCTTCCTCCCTCCCTCCCTCTTCCTCCAGCTCGGCGAAGCTCTCCATAGCTGCAGCCAGCTCCTGATTGTGGGCCCGGATTCTGTCGAGGCGCGAAACGGACCCGCCCAGAAAGTGGTCTCTCCTTGTAGAGAACTGGGCAGGGTAGACTTTGGTGGGTTGGGAAAAGGGGCGGGTTGAGACTGGGCGGAGCCGGGAGCACCTGCTGACAGGAATGATTATGTGGCTTAATCATGACGTCATAATTGACACGTGATTGGCAGTAGAGAGAAGCAAACAATAAGACCCGTTAACACACAATGTTTCTTTGAAAAGACCATGAGCTAAATGGCCTTTGTTTGCGCTATGTGCTCTAATGAACGTCAGTGTTTAGCTGTTGCTAACGATAACTAAGGGGCGTGGCTAGAAAACTGCGGTGACTGTTTCTTTACACAGCAGTCTCTGCAGCACAGAGGCGGACTCCTTACGTCTCCTCCGTAGTCCTGGATGGATCCGGCGACGTGTACGAGCTTTGATCCGAGCAGGGGTCGCGGGATTGGGACGCTGTGACCTTGCCGCCCCCGAGGCGGGGTGATGCCGACGGACTGGAAAGGCTCCAGAAATCCTCCCCCAGATCCTCTCTCCATCGCTTGCTAGTCGAGCTCCAACGCTATCTAGGTAGAGATCGAGGAAGTAATAGTGTGTGTCTTCTTTCTCCCGCGCGCGCCCTATCATAAGTGCGCATGCGCGCAAATAAGCGTAATAACGTCACGAATAGTCACGTGGTCATAAACTTCATCGATCAAGCACGAGAAGAAGTAAACAAGTTGTTTATTTCCTGGCCTGTTTTGTGGGCGAGACGGAGAATCCCATCAAGCACACACTGGGCACCAAGTAGACGGAGGATGTCGACCCGCGCACGCGGCAGGGCGAGTGCAAAGAACGACGGGACAGGATCTGCAGGAGCACCGGGAGGAATGGGGAGGAGCGGGGCGCGTTCCCGGGCTCCGGACGCCCCTTCGAGACCCCCGCACGAAAGCACGATGCGTGACCTAATCGAAGACCAGCCTGCAATGGAAGGTGAGTCGTGCATGTCTCACAGATATCCTGCAAACGGTGGAGAAAGCCTTTTCAAGTGTTTTGCTAATGCAAGCTGGCGTCCTTCATGAAGTGAAGGAAGGTTCAGTGGGTGTACTCTATGTATTGATTGTAGGTCAGTTTGACGATGCAGATGAGGGCAAGAAGCCAGCTGAGGTTGCCAGTTCAACCCATTCTGCACCCTCTCTAATTGAAGGAAACGAAAGTAATTTCGAACAACAAAACCCAGCACCCCCAAGCACTCCAAGAGACAATGAAAGCAGCAATTCATCAATTAACCCCACAACACCTGAATGTTCACCCCCCAGTACCAAACTTAACCCCTCAGCACCTGTATTCAGTCCCACACAGTCAATGCCCTCTCCTTTCTCTACGCCAAACAGTAGCACAACCTCTAAACTTAACCCCAGAACCCCAGAATTTTCGCCCTCAATGGTCAACGGGACTACCAGTCAAACGCAGGGCTATTACTCTTCCCCAGCAAACACAGGCACAAGAACCAGGCTCGATCCTCGCTCCAGCGAATTCATTCCCAAGGTGATCAGCAGTTCGCTTAATGCTTCAGCGCCGGCCTTTGTCCCCCACATAGCACTCCCAAATCTAATGCAAAACGGACAACTTGACGACGAGGAAGAAGACATTCCACGTGGTGCCACGCCCCCTGTTGTTGAATGTGAGGACGATAACGAGGGGGAGCCCCTTTTATTGACCCCGGAGGACATCCTTTCGGGTGTCAATTTCCCTGTCGAGCAGCAAGGGGGCGGCGCGAACGAGTCAATACTGAAAGCTGCGGCGGAGGTTTTGATCAAGACCACGCTATACCCGGGGTATTTCGACAGAGGCGCAACAAAGCTGGAAAACACGGTGAAGGCAGGGCTACCAACTGATGGCACTCTGTCAAACCTGGCAGAGATGTTGGTTCATTGGGTGAGCCACTGTATTGTGTGTTACTGCAGCAATCATCCTTGATATAAATAAGGACACCTTTTCTTTCCCCCAAGAACCTTTTACTGCATGCATGAAAGAAAATTAGGACCCCCTCACTAATGTGGACACTTTTCTGTCCAATTGGTGTCTGGATTAGAGGTGTTCCACTGTATAATGCTCAGGACACCTCACTAATATGGACACTTTTCTGTCCAATTGGTGTCTGGATTAGAAGTGTTCCAAAGCTCTGCAGAGTTCCAGTTTTGTATGTTGTCCCATACACAGGCGGTGACCGAGCCCAACCTGCGTCTGTCGGTGAGCAGAATATGCCAGGTTCTGTGCGACATGGAACTAATCCAAGCGGCCTTCAGAAAAACGCTTGTGCTTCAGTAAGTCATTCTATAGAGTAGAGAGCATTTTAGCACCTGAAAGCCACAACTCCCCCCCTTTCCTACACCACAATAACCAAACCCACAACCAATGCTAATGAAAGTGGTTTATGTGGTCCAGTACATGGTGTGTACTTTGTGTGAAGAGGTTGATATGCTTTTTGTGTGTGCCTCCTTTTTTCCAGGCTAAAAGTGCGGTATGTCCAACGAGCGTCACTGGAGAAGGACACTCTCATTAACCTGTCTCTCCTGTTTGCAGAGCTATTCTCCCGCATTCGGATGGTCAAGTCATAATAATTATATCACTTAAATTCTCGCACACTAACAAATAAGGACAGCAAAATGAGATTACAATACTTTTGATGCCATTTTCTGTATGAAGTTAGGTTACCATAAATGCAAAAGACGCTGTTTTTTTTTTGTTTTCGCTGTTTTGTTTGCTCAACGTTAAGGTGTAGCTTTATTTCGTGAGGACAAAAGTTCTTTACCATAAATAAGCACATCTAGATTTCATGATAATATACGTGATCATAAAGCTGACGACTTCTAGTGTTCAATTGTTCATGATTATAACATTATATCATAGACACGTACATCACTATACTGACTTCTAGTGTTCACAATACATCGGTAGGCCCAACAAGAGCAGCCGGTTCATATACTGGGTGTGGCAGTGCTGGAATTCCTCTCGCTACTGCTGGAGAGAGTGGACGAAAGATCAGTCATTTCTGCCTGCCATGTCCTCAAGGTATATATATATAGCCAGGGTTTTCACACTCAAATAAAGACTCTTTTTTGACATTCCTCCCCTTCTGTAACTTAGTAAAATAGTGTGGTCTTTGGGAATGTATAATAATTGTGAGTTGTTAGTCACTCCCCTTCCCCCTCCTTTGATTGCTTCCAGTAGTATACAATAGTACAAAATGTTGCCATTCACAGTAATGTTTTTTTGTTGTTCCAGCTATTTTGTTGGGTATGCATGTACACAACATATAACCTACCCCTTCATTTTAGCATACAATTCCTCTGTATTGCATTCCGAATCTACCCTGTTTTATGTGTTTTTAAACCCTTTGTTGTCCCATTTTCTGTCGTCAGCTAACAGGGCCACTATTTGCCACACTTCCTCCTGAGAATGGTGAAAAGTTGGACAAAATAATCGCCAAACTCATGCAACTTTCAACAGATGAAACTCTCCCACTCACTAAGTCAGTAAACTATATACACTCGTCATTTCTATTATTACTGTGTTTCTCGCGGTTCGAGCTAGGTGTATAGTCTAGACTCTCACTTCTTATTATGTCCTCAGAAAATGTGTGGAGATTATGGTGAGAGTGGTGGAGCTACAGGCTCGTGGGTGGGGCCAACCAGTGCGACCCTTGACCTCTCCCCCAATCACTCAGTCTGTGGTGGTGGTGGGCGGAGCTAGTCAGGTGATGGGTGGAGTAGGAGGCGGAGCAGGTCACATGGCTCCAGTAGACAGTGTCATTATCGGAGAGGAAGCTGTTCTGAGTGAACCGGAAGTACTCCAGGCACCTGTGTCTAATCCAGGTATATGTACAGTGGAACCCCTCTAATCTGCACTAATGGGACAGTAGAAAGTGTCTGTATTTGTGAGGTGTCACTATTTCAATGGTATTCAGAAAGGCTCTTGGGGAAAGCATTAAAGCAGTGTCATTTTCAGAGGTTAATATATAGTGCACTCTGTCTTGTGTGTAAGTAACGGCTATTTTAGCGGGACATGCTTAACACTTAACCAGCCACAGACATATCGGTGTCCAGAGCCTCCATAAGCCCATAAGAATTTATATGGGGTTATACTACTAGGCGCTAATACTTTATACATCAATTTCTGCTTATTTAAGCAGATACCCATGGCGTCCAAAGGGTTTTAATGGCTGTTTTTCCCATTCCCACTGTAGAGGAATGGATTGAATTTCTTGATTATGACAACCAGTTGATTGAAGACAGTGAGCAACATACAACTGAGAGGTATATATACACGTCATGTGTAAACATCTAATCCAGACACCAATGGGGGGTTGAAGGAAGTGGCCATGTGGCTCATGAAGAAACTGTTCTTATGGGAAGAAAAGGGTTACTATAGAGGTTGATCAGGGGTCTTTGGTTTCGCTGTACATTTACTTCCGCGATAAGTTGGGATTTTTTCTCCTTTCTTTTTTCTTTTAGTTTTGTGATAGAGAGGAGAGAGGATGAAGGGGAAGGGGAGGATGATCTGGACGCAGAGATGGAGAAAGAGTTTGAGTTTTTCGTGCAAGATCTCGAGGAGCATCTTCTCAATGTGGGAGAGATGGACCCCGAGCAGTTTCAAGAGCAGTAGAGAGTAGTCTGCTGTGTGTTTGTATTGTATGATATAGCCAATCACATTCGTCAATGTAAATATTTTGTATTACTGTTGGTCAGTGTAGTCACCCATACCGTATAATAATGCTCATCCTCTTTTGGTCGCAGCGGCGTGGGCGCGGCGGCGGGCGGCGCGCATGCGTGAAAATACTCAATTCTGATTGGTCAGTCTCCTGACTTTGTCACTAGCGAGCCCTTATCAATCGGCTTTCCTGGAAAGTTCTGCAAACTTTTGCAACTTTCACTAACGCAATGTTTGCTACCAACTATTTTCTCGTTTCTTTTATCTTGATCCATCATATTTCTGTGGTGCCGGTGCTGTCGAGCTGCCCGGAGAGTTTTACTGCCACCAACGTCTCTGCACTTGGCCTGACCGTTTCTCCCGTTTACACTGGTTCCAGCGACTGCGACTGCAAGTGCGCCGTTGGAGTGGATTCGAACGGCAGTTTGTCCACGGGTAAGCTAAAACGCTAGCTAACAATAGCTACCGACTGCTCACACACACTCTCTATCTCCAGGTTCTGGCACATGCAGTGAGAGTACGGCGGAGAACACCACCCTTGGGTTTCTGATAGCGATAACAGTGACCAACGCCATCTTGCTGGTGGCCCTGATAGTTATAGTGGTACTATATGGAGTCATCGCTTTCAGGAATAAATACGGCTGGGTGAAATCCAGTGTCAAACAGTCCAACACAAATATCAATGATGCATACGGAATATTAGATTGTAAGTCTCTAGTACATAAGAATATTAGATTTGAGAAAGAACGTGTGTTCGCTTTTTCTCTCATATGTCTGTATACCTATTAGCTACATACAGTAATTGCTTTGGAATCCTGAAAATTATTATATTATGAGGTGTATGATATTCTAGGAATAATAACATACTCCACATTGTTACATTTATCATGTCAATCAAAAGTGAAATTGTATAAAACTGAGCAATCTATATTCTTTCCATGACGTAGTAAACGATGAAGGCACCTATTCAAACCATGGCTACAGTCAGGTAGAAGCTGCAGAGACCGAAGCTCAACACCTGAAAGTAACAAAAACTGATGAAGACACCTATTCCAACCTTGCCTATAGCCTGGTGGAGTCTGCTGGTACCGAAGACCAACGCCTCAGCACAGCCCTTCTCCTCCCAAACAGTGATGCCGGAGATACTGAAGATAATGAATACTCCTACACTGACCTCCGGTTTCACAACTTTAAGTCAGACGCTAAGCCAGGGAAAAAATCAGAGCAAGGGAAAGAAGAGGGAGAGAAATCCGAGCCAGTGAAAGAAAAAGGAGATAAAACAGCAGAGCCGGGGAAGAAAGATAGAGCTGACGCAAAAGCTACTGCAGCTGAGAATCCGATGGTGAAGGCTACCAGTGGTGAGACAGCAGAAGAGAAACTGGAGTACACTCCAGTCATTGAAATAACTAAGGACGGAGCCAAAAGTACCAACAATGAAGACACAAAAACAGCAGCTTCCCCTTTTGGGGTCATCTTGAAATCGACTGAATCTTCTTCCTCTTCTGCCGCAGTTTCAAAGTCAAAGAAAGATCCGAAATCGGCTCAACCCCAAAAAATCTGCTGCAACTTCGAAGCAAAAGAAAGATCTGCAATCAACCGCATGTGCACTAGCTTCAGCAGCTGCTTCAAAGGCCAAGAAAGAATCGAAGATGGCTCAATCCAAAATCGCATTTGTTTCAAAGTTCAAGAAAGATTCGAAACCAGCCGCCAGTGCTCAAGCTGCTGCCGAGAATGAGGAGAAGAAAGAAACAAAGGCCAAAAGCGGTGGAGCTGCAGGCAAATAACTGTTGAACAGGACAGTACAGATGGTGCTGTAAGTGTTTTTATGTAGCGTTGCACGTAGTATAGTGATCGGAGATCAGCAGTGAGATGCGAATTTGCGTATGCGCAATACGACCAGAACAAAAGAGTTGGCGCCAACCGCGCCTATTTTCTGCGCGGAATGAATGTTGTGCACGAGCAATCCTAGCGTATTATGCAAGTTGCACCTTGGAACCATGAAGATTGGGAAGAGGTATTATACAGTCACCGAAGGTTCGAGCGCATTCCATTCGACGGAGGAGAGGTGAAAAAATAATTTCGGATAAAAAGAAGCGCGTACAAATATGCGCATGCGCACTTACACGACGTACGAACGCATATGCACAGAAAATTCCGCTCGAACGAACGACTAGGTTGGCTCGCTCCCGCTCGCCAATTATACAGCCATCATCAGCTGCATCTGAACGGATCTTTTCACTATTTAACACCTTCACGAAAGGTAAGAATGGGCTCTAAATTACTATATAGAAGCTTATCTTATAATTACAATACAATTTTTGATAAATGTTTTCTGTTTTTTGTATGTATTATGAAGTTACCTGAGTTTCATCTGAGTGGTGGAAAAAAATAGGCAACATTGTGAGCAAAGTAGGTAGTTTATAAACGAAATACTGGAAAGAAAAACGGGAAAGATTGAGCAGATTAAGCAGATGGAGACCAAGCCAGCCGGCGCCCGGCGGCCAGGTCATGTCCGTCAGCTCTCTCTCAGCTCTCTAGCTCTCTAGCTATGCATGCGCGCGCATCTGCGCGCGCGCCGAGCCGCGGGCCCGCGAACTACAAAACGTGCGGGCCGGGGCGCGGGCAGGCATATCACCCCTCCCTCACCCCCTAGGCCCTCGGCTCATCTCGATTGTATCCTCGCCACAGCATGGATCCAGTGCAAGCCCACGACAACTCAGACGCCAAAGTGTTGTTTGTCTGTCCGTGCCGGTGCTACGCCAGAGAGCTTCACCGTATGTTCGAGCCGCTCCACGTGCGATGTGTGTTTATGGCGGCTATGACGGAGACAGATCCACTTCCACAAGAACTGGTGGCAGCTGTGTCCTCCTTTCCAACGAACATGGACAATATCGGGGGAAATCTAGACGCACGGCTCCCTCAGCCAATTGAAGAGCAGGCAATTGAATGACTCTGCTGCCTTGCCCTTGCAGCGTTTTATATTATACATGTGCCCTTGTTTTTTGGGATTTTTGTGTCGTGTGTGTTGTTTTTCTACTTCTCCTGTCATTGTATATACAAGATTATAATATTTTACCCTTCCCTTGTGTTACAATCTATATAATAAACGTGTATTTGCACATGCCTTGCGGTGTGCATGACCATATGCCACAAATATAATATGATCATGCAATATAAAGAAAGAGATCTAGTGTGTCTTGTGTTTGTTCATATCGAGAGAGGCGAGTGTCTTGAGAGAGTTTCTATGAGTGAACTGCAGACTAAGAACGGAGCAGTCGGGAACTGGGAGCACGACCAGAGGCAGGTCTCCCTCTTCTGAACTGTAGTAGAGAGAAATGGAGGCAAAAACAGGGTTCAGACATCAACAGTGAAGAGAGAAGGCTAACGTACCTATTCGAGGCCTTAGCCGACCCTAACACTAATCCCTCCCCCCACCCCCGGGATTATGGCACTGTTCCAAAGTGGACACGTAAGTTAAGTGTTAAGGGTTCCATTGTACGTATATATGACACGCGATTAATATATACCTGGTGTTGGAAGTGAGGTTGTAGAGTCGAAGGGTGCGGTCCGAGCCGCCAGTCGCCAGCAGAGATCCGTCACTACTGCAACACATGGCCGACACGGGACCTCTGTGACCTTTGAACTCTCTCACCACGGTGCCACTCCCCAGGTCCCACATGTACACCACTCCTTCTTCTCCTGTACACACACACACACACCAGAGGGGAAAATGACATCCATAAAATGAGTAAAGTGATGGAGTTTTGTCCAACCTGCCTGATATTTACAAAAGCTAACTTGCAGTCCCACATATTAGTTACGTGTGTAGTGTTCCCCGTGTCGCTAGTTGGCGGCTGGCGCTTCAGTTGCCACGCTTGATAGTTTCCAGTTGGCAAGTTTCACACAGACACAAGTTTGACTGATAGCCACTGGGCACTGAGTAATCTGCTCACACTAGCAAACTCTGCCCTAACTCTATTCATGCGTGGTTATATATTGACACAAAATATGAATAATATTACAGATAAGTAGGAGTTTTGAGAGTGCCACCGGCTACACATGTTGACTAAAGCCATATATATACTAGAAGGAAAAGTACTTGTATAGAATCACATACAGTATGCAAAGTGCATGCAAATTACCGCTTGTCAGTATCTGTTTCCCATTTGGAAGAAACACAAGCGAACAAACCGATCCCTGCAAAAGAAGCCAAATCCATAGAATCATAGTCCATACATTTTTTACTGCACAATTTTACCTTTTTCCCGGTGAAGAGTCTGACACAGTGTCCACTGTGAATGTCCCACAGTCTACAGGTGTGCTCGCTGGAGCCAGTCGCCACATACTTACCATTGGGATGAAACTCTGCCACCTTATGTAATAATACGTAATACTATAGCTGAGTATGGTAGCAATATATACAAGAATGACTTTATGTCGTCATTTTCATATCTGGGTTCACCAAGTATATAAGAGGCAGACTTAAAGGGCCAACTAAAAATTGAACTTAATTGCATCCTTCCCCTGTGTCTATCAGTAACATTTCCTTGTGTATACTGGCACATTACCTTTTATTGTTTTGTTAACATTTCTAATTAGCCCTCCTATACTGGCACATTCCCTTTTATTGTTTTGTTCTATCAGTAACATTTCTAATTAGCCCTTGTGTATACTGGCACATTCCCTTTTATTGTTTTGTTCTGTATACTGGCCATTCCATTTAATGGGCACCATAGTGCACTATTTCTTTTCCACAGAAGGACTTTTTTGCCTTGACAACAGGACAAATAGTACCTTTCCTGACAGTATACTGCAATATGTACTCCAAAACGGACTATGGATACTGTAGTTCTTTGCCCATAGTAGACAGTACAAGACACGTACATTGACACCAGCGGTGTGCCCAGCGAAGATCCTGAGTGGGTAGGCCAGATCACAGGTCCATAGTCTAGCAGTCATGTCGTGGGAGCAGGAGATAAAGTACACATCCACTGGACTGAGGGGATAAATTTTTCATTTCCAGAGTAAAATTATGGGTTAGTTAGAAATTGTGAAATTCCAGTTGTTACCACTGAAATACAATGTATGCCCTGCAAGCAATGTTGCTTCTGTTCAAATGATACCTGAATGTGACGTTCCAGACTGGATACTGGTGGCCATGGTAACAGACCACACACGAGCGTTTGTCGACGTCCCACAGCCGAACCGTGCAATCCTCCGACGAAGACAGCAAAAAGCTTCCCTTACTGTTGAAACTCGTGCCATACACAGGACCGCGATGACCAAGCAGTGGTGGTATGGTCGAGTTTGGCAGGTTTTGGTGAGCGGTGGTCATTTCCGGTTGATCATGTGACGTCATGTGATCCGTTGCCAATGGTAACTCGGGCCATAAACGAAGGGAAGAATCGGAAAACCCGAAACAGAAGAGAGAGTTTATCGAATTAAAGGTTGCGCAGTGAGCACTACAGTGAAGAACAATTGCGACAAACAAGAGATGAAACGATTAAATTTGCTAACATTTGAGCAATTTACTGCTTGTGTTAGCTCCCCACATTCGTTCAACAGTGTAACTCCCCTCTTAACTCTCTAGACCTTGTCTGTCACCTAGTATCATACTTTTCTTGCATGCAATACCCTGACATACAGGATACCCCACTAATATGGACATTTTAGTCTGCCATCGGTGTCTGGATTTAGCAACAGCTCACTGAGGGTGGTCAGATGTAACTGTGTGTAGCGACACAGAGGGGAGGGTGGGCACTAATTGGGATGCTGCAGCAGCCACACTCAGTCTCTCTTTGTACTCGGCCAGTTCGGCTGGGGGCGTGGCATTGGTCGGTATGGCAACACTGTTGGTTGAAGTAAGAAAGACCAAAAGACTAATGTTGCATGCACTTCAATAGAAAAGCAGTCTGTACTACCCGTAAATAACAGGGTTTTTAGCAAATTGTAATCGTGAAAATCAAATGTCAGTAGAATTAGTACATACATATGTATGACTACCTATGTGTGTAACCCACCTTTGAGTAGGAGGGAGAGGGCAGGGTCGGATGCCATCTTCAGCTCCGCTAGTGAGAGTGAAGCTTCCACCAGTGGCTGACGCTCTGCGTGACTATATACAAGGATAAGAGGAGAGAGGAACGCCAGATGATGGACACATTTGAACCTCTCTAATCCGGACACCAGAAGAAAGTGTCCATATTAGCGAGGTGTCCTTATTTCAGGGGTTAAATTTCACGCAAGAACTGTTCTTAGTGAAAGAAAATGTGTCCTTTATAGAGATGTCCTCTTTTTAGGGGGTGTCCTTAGAGAGGGTTTCACTGTCCTCCCTTTTTGAGGTATATAGTTTACTGACATTTTTCACTCCATGCACACATGTTCAGCACAAGCTTTTGCACACACCTCGAGTGAAAAGAGCTTTTACCTTGCTATTTACTCTATATAGCAGTATCTCCACTGTGGGTGTCAAAGCTGAGTTGGTGAATTTCACTTTACTCTCAATAGAAGGACAGCTACTCATTCGGAATACCTTAATTACACCTGGTGATTGCTTTCGTACTTTTATACGGCATGTGAGGGAAAATAAAGGAAAGCTACTCATTGCAACAGACTGTGGGTATAGACTGGCATCTAAGGGAAATGTATACGGGTGATGTCAGACCTTGTTCCTGGCGATGTCATCAGGGGTCAGCTGGGGTAGGCGGGGTTTGATGAATGAGGGAGAAGCGGACGATTTCTTCGAGTCTTGTTTGACCTCCGTCACCATTGGAGTGGACCCATAGACTGGATATGGGTGAAGGATAGAGGATGTTTTGATGTCTTGTTTGTGCATGCACCTTCAATGGTGAGATATCTCTCTACAGTGTTGAACAGAACTGGAGTTTCGCACACCTAACAACAGGAGAAAGTAAAAGAGGAAATAATTGATAAACAGAGTGTATATAGCAGGAAAGACATTTTTTGCGAATTTCCTCTTCTTTGCCAAAACCTTTCCTTTCCACCATAACGTCTCCCACTGTAGCTACTACTATAGAGACACAATAATTATCTTACCTGCAGAAACTGCATGAGAAGATGAAACGCTGCACTCGACATTCTCAAACTGAATTTCTGTTTCCTAATTAAAGGAAACATTTCGAAATTTCACAATAGAACAGTCATGTGTAATAGGTGCACCTGAACTTGTTGACCAGAGGGGAGGCATGGAGATGATGTGGAGACGTAAGTTCAGATAACTCCTTCAACTCTGAGCCGTGACCACTCCTGACACTGTCCTTGTGCCGTGAGAACAGGGTTAACGCTAAAAAGTAAACCACAGTCAATTCATTCTGGGTGATAATTATTGACTGTCTCTCTTCCTTGTACTAAAACCTGCACCCAACTTTCGAAAGTCACTTCACAACGGTGATTTAAATGAATATTTAGACCACCTCAAAATCTAAAACTACAGTACTTCTTTAATGCAATGACTAGTTAGTCCCTCCGAGAGAACGGATTTAGACCACCTCAAAATCTAAAACTAGTCTCTTCGGGATTTTTGTCCCCAAACAATACTGTCTGAGCACCACAATCAAGAGAAGGGCTCCACTGACCAGTGTCGGTTTGGGAGGAAGAGAGGAGGTCGAGGTAGAAATGAACAAACACTGGGAAGAGAATCTGCGACACCTCGGCCTTGTGGGTGTGGTCTTTCTCCCGGGTGAAACTCAGCAGTCTGCACGTGACAAACACATCTCACGCGTAAGTTCCTCACTCTACACATTCTATATACTGCCCTTCTACTGTTAGAATGGCAGTAGAATACTATGTATGTATAAGGATACGGACGATGACAATAGATCGAACTTACCTTTCAAAAGAGCGGAGAGTTTCTGCAGGGCTCGAATCACTACGAAAAAAACCACAGTTTACAGAAAAATGGGCCTATACAACATCTGTACACATATATGTACTACACTATGCATACACCTGTACGAACTATAATGATTAATCACATGTTACCATCTCCTCTAATAAGTCTACAGCAGTCATTGAAAATAACACCAGTCTAGTGTAGACCTATGTATGTAAGCTATGTGTTCTAGCAACAGTAACATGTATACACTGACATGGTGCAGAGAGCGGTGATGCTGGTTCCGTTAGACGTCTCCATGTCCACTGAACTCAACATGAGCAGCTCCCGGAGCGTGTGCGTGTTCTGAGCGTCCCCCTAAGGGCGGTAAACAAAGCATAAATCCTACAAAGCCTATTTCTTCGACGCGTTTGCGGGCGATTACGGCCCAGAGGTACGTACGGCATAGTTCTTGTTCTGGAGAGCTCCCTGGATATCTTCCATGAGCCGATCCTCGCCCCTGTGGCCCGTATGAACAGACATCTCTAGCTCCAGCCGCTAAAAGCCGCCAATTTCTCTAAATAATGCGCACCTCATTTTAAACTCTTTCTCGACGCGCACGTGTGACAGAAGCGCTCGTTTCGTCGGAGAGGATCTAGGAGAGATGGAAAAAGCTGGGTCTAAGCCAGTTACAAGCCCCGGAGAAGCAGCTATCAGACCTGAGTGAGTGTAAAAAGACGATGTAGTGTTATAGTTTATCCTTTTCTGTGTTGTATTGTGTGTAGGTACATTGTGAAGCGTAATGCGAGCAAAGACGGCGAAATAGGGACGGAACTGAAGCAAGAGCAGTCAATAGTGGCTGTTGAAACTGAACAAACAGGAGATGGTAACGGACCACCACCGACGAAGAGGCGCAAAAAGGAGCGAGGCCAGAACAAACGCAGACCAAGAGCGGCAAGAGTGGACCACGCCGACCAACTCTGCCCCAGTCTCAACCACGGCGACCGGTCAAACCGGTTCTGCCAGTTTGGCGACAAGTGTCGCTACTGCCATGACTGCTCAGAGTTTCTTGCAAAGAAACCGCCTGACATCGCAGAATCTTGCCACCTCTTTACCAAACTGGGGAGGTGTCCGTACGGACTGGCCTGTCGCTATGGTAACAGTCACATGACTCCCGACCACCAGAACAGGATTAACGAGGATTTGTTTGATCCCGACAGAGCCGGCACGACGATTAATATAATTTCACGGAGTCTGCAGGAGAACTTGAGGAAAAAGAAAGTCGAACTTCCGAAGTCTGAAAAATTTCTAAAAGAGTTTGAGAGAGAAAAGAAAGGAATAAGAAACAACCAGAAGAGTTGTGAATTGGAGGAAGGAGGGAGTGGGAGAAAGGAGGAGAAGGAAGAGGGTGAGGGTGGAAAAGAAGTGGGTGAGGAGGGAAAAGGAGAGATGGAGAAAGGGGGAGAGGATAAAGAGAAGGGGAGAGAGGGAAAAGGAGAGGGGGAGGGAGAGATGGAGGAAGGGGGGGAGGATAAAGAGAGGAGGAGAGAGGGAACTATTGGCAATGGATCCACAGATGAAGTGAAGGAAGAACCTGCTAACCCAGAAGGCCGGGAAGTAGATGAAGTGAAGGAAGAACCGGCTAACCCAGAAGGCCGGGAAGTAGATGAAGCATCCGGGAAACGTGAATCAAGTGATGCAGCTAGTGAACCATCGCAGCCCGTGGAAGGTGCTGTAACTGATGAAGACACCGTGATATTGAGGCCCGAGGAGAGAAAGAAGGTAAACAGTAAACTATACAGTTACATTCACGCTCGAACTTTGCCATAAACGCAGAGGACATTGAAACCTGAGGAAGTAAACAATGGACATATATACAGCTAGTTTTACTCCCGCACTTTTTGCCTATACACATACATACTTGTTCTCACTAACTTTTCTTTCTTCAGATAGACTTCAGGGGGAAGCTGTACCTTGCTCCACTAACAACTGTAAGTTTGCACGTGGAAAAAACTTACTTCATTAGTCCCTTATCGAACGCCCCTTGATGTAAGTGTCCTTCCTCATAGAGCATTTGCAATATCTCGTGTGTGCATATGTACTGTACGGTGACTGTTGTTGTATGTATCTACTTAGGTGGGCAATCTTCCCTTTCGGAGGATCTGCAAAGAGTTTGGGGCCGACATTACGTGTGGAGAAATGGCAATGGCCACCAACCTACTGCAGGTAAATGTGGTCCATTCAATACTGTATGTATAGAATTTTTGTTTCCTGTAAATTTTTACATGGCTCACTGCTGTATTTTTGCAGGGGCAACAGAGTGAGTGGGCGCTATTGAAGCGCCATGCCAGCGAAGACCTGTTTGGTGTCCAGGTCTGCGGGGCTCACGTGGACAGCATGACCCGCTGTGCAGAGGTCGTCTCCACGCACGCAGAGGTGGATTTCATCGACGTCAATGTGGGCTGTCCTATTGACTTGGTCTGCAATAAGGTAATGTATGTGTGTTGCTGGTCCTATAACTGACCAGGTTTTTGCTTGAAAACTCAAAGCAGGTCATTTGTTAACTTTTTAGATCCTTGTAAACATTGACCGGTAGGTGGGGGTTAAATGTGTTACCATGCCGTGCCATTGAATAGCATTGGAAAGAAAATATCCAAAATGGTGCGTATACCAGTTAGTTTTCAATCTGAGGACGTCAGTGTAGTGGGCATGGGTAGCTGAATTTGTGTCTGCAAAACTTCTTATGCGTTACAATTGTGTCTGTGTGTGTCATGTGAGTGTCATGTGACGCAGGGTGCAGGGTGTTCGCTGATGGATAGGCGGACGAGGTTCGAGTCGATAGTGAGAGGAATGACAGCAGTGGCCAGCTGCCCTGTCACCGTCAAGATGAGGACCGGAGTCCATCACCGGAACTGGAACGCCCACAAACTCCTCCCACGACTGCAAGACTGGGGTGTCGCCATGGCAGCCGTGAGTGTAGTCCTGCCGACTGAAGTTGGTCTGTTTACCTCTGGCACAGAGTGTGCGAACCATTTTTTCTCCTCTACTTTTCTTCTTTTCCGTCTTCCTTCTTTTTACCTTCCTCTTTTCTTCCTTTTCTCGGTTTTTTCTCCTTCTTTTTCTTCTTTTTCTTCTTTTTTCTTCTCTCCCTTCTTTTTTATCTCCATCCTCTTCCCTCTCCCCCTCTCCCCCTCTCATCCCTCTCTTCCCTCTCCTCCCTCTCCCCCTCTCACCGACACTGAAAAGGTACACGGGAGATCGAGAGAGCAGAGGTACACGAAGCTGGCAGACTGGGGGTACATATCCCAGTGTGCCACGGCCGCTTCTCCTCTGCCAGTGTTTGGTTGCGGAGATATCCTGTCGTTTGAGGATTACGAGCAACACGCACAGGGCCAGGCCGGCATTATGATCGCCAGGTAAGTGGGGAGCATAATGTTAGGTTTTTCTATGACAGGTTTTTAACACATTACCAGAAGAAAGGGCAATTTAACGGTAATGTGAGGCTAAATTTAAAAAACCCAGTAATGTCATTGCATTCTTGCACTGGTCACATCTTTATATAGTAATATTTCTAAGTTTAGCCCTTGCTGCATAATACTGCCATATTCCCTATGGGGAGCACATGTTGAACCCTAAAGAGTAGTTAAGATACACAACCCTATTGTTTTACCCCATTACTTTCCCTTGGAAAAATGGTAGTTAGGGGTTAATACAAAATGATAAACGGATACCACAGGCACTGATGTTATAGAGAAATAAATTCATTTCCACAGGGGTGCACTAATTAAGCCGTGGATATTCACTGAACTCAAGGAAAGAAGGTGAGCACATAATCACCAGTGAAAGAAACTACCAAACTTAACATATACAATTATTTATTGACAAAACTGTTGTGATTGCCGCAGACACTGGGACATATCGTCGTCAGAGAGACTCGACATTTTGAGACGCTACGCAAACTACGGCCTGGAGCACTGGGGATCTGATACCATTGTAAGCCTTCCCTCCTTGTAGTCTACTTCCATCTCCGTGTGTCCTATCATTAACAAAGTTTGAGAGGGAGTTGTTTTTGTTTACAAACAATCACCTAATTTTACATTTAGAACCATAAATTTTTGAGTCTGAGTTTGTGGGCAAACAGCACAAAGTATAGATTTAGACATACAACCTTTGAAGATCAATAAAACTTGTCACAATCTGTTTCCCTCGCGTTCAAAAGGGAGTGGAGAACACGAGAAAATTTCTGCTGGAGTGGCTGAGTTTCCTCTACCGCTACATCCCCGTGGGTCTACTGGAGAGGGTTCCCCAGACGATCAACGAACGACCTCCGCTGTACCACGGCAGAGACGAGCTGGAGACGCTGATGGCCTCGCACTACTGCAACGACTGGATCAAGATCAGGTGAACTATATAATATATAATATATAGGCTCTGGATGCATGAGTCTGTGGCTGGTTAACTCTCCCTTCCTTTCTACAGTGAGATGTTATTGGGACCTGTACCATCAAACTTCACCTTCCTTCCAAAACACAAGGCCAACTCCTACCTCCAGCATTAATATTATACATACCTCGCATTCTTTATTGCAGCTAATTGTTTTATTTTGAAATTGAAAATCATGGTTCACAAAGAGAGTAACGAAACATGATGAACTGATAAGATATATATTATGTATAATGGTGAACATAGAGAGTGTTCATGGAAATCTCATTTCTTTGTTTTGCCTTTTTTCTGATGGTTTTTTGCCAGCCACACCTTTCCCCTTCCCTCCTCCTCCCCCTCCCTCTCTCTTGGTTGCTCTTGACGACGATGCGATGCGTCGACGTCTCCTTCGTCTTCAGCATGCGATCCGAGTAGCTGTCCGATTCCGGTTCCGAATCGGGACCCTCTTCTTCGTTGTCGTTGTCGTGGTAATCTGTCGTCGAGGCGACACGGGATTTCTTGGCATCACGGATGCCGTAATGCGTCTTGTGATGCTCCTTGTTGAATGTCCTAGTGAATGCTGCCTTCACCTATATACACAGCAAGAATTCATGGACACAAAAGATTAAGTCAATGATACGGAAAAGTTGGAACTTTTCTGTTTGAGCATTTACTTCAGGATAGAGTGTAGTTAGAGAAGTTTTACAGAAGTTGAACGAAACCTAACACACTATAATGTGTATGTACTGCACACGAAGCATGGAACCACTCCCTATAAGGACACACCTGAAACGAGGACACCATTTCTTTCCCCAAGAACAGTTCTCGCATGAAATTCAATAGGGAAACAATGCTATATTATTATAATTACGAACACTTTCTTCTGTCCCATTGGTGTCGGGACTAGATTATACGACGTACCTTGGAGGGGAGTTCTGAGATCTTGTTCGGTCGACCGCTGAACTGATTCAACTCCACAATGGAATCCCAGTCCTCCCTGACGAGGTCATAGGTCGTCATCATGGCAACCACTCCCGGTACACCATCACCTCCCTACGGATACACAGTCACATGACAAAAATGAAAATTTCTTTATCGAAAAGCTGCTTTCAGTGATTCATTAAGGTTTGTGTCACTATCACATGAGACTAAACAGGGATCAGGTGACTGTCATGTGACACGGTTACCTGAGAGAGGAGGGGCTGGGTTAGTCGTGAGTGAAGAACGGGGAGGTAGTCCAGTCCGAATTCTGTCTTGTTACACGATGTTCTGCAGCATACAGTGTCAGAAGTGTGTACCACAAAAGCAATGGTGCAGCTGTTCACCTGAGTCTAGTGTGCCTCTGCAGCTCCTGAAGAAGTCGGTCGTTCTTGCCTCGTGCGGAGTGGTTGCCAAGCCAACGAGGGAACTCTGGTCGTCCCATACCTCCTCTCATTAGCTGACCCGGTAGGACACTGGAGAATATGGCCTGGTGGAGAGAGGGGGAGGGGAGGGGGGAGGGGAGGGTCAAATTGAAGTTTTTGGAACTTTGGAAGACATTTAATGGAGTAGAGTTAGACACATTGCAGTTATATAGCAGGAGTGTCCTGTGTGCATGGGTCAACAGAATGAATTGTGCGAATATATACATGCACTCACACACACACTGACAATGACAAAAGAAGAACAAGAAAGATGCACAACCCCAGACCCACACACACACACACACACCACACACAGAGATGATGACGAAAAAGAACAAAGACCCCCGACCTGGACAGGTAAGAGACCCCACTGGGAGGCACTCCTGATCATCCTCTCTACGATATCTCCGTCGCTGACGCAGTCCGCAGTCTCTGCCAACAGTCTCAGCGTCTGTTTCACGTCTCCTCTGAGACGGACAGAGACAGGGGTAAGGATTAGTGCTGCTTTCAGTGAAAAAAGCAGGCATTTTGTGTAGAACAGACCTGCAACACAGTTTCACCACCGATTTTACTGAATCGTGGAAATTTCTGTAAGGTTACCTGCTGCACAACAATGGTACCCCTCTCCCCCAAATGAGGACACCTCTCTAATAAAGACGCATTTTCTTCCCCAAGAACAGTGATATAACCATGAACTATGAGGGCCAATAGGGGGAGAGAGAGCTAACTTTGCCTGCAGTGGTCTGACTGAAGGGTAGTTCTCCTGCACAAACAGTGGCGCCAGACTGTAGTCGTGGAAAAACAGGTCCGACCTGTACAACAAGAAACACTATAAACTTATCAAACGATGTCATTATGATGTAGTATTTACACAATAGCAGAGAGTCAACCAGACCCAGAGCATGGATGTTGTAATGATGATACGCACCAACAATAAGTAGTGATGTCATGATGATGTAATGCTACCAGCACCCACCTTTCAGCTAGGGACAGCTCTCTACTTCCGTCAACTGGCATGAACACCAATTTTATCACATCAAACGGATTCTGGAGAGAAAATATTTTTGCCAGTCCTTAAATTTCTTTTTCAAGCCTCACTTTTACGTATGTTCTGGGATCATTAACCCTTAGCAAGCCACGGACATGCTTATTGAAGGAGATACCCATGGTGTCCAAAGGGTTATTAAATACAGAAAACCCTCAACTTTATATACATGTACACGTAAGTATAGGAGGCTCTTTTTTGAATATTTTGCAATATTTTTCTTACCAATTTTGATTCCTTTTTTGCAGATTTAGCGGTCTCCTTCGCCTTGTCATAGTCCATGTTCTTGTCTGTCGCAGTCCACACCGACAGATTATGTAATACCTTTAAATAGCACAAACACATCATGTAATACCTTTAAATAGCACAAACACATCATGTAATACCTTTAAATAGCACAAACATATTATGTAAACATAGCACACACATATTATGTAATACCTTTAAATAGCACAAACATATCACGTAATACCTTTAAATAGCACAAACATAACCTCAAGTAATACCTTTAAATAGCACAAAATTTATTATGTAATACCTTTAAATAGCACAAACATATTATGTATGTAAAGAGCACACACCATATGATGGAATACCTTTAAATAGCACAAACATAACCTCAAGTAATACCTTTAAATAGCACAAAATCATGTAATACCTTTAAATAGCACAAACATATTATGTAAATAGCACACACATATTATGTAATACCTTTAAATAGCACAAACATAACATCAAGTAATACCTTTAAATAGCACAAACATATCATGTAATACCTTTAAATAGCACAAACATTATTATGTAATACCTTTAAATAGCACAAACATATCATGTAATACCTTTAAATAGCACAAACATATTATGTAAATAGCACACACTTTATGTAAACCTTATAGCACAAACATACTCAAGTAATACCTTTAAATAGCACAAACATATACGAATACTTAAAAGCACAAACAAATTTAGTAATACCTTAAATAGCACAAACATATGTAAATAGCACACAATATTCGTAATACCTTTAAATAGCACAAACAATCATGTAAACTTTAATAGCCAAACATACCCCAAGTAATACCTTAAATAGCACAAATATTATGTATACTTAAATAGACAAACATATTATGTAAATAGCACACACTATTAGTAATACCTTTAAATAGCACAACATATAGTAAAAGGCAACCACACTATTTGTAATACTTAAATAGCCAAACAATAAGTAATCCTTTAAATAGCAAAACACATTATTAAACGTGTGTTGACTTAAATTTCTGAGTGTAGGTCGCAGACACTACCTGTCTAATGTCTTGGCCAGGGAGGCCATAATGACTCGGCAGAGTGCGTTGGACGCCATTTCACAACTCCGTGTAGCAGATGCTCATCATGGCACTTCGTATTTGGTCAACCTTTGGTCTCGGGCATCGCAGGTCGAAACAGTGGTTGGATAGCGAGCGGAATCTTCTTGGGTTGCTCGACGGTCGTTGCAGATACTATGATGGGGACTTAGTCATCTCTCTCATTGTGATCTCATCCTCCGTGTAAACAGACGGAGTAAGACATAATATTCATGTACTCCATTAAACTAATGCAAGTATACATCCACACAGTTTACTCTTTCACAAATGCGTAGAAGTTAAAACCCTTGGGCGCCATGCTGGGCCGGAACTACTCTCACACGCTATATATATCATACATATGACCCCGTGCGCCCTAAACGCCACCCACAATGGGCTATCTCCTTCTAAATACAAAGCATACGCTAGAGATATTGCCATCGGCTTGTGCTAAGGTTCAGGACACATGTAAGGACAGAAAGGTACTTAAAGATGGACTAAGCAGTAGGTCCCGTGCCTAAGAATGCCCGCAACATACGTTTCCGTTATCTTGATCTAACATATGGTGTTGCCTCTTCATCTCTTTATTTACTGCCACATTCATAAAAAGTGATTTCTTTATTGTCTCACTGAACCACGACTCTGTTCTCACCTTCCTCGCTGTCTTCATCTCCTGGCCATGCCCTTCCGTCCACTCGTCCCTTATAGAGCGCATGTCTCCGCGCACCCAATGCCACGCCACTTTACCACCGAGACGATGACCGTCGTGCGAATTACGCGTCAATGAGGGCAGTCGAGACTGTCCAGCCCGACGCCTCCACTACGTGTAGTGTATCGCTGCTTCTTGTCCCTGTGCAGCACTGGTCATTACGTTCCACATACGAGTACTCAGCCTCCGTGGCGTGCGTAGATGAGTTTGACCACTATCATGTGACTATCACAGTTACGGTGTTGACTATATACTTGTGGAGTACACTATCCTGCCGTACTTTGTCAATGTGCACCTTGCAAACTCTAGCTGTAGTCCAAAAATATCAAGGATGGTTGCGTTTAAGGCACTGTCCTCCTTCCCCCCACGTGCTACTAAAAGTACAAAATGTTCTAGGCCAAACTTTTCCCAATTGTACAAGGGCCCATTACTTGCCTGCAACTTTCGATGTAGTACAAGTATAAGGATGGTTGGTTCGCCTGTCCTTCCATCACTTGCTTACTAAAAGTACCAACAACTGTTTAGGACACCTTTTCCACAGGCCTACCCGGGATACTTGCACTGCAACATCTAGCTGTAGTCAACGCTATTGAGGATGGTTGGTTAGACTGTCCTTCCCCCCCACTTGACTTACTAAAAGTAACCAAACGTTTAGGCCACCTTTTCCCACAGGATCTACTACAGGCATCGAGTGACTTGCACTGCACACTCTAGCTATAGGCGTAAGGTATTAGCCTAGCTATGGTGGTCGTAGCCTGTCCTTCCCATACATTGCTCGCTAAAAGTACAAAGGGTTTAGCGCACCTTTTCCCACATGTACCACGCGGGTATTACTTGCGCACGGCACCATCTATTAGCTATAGGCAGATGTATTGAGGATGGTTGTTGCCTTCCTTCCCATCACAGAGGCTCGCTAAAAGTACAAAAAGATTACGGCCACCTTTTCCCCACATGTACCAGGGATTCCCACCCACGTCTGCACTGCACACTCTAGCGTAGTCAAAGTATTGAGGATGGTTGGTTTAGCCTGTCCTTCCCCTCCACACTGCTCACTAAACGTACAAAAGGTTTAGGCCACCTTTTGCCCAACCTGTCCCAGGGATTACTTGCACCACAGTGCACACTCTAGCTGTAGGACCCAAAGTATTAAGGTGTGGGTTAAGCCTGTCCTCATACACTTGCTTACTACAAACCACGCTGCTCCCGACCAAAAATGTTTCGGCAACCCCCTGTTCCACAGGTACCAGGGATTATTCTGCACTGCACCAACTATAGCTGTAGGTCAAACTATTTTCTGTATGCGGAGGTTGGTTAGCCTGTCCTTCCAAACCACATTGCTTACTAAAAGTCCTCACACCACGTTTAGGCAAACTTTTCCCACAGGTATCTATATACCAGGGATTACCTTGCCACACTGCACACTCTAGCTATCGTCAGAGTTTGAGGTGGGTTGGTTAGCCCTTCCTTCCCCATCCACTTGCCTCGTAAAAGGACAAAGGGTTCTAGCGAACCCCCTCTCTACCCCAACATTGTACCCACGGGATTATCCCTGAAATGCACACTCTAGCCCCTCTATAGTCGAGTATAGAGTATTGAGGATGGTTGGTTAGCCTGTCCTTCCCACTCACCTTGCTCGCTAAAGTACAAAAGTTAGGCCACCTGTTCCACAGGTATAGATATCAGGGATTACTGTGCACTGCACACTCTAGCGTAGTCAAGTATTGAGGATGGTTGGTTAGCCTGTCCTTCCCTCACTTGCTTCTAAAAGTACAAAAGTTTAGGCCACCTTTTCCCACAGGTACCAGGGATTACTTGCACTGCACACTCTAGCTATAGTCAGAGTATTGAGGATGGTTGGTTAGCTGTCCTTCCCTCACTTGCTCGCTAAAAGTACAAAAGGTTAGGCCACCTTTTCCCACATGTACCAGGGATAACTTGCACTGCACACTCTAGCTGTAGTCAAACGTATTGAGGATGGTGGTTAGCCTGTCCTTCCCTCACTTGCTTACTAAAAGTACAAAAAGTTTAGGCCACTTTTCCCACAGGTATATATATACCAGGGATTACTTGCACTGCACACTCTAGCTGTAGTCAAAGTATTGAGGATGGTTGGTTAGCCTGTCCTTCCCCTCACTTGCTTACTAAAAGTACAAAAATTTTAGGCCACCTTTTCCCACATGTACCAGGGATTACTTGCACTGCACACTCTAGCTATAGTCAGAGTATTGAGGATGGTTTGTTAGCCTGTCCTTCCCATCACTTGCTCGCTAAAAGTACAAAAAGTTTAGGCCACCTTTTCCCACAGGTATATATAATACCAGGGATTACTTGCACTGCACACTCTAGCTGTAGTCAAAGTATTGAGGATGGTGGTTAGCCTGTCCTTCCCCTCACTTGCTTACTAAAAGTACAAAACGTTTTAGGCCACTTTTCCCACAGGTAATAATATAACCAGGGATTACTTGCACTGCACACTCTAGCTGTAGTCAAAGTATTGAGGATGGTTGGTTAGCCTGTCCTTCCCATCACTTGCTCGCTAAAAGTACAAAAGGTTTAGGCCACCTTTTCCCACATGTACCAGGGATTACTTGCACTGCACACTCTAGCTATAGTCAGAGTATTGAGGATGGTTGGTTAGCCTGTCCTTCCCATCACTTGCTCGCTAAAAGTACAAAAAGTTTAGGCCACCTTTTCCCACAGGTGATATCAGGGATACTTGCACTGCACACTCTAGCTGTAGTCAAGTATTGAGGATGGTGGTTAGCCTGTCCCTTCCCCTCACTTGCTTACTAAAAGTACAAAAGGTTTTAGGCCACCTTTTCCCACAGGTACCAGGGATACTTGCACTGCACACTCTAGCATATAGTCAGAGTATTGAGGATGGTTGGTTAGCCTGTCCTTCCCCCCACTTGCTCGCTGAAAGTACAAAACGTTTAGGCCACCTTTTCCCACAGGTATATATATACCAGGGATTACTTGCACTGCACACTCTAGCTATAGTCAGAGTATTGAGGATGGTTGGTTAGCCTGTCCTTCCCATCACTTGCTCGCTAAAAGTACAAAAGGTTTAGGCCACCTTTTCCCACATGTACCAGGGATTACTTGCACTGCACACTCTAGCTGTAGTCAAGTATTGAGGATGGTTGGTTAGCCTGTCCTTCCCATCACTTGCTCACTAAAAGTACAAAAAGTTTAGGCCACCTTTTCCCACAGGTACCAGGGATTACTTGCACTGCACACTCTAGCTATAGTCAAAGTATTGAGGATGGTTGGTTAGCCTGTCCTTCCCCTCACTTGCTTAGCTATGAAAGTACAAAAGTTTAGGCCACCTTTTCCCACAGGTACAGGGATTACTTGCACTGCACACTCTAGCTATAGTCAGAGTATTGAGGATGGTTTGTTAGCCTGTCCTTCCCATCACTTGCTCGCTAAAAGTACAAAAAGTTTAGGCCACCTTTTCCCACATGTACCAGGGATTACTTGCACTGCACACTCTAGCTGTAGTCAAAGTATTGAGGATGGTTGGTTAGCCTGTCCTTCCCCTCACTTGCTTACTAAAAGTACAAAACGTTTAGGCCACTTTTCCCACAGGTATATATATACCAGGGATTACTTGCACTGCACACTCTAGCTGTAGTCAAAGTATTGAGGATGGTTGGTTAGCCTGTCCTTCCCCTCACTTGCTTACTAAAAGTACAAAATTTTAGGCCACCTTTTCCCACATGTACCAGGGATTACTTGCACTGCACACTCTAGCTATAGTCAGAGTATTGAGGATGGTTGGTTAGCCTGTCCTTCCCATCACTTGCTCGCTAAAAGTACAAAAGGTTAGGCCACCTTTTCCCACAGGTAATATACCAGGGATTACTTGCACTGCACACTCTAGCTGTAGTCAAGTATGTGAGGATGGTTGGTTAGCCTGTCCTTCCCCTCACTTGCTTACTAAAAGTACAAAAATTTTAGGCCACCTTTTCCCACAGGTACCAGGGATTACTTGCACTGCACACTCTAGCTATAGTCAAAGTATTGAGGATGGTTGGTTAGCCTGTCCTTCCCATCACTTGCTCGCTAAAAGTACAAAAGGTTTAGGCCACCTTTTCCCACATGTACCAGGGATTACTTGCACTGCACACTCTAGCTATAGTCAGAGTATTGAGGATGGTTTGGTTAGCCTGTCCTTCCCATCACTTGCTCGCTAAAAGTACAAAAAGTTTAGGCCACCTTTTCCCACATGTACCAGGGATTACTTGCACTGCACACTCTAGCTGTAGTCAAAGTATTGAGGATGGTTGGTTAGCCTGTCCTTCCCCTCACTTGCTTACTAAAAGTACAAAAGGTTTAGGCCACCTTTTCCCACAGGTACCAGGGATTACTTGCACTGCACACTCTAGCTATAGTCAGAGTATTGAGGATGGTTGGTTAGCCTGTCCTTCCCTCACTTGCTCGCTGAAAGTACAAAACGTTTAGGCCACCTTTTCCCACAGGTATATATATACCAGGGATTACTTGCACTGCACACTCTAGCTATAGTCAGAGTATTGAGGATGGTTGGTTAGCCTGTCCTTCCCATCACTTGCTCGCTAAAAGTACAAAAAGTTTAGGCCACCTTTTCCCACAGGTACCAGGGATTACTTGCACTGCACACTCTAGCTGTAGTCAGAGTATTGAGGATGGTTGGTTAGCCTGTCCTTCCCCTCACTTGCTTACTAAAAGTACAAAAGGTTTAGGCCACCTTTTCCCACAGGTACCAGGGATTACTTGCACTGCACACTCTAGCTGTAGTCAGAGTATTGAGGATGGTTGGTTAGCCTGTCCTTCCCATCACTTGCTTACTAAAGTACAAAAGTTTTAGGCCACCTTTCCCACAGGTACCAGGGATTACTTGCACTGCACACTCTAGCTGTAGTCAAAGTATTGAGGATGGTTGGTTAGCCTGTCCTTCCCATCACTTGCTCACTGAAAGTACAAAAAGTTTAGGCCACCTTTTCCCACATGTACCAGGGATTACTTGCACTGCACACTCTAGCTATAGTCAGAGTATTGAGGATGGTTGGTTAGCCTGTCCTTCCCCTCACTTGCTCGCTAAAAGTACAAAAGTTTAGGCCACCTTTTCCCACAGGTACCAGGGATTACTTGCACTGCACACTCTAGCTGTAGTCAAGTATTGAGGATGGTTGGTTAGCCTGTCCTTCCCATCACTTGCTCGCTAAAAGTACAAAAGGTTTAGGCCACCTTTTCCCACAGGTACCAGGGATTACTTGCACTGCACACTCTAGCTATAGTCAGAGTATTGAGGATGGTTGGTTAGCCTGTCCTTCCCATCACTTGCTCGCTAAAAGTACAAAAGGTTTAGGCCACCTTTTCCCACAGGTACCAGGGATTACTTGCACTGCACACTCTAGCTGTAGTCAAAGTATTGAGGATGGTTGGTTAGCCTGTCCTTCCCCCCCCACTTGCTTACTAAAAGTACAAAGGTTTAGGCCACCTTTTCCCACAGGTACCAGGGATTACTTGCACTGCACACTCTAGCTGTAGTCAGAGTATTGAGGATGGTTGGTTAGCCTGTCCTTCCCATCACTTGCTCGCTAAAGTACAAAAGGTTTAGGCCACCTTTTCCCACATGTACCAGGGATTACTTGCACTGCACACTCTAGCTATAGTCAGAGTATTGAGGATGGTTGGTTAGCCTGTCCTTCCCCCATCACTTGCTCGCTAAAAGTACAAAAGTTTAGGCCACCTTTTCCCACAGGTACCAGGGATTACTTGCACTGCACACTCTAGCTATAGTCAGAGTATTGAGGATGGTTGGTTAGCCTGTCCTTCCCATCACTTGCTCGCTAAAAGTACAAAAGGTTTAGGCCACCTTTTCCCACAGGTACCAGGGATTACTTGCACTGCACACTCTAGCTGTAGTCAAAGTATTAAGGATGGTTTGTTAGCCTGTCCTTCCCCCCACTTGCTTACTAAAAGTACAAAAGGTTTAGGCCACCTTTTCCCACAGGTACCAGGGATTACTTGCACTGCACACTCTAGCTATAGTCAGTGTATTGAGGATGGTTGGTTAGCCTGTCCTTCCCATCACTTGCTCGCTAAAAGTACAAAAGATTTAGGCCACCTTTTCCCACAGGTACCAGGGATTACTTGCACTGCACACTCTAGCTGTAGTCAGAGTATTGAGGATGGTTGGTTATCCTGTCCTTCCCATCACTTGCTGTCTAAAAGTACAAAAAGTTTAGGCCACCTTTTCCCACAGGTACCAGGGATTACTTGTACTGCACACTCTAACTCTAGTCAAAGTATTGAGGATGGTTGGTTAGCCTGTCCTTCCCCCCACTTGCTTACTAAAAGTACAAAAGATTTAGGTCACGTTTCATTTTCATACCCTCTAATAGGCACACAAAAACTTATTAGTGAAGTGTGTATGTAATACGTGTCCACAGGGAAGGGTTCCACTGTACTGAAAGGAATTCCCCATCATGTGATGTCATGTGACTAGTCATGTGACCCACCTCACAGGCTAGGACGGCAGTCGTCGTCTTGCCAACACCGGGTGGTCCAGACAGCAGAGCAGCTCGGAGTCCCGCCCCATCTCCTTGGCTAGCTCCGCCCCACCCTTTCTTCCCTCCGCCCGCACCACCCTTCACTTTACTACGGTTCTTTTCCCAGTCCATTAGCCACCTATGTATTATGTATTGTCATGTGACTAGTCATGTGACCCACCTATGTATTATATGTAGCAGTAATAGATGGTAGGAGCATTAGGTGTTAGTGTTACACAATTAAAGGCCTACACATGATCAAACATTTCAAGTACGTTTGAAAACAGTCACCAAAAACCTCTAAAACCGTATATAGTGTAACAGACAAGTAGACAGATTGACGCAGAATTTAGCCACAAGACAAAAAGGTAGAATACAGGACAGACAAGATAGAATAGACACCTGAGTAGTTTCCTGGCACTGCTCTTGTCTCCCTGCTGTCCAATGACGTTCTTCAGACACCTCGGCCTGTACTTGTCTACCCACATCAGGTCACCTGACCCCATGATGTAATGATGATGTAATAATTAACGCTCTATATTGAAAATCACTCACCATTCTTTTGTGGCTTAGGCGTTTCAGTCGAACTGTTTGCACCACCCGGTGACGGTGTTGCCATGGCAACGGTAGTAGTCACATGTTTCCTGTTGGGCGTGGCTATGATGTCGTCGCCTCTGACAGTGGCCGAGGGGGGCGACTTGGACCCGAATTTCGCCCCCCTCGTTGACCTTCTGGCCCCCGGGGGCGAGGACGATGAGGAGGATTTCCTGGAGGTGGTTGCCAGGCGTTTCACGGAGCAACGCCCACCAGCAGCCTTCTTCCCCGGACGAGTCCTCAACAGCTCTAGCAGCCCGTCCTCGTCGATTCTCTTTGTACCCAGCTGAGCTGCCTACACATACACGTCAGATGCAGTGTCACTCACTACAGCAGTGGACACCAATTTGATAGCAAACTGTTCTCAAACTCAGCATGCAAGAAAGGTGTCCTTATTAGACAAGTCATTTCAGGGGTTCCACTGTAGCGACTCACTCTAAATTTCATGGATTGGGCAAATTTTTTTTTATGGTACACATTATTTTTGTTGAACTATCTATCCTCCATTTACACATGTACTGAGTGTTTAGCTGACCTTAGCTAGTTTGGACTCTCCTGCCTCTTCTCCCACCACCAGATAGCTGGTCCTCCTACTGAGACTTGTCGTCACTTTACCACCATACCTGCAACAATCATAATTTCCAGCGATGTAATGGTGAAGTAATTGATCTGTTGTAACTGTAGCACAACATCATCATCAAAAAGTCTTTTCTAGCTATAATTTTGCATATATCTTTTTTAGTGATCTTACGAAATTTTCGCAGATTTTTACTTACGCAAAAGAGATGGAAATTTTACCTCTTGACGATGTCAGCTGCTTCCTCTCTCTCCAGACTCTCCAGAACTCCAGTGATGATAAATGTCAAACCATCGAAACAGTTCTCCTCCCCCTTCGGAACCACCTTTGACCCCGGAGCCTTCGGACCACTTCGATTCATGTAGCTACGGTAACTGCTGCCCCGGTACACTTTGGGCGTTGTCCCGGGTGTGGTACCGCCACCCGGGCGGGGTCCCGAGGAAGGAGTTGTTGTTTTAGTGGGTGGAGCTTGGGGTCTCGAAACCAGTTGAACCGGAGTAGAAACCTGTTTTACTGGAGACGTCTTTGAAACTGGTTTGACTGGAGTAGAAACCTGTTTAGTCAGAGTGGGCACCACAACATTTTCATGCCGCGTATCTTCAATCTTCTTCTTTGGAGTCTTCACGGGAGAGGCTGATTTGTCTTTGTCAAATGTCAGTCCGGGTTGCTTTACAAGGTAGTCCTCCCTCTCGGGTGTCCCCTGTCGCCGTGGGGACGCCCCTGGCTTACGAGGGGAAATGCAGGCGAGGGTAGAAGACGAAACGCTTGTCGTGAGGACCGCCTGTTCTCTTTTCTTCACGTCTCCCCCTCCTCCACCCCCCTTCCCCACTGATTCATCCCCACTATCATGACGTTTCTTGAAAGACTTCGGAGGATCGACCGTATCCTTCTCTCTCCGTTTTTCACCTCTCTCCTTCTCCTCATCTTTATCCTTCTTCACACTGCTCTTGCCCCGTTTCTTGGCCTTTGAAAAATCTTCTTTCTTGTCTCTCTCTTCTTCCTCACTGTCGTCCAGGTACTTGATGACTTTGCGGGCTTTGGGGGGTTTTGTGCGAACTGCCCTTTCCTTCCGTTCCTCGATGCTTTTCTCGGATGTTTCCGACTTGACTTTCTTGGTTTTCTGGGCACACTTGCAGATTTTCTTGCCACACACGTCACAGTCTGACTTTGAACTTGTTGTTTCGCTCTCTCTCGCTTCCTCAGTCTCTTCCTCCCTCAACCTCCCTCTTTTCGTCTTCTTACGGGGCGATCTCCTCACTCCCTCTTTCTCCTTCCCTCCCTCTCTCTCTCCGTGTCCGTCTCCCCCATCCCTCGACTGCGGACGAGGCGACGACATTTTCGGAGGGGTGGCAATTCTGGTCACCTCAATACTGAGTCTCTTGGTTGGAGTGGCAGTATAGGAAGGTTGAGACGGCCCTTCGGACTTTAAAAAGGAGAAGAAAACCATGATAAGAAAAACCAGCATAAGACTTGTGTAAAATGTATACATCACTTAGAAGCAACTTTTGAGGTCTATGAATGCAGTTAGTTTTGGCAGTGTGACACAAAAAAAACTTTCGTAGTTTGATGAAAGTTGAAGTGTTTAGTTATATAGTAGGTATAAACAGTCGGCAATGTACATAACGCAAGGCAAACACAACGCAAGGCAAAGAGAACCTGGCTCACCTGTACCTGTGAAACAGAGGAGTGGTGGTTATCTGGAGGTTCAGTGGGAGACTCAGACACTCGCACAACCTCCTGTGAATCACAACAGACATTTCCACCATAAAAACAGCAACACTCTACATACAATAAGCAAACGTACACGAACAATGTATTAGTGGGGATGCTGTGTGGATTAACTACATGTATACCAGTTCCACCAACTAATATAATATGCTGCAACTGGCAAGGGAGGTTCATCTGAATTGCAGCACTACACATACTGTAATGTCTTCATGATTCTAAATACACGTGTGCTAAAATTATACTCTGCGTGGAAAAAATGTGTTCTGTTCGACATACCTCATCTTTCCGCTTTTCGTCACTGGAAGACTTGAAGTAAGGACTCCTCTTCACTGGCGCTGAACCAAAGAAATCCGTCGCACTCTTAACCTCCTTCTTCACTCCCACCGCCAACGATGACTTGACCTTTGACCTGCCTCTCACAGCCGTGGGTGAAATGACCTTTGACTTCCCTGCCACGGCCGAGTGGGACTTGACCTTTGACCCCAATCTAGGGGGCGTGGCCTTTACCTTCTTCTTGGGAGCTTCGTCTTCTGAATCTAACATAAGCAGTAATAGAGGAACCACACTACAATAGCAGTTACACCAACTTCAAATCCCCAGACACAGATGAAACGTGAATAAAACGGAAGGCCTCTCGAAGGCACGGAAATTGAAGGCAAGGCACGGCCTATTAGCAGCCAGGGTATTATACAGAGTTATGTGCTGACTGTATACACCAACTGTGTGAAATGGTCAACATACCTGAATCCATGATCCTCTTTCTACGTCTCTTTCTCTTCGTCTCCCCAACCTCCGTCTTTCCTCTCTTGGTCCCTGATCCCGAGTCAACTGAGGCTCTCCTGAAATCATCTTCATCGTCTTCCAACACCACTGCCGTCTATAGGACAGCAACACACAGCAGCAAAATCAGCCATACATTGCAGCTGTAGATGGCAAAAGTACTTAATATGCAAAGTGGAACTTTACGAGGAATAAAAGGCTTGTTTTCTCTCTTGAACGTTGCCTGATGTATGGAAAATCACAGATCTGCTGCTATACTACTTCAATCATTCCATTCATAAGGAGAAGGGAGAGAGAGAAAGGGACAAGAATAAAACAAGCACGTGATCTCTGTACTTTTTTGTCCTTTCCCTCTTTGGCCGTTTTACTCTGTCTCTGGAACAGTACTCGCAGGTCCATAGACTGCAGTAAAATACCAGTGAAAATGTGTGCACGTGAAACACCCGTGCAAGCACCTCCAAAAGGGCGTCCATCAATTATAATTATAAACAGAAGGGGCTCCAAATAGGGATGTAGACAAACTGCAAAAGTGTCTGCAGCTGTTACAGAGTCCTTACCATCTTGAAGGGGTCGTTTTCTGCGTACAGCGAGCGCAGAAAAAACTTGTGTAATCAAACTCCCGTCCTGATTGCCTGATGGAGCTAAATAGAGCGAGTTCCACCTGCGCTGCGTCGTCCTGCACGCAAACACGCGCATGCGCAGTTGTTAAACCCACGACGCGCATACAGCCCCACCCCCGATTTTCTGTTGTTCTGGAGTACATAGTAATTATGTACGAGAGAATTTATAGACGTGGAGTTTCTCAGTGCCAGTTCTTCGACTGATAATAAGTTCAGATGTGAGCCCATCTCCAGCCAACCGTTCACAGACATCACCTGCAGCAAAAACCAAAAACCTTATATAGCTAGCTCTAATACGTTAGACAGCTACTTACTTGGGCAGTTCTGTTCCAGTAGCACAAGATATAGTACACCACACGGAGAGAGCAATGCCCCTGCACTTGGCAGAAACCTATCTATTACCTATGATGTATTTGACATAGAACATTTTATGCATCTGGACTAGCTACATCAGAGATTAGGATTGCTACTTTACCTCTCTGCCATCTTTTCCACCAGCCCATGATGCCTCTATACCTGTTCCACCTACCTACAGGGGAAATATATAATCGCTATATGAGGTCCATCCCATCATGCATACTATCATAGCAATGCATACCTCTTGAGAGGGTGTCACTACGTACGGTGGATTGAACAGTAGCACATCAATCTTTCCAGCCATCCTGTCTGTAAAATTTGTAGCCTTTGCCACGTAAAATTTTATATAAAAGGCACAAAAAATAAAGGGCATAATACCAGGTCCATTGCCACTACATCAGAGGTAGTTATATTGTTTTTATGGAGAGTTTTCAAGCTGCAGAGACAAGCATGTGTGTTTATATCAACTGCCCTGTGTTGCATGGGAGGAAAAAACTGAATAGATTTGACCAGTGTGTAAATTTTTGACTGACCATAGATATTTTGGAGAGGGAATGAGGTTGGCTAGAAAGGTGATGACCGTGCCACTTCCAGAGCCTACCTCGAGACAAAATGTAGGGCTGCAGGGTTTACACGTGGGTTCACGCATGCGCATTAGCACACGCGCGAAGGTCGAAAACGCAACTCCCGAGCTCCGTACCTTATGGACGCTAGGAAGTCCACGTCGCTCTCTAATGCATCCATCAGCAGGAATGTGTCTTCTGCAGGTTCGTACACCCTCTCATAGTCGCTGCTACTCAGGTGAGAGAGATACGGAGTCGGAGCGGACATCCCTGCGCTCATTCCGTCATTTACGCGCAGCTTACGGGTGCGCGTTGACGTGACGTAATGACCACGTGTGTCTCCAACGTTCTTCTCGGGGTGTCCGACGCTCCTTGCAACGGACCAGTGCTTTCTCCCTATGAGAACAAGATAGGAGGGTATCCTGTGAGTCATAACACGCTTCCTTTCGCTCTACTTTCTGTATATAGCGTTCTGTGTGTTTGTGTAGGATTTCTTTCGGTCATCTTCTCTCCCTGCCCTGCCATGCTGTACTCTCTGCGGAGGGTTTCTTCAGCTGCTGGTACAGGTCTACTGTCCACTGGATGACTCAGTCAATCACAGACTACTGCATCTCTACTGCTGCACTCAGTCCACGTGCAACAGGACGAATGAAGGGTAAGACCACAGAACCTTCAAATACATTTTTACAATGATGTAGCTATATAGGTGCGTATAACTAATAGCATCATATTAAAACAAGTATCCTTCATACATAAGTTTCCTTAATCAAAGGTTGATATAAAGGAGTTTAAAATAATGAATTTGGTGCTGCAGATGGCTTGCTCTAAGATCAGAAGTTAAAGATTCGGCAATCTCTGATGTCAGTGGATCTACCACAAACACCACTGGGACCACTATCGAGACCACTCCAGGGACCACAGGGTACCATTCCAGACCACTGGGGACCAAACAACCACCAACTGTGAACAAATGGTGTTCTGGAGCAGATGACTGGGGAGAAGAAGAGGAAGGAACAGACCAAACATGAGTTTGAAAATGATTCGGGGATCATTACTCGACCGGCGGACGATTTCGTTCAAACGTCAAACCTGCAAGCTGGGTGTACTCCTAAAGAGCCTCTTACTGGACCATATATCGCCCCTATGTACATGTATGTTGTGGAACAACCGACAGAATGGAAACCCAGTGACCTCAAACAGGTCGAGGAGCTGCTACAGAAATACAAGACGGAGAATGAGGATGGTTTCGACGTCCCATCGTCATTGGAAGGTATTGTAAAGCGAGACTCCCATCAAAAGAGTGGTGTCGATAAGAGGGAAACAAGGCGGCAGTGGGTGCGAGGCGTACGAGAAGACAGTGGCTAGACACGGAGACCGGGCCTTCCACAAGCTCAAGAAGAGACTCTCCCTTTGCCCCAATCAAGTCCTCAGGTGAGAGGTATTGTGCATATAAAGGGGGAGAATAACATTCATAGACTGCTTTATTTATCCCACTGTATAATTATACAGACATTCGTACGTGTGTATTCTGTAGTTTTATAATCCCTCAGTGGGTGTATGTGTGCAATCTTATGTTTGGCCCAGGTACTGTTGGAAGGGTGAGCCCCTGTTAATCGGTGACTCAAATCGACCTCCCGATCCTTCTCAAATCACGTGCAAGACGTGTGGTTCCAAGTCAGTGTTTGAGTTCCAATTAATGCCACCCCTAGTCTATCTCCTGCGGCCGACCGAGAAGGGAAAGAGGGAGAAGGAGAGTGTGGGAGGGACAGCAGTTCTTGTAGTGGCGTGGAGTTTGGAACAGTGGCCGTGTACAGTTGTTCTGAGAGCTGTTGGGGTGGTGAAGATGATGGTGGGTTCAGGGAGGAGTCGGTTTGGGTTGTGGCTGATCCAGAGTCGGAACTTGTCAGTAAACTAACCAAACACTCAGTAAACTAACCAAACTCTTCATTATGTGCAGTATACTCAGTATTTTTGCAGTAAACTGACTCATGATGTGCCGTTGCAGTAACTAAGTTTGTCTATGCGCAGAATATTCTCAGTAATAATTTATGCGTCATCTGTAACCTACGATTTCACCACTGAGATGCTTTGAAAAATTCTTGTTTTACAGAATTTGAATCACCAATAAATGGAGGAGTGGGAAGTGAGAGGGTAAGGAGGGAGATAAATCCATAACATTGACACAGAAACACACAAAAATCAAGACAATTCTGGGGCAGAGTAATGAATACAAAACTTGGGGGAAGTGTTGGTGCAAATGGTTCTATTGTGAGAGACTAATACCAGTGGTTCTGCTGGTGCAGTTGATTGTGCTCATGTTCCACGCAGCCTGTGCGAGGCTTGGGTAACCGTAGTGGGCATTATTTGGAGGGTAGGGATAAGGGTTGTAGGCATAAGCCGAAGGAGGAGAATAGCGAGTGAGAGGAGGAGGAGTGCCGGTGGACGAGTAACCGTAGAGATCCTGCGACGACGGAAAGTAGCGCTTGTAAGGATGCAGCGAGTGAGACAGTCCAAATCTCGTCTGACTTGAGCCAAATGCAGCACTTGAGATCGTGCTCTTCGCCGGATTAACTGGGAGTGGCTTTTGAGGAATGGTTTTGGTTGTAGCAGTAGGTTTGGTTGCTAGTGGTTTCGTGGTAGTTACCCTATTGGTAGGTGGGGGCTTTGTTGCCTCAGGCACACTAGTGGCCGTAGTCGTTGAACTGGTTTTACCTGTCACAGAAACTGGTTTTGGAATCACTGTTTGTTGAGTGGACGGAGTTATTGTTGCGATGGGTTTGATATTGATGCTCCTCACACGATTAACATTGGCCGTCAAACTGGTTTGGGAAACTGGTTTGGAAGCAGTCGTTGTCTCTGTACACGTAACTGGGCCATTGCTTGCAGCCGATACTTCTCGTCTGCTGCTAGGTACAACAGGTTTAGCTGGTTCCACTCTGGTAATGATACATTCAGTTTCTGGTGTAGCCTTTACTGGCTGAGTGGCAGCTACCTTGCTTGATGGTCCACTAGTCTTGCTAATGTTAGTTGGAATATTTGCCAATCCTTTACTAGAGGCAGAAGGGACTGTTTTGCTGGGCCATTCGGTGTAGACCCAGTTGGTGCAGGTTTCACTGAGCTAACGGAAGCCTTGCCTGAAGTTGTTGCACTGGCTTTGCTGGTTGTCAATGCTTTGTTGGTGGTAGAACGTGTCGTCACAGGGCCCTTGGCTGAACCGGTAGATGCTTTCTTGGGTGATGTTGGTGTAGGTTTCGTCTTGGCTGAAATTGGTGTAGGTTTCACTGTAGCCTTAGCTGAAGATGCTGCACTAGAGGCAGTGGCTTTAGTAGACAGTGAACCTTTGCAAGGTGCTGCTGAAACCTTGGCTTTGCTGCTAACTTTGGCTGATGCTGCTGCACTGGCTTTGCTGCTATTCTTAGCTGCAACAGTAGATGTGGCACTGGCTTTGCTGCTGGTCTTAGCTGAAGCGACAGATGCTTGCCTGCTGGATGATGTCGTCATCTTTGCAACAGTAGCAGTCTTTGTTGGGCCACTAGACACGGGGCCGGTGTGCTTCGCTTTACCAGCAGCAGACACTGCAGTAGACTTGCCGGCAGACGTCTTGGAGCTAGCAGAAGACACACTTGCAGGAGTGGCAGCCGCCGTTGTTGGGTTAGCCTTCTCAACTGCAGTTGACCGAGAAGTCTTAGTAGCAGTTCTAGACGGGGCAGATTTAGCTGAACCAGATTTACTCGCAGGTTCTGCTTTAGCTGAGGTGATTTTCGGTTTGGAAGTGGCAGATAAGGATGTCATAGTTGTCGGTTTTGCATTTGATGATTTCATTGCTGCATTTGTCGATGATTTTGGCTTTGCATTTGATGACGATGATGTCGTAAATGTAGGTTTTGATGATGTCATTGCTGCATTTGAAGATGACGTCGTTGCTGCAGGTTTTGCATTTGATGATGATGTCATTGCTACTTTTGAAGTTGCTGTAGGCTTTGCATTTGATGATGATGTCATTGCTGTAGCCGATGATGATGTCATTGCTACTTTTGACGTTGCTGTGGGCTTTGCATTTGATGATGATGTCATTGCTGCACTTGATGATGTTGTTGTATCTGTAGATTTCTCTTTTGATGACAACAGTCACCGCCCCAACTGATGATGAAGAAGTGCGCTGGCAGTAGATTTTGGTACAGACCTGACTGCGCAGGCCAGAGGATGCACGAGCGAAGATCACTTACTATGCAAAGCTCTACCGCTAGGCAGTGACGAACGATGTCCGTTGGAACTAACTGGAGTCGAATTTTCATCTCTTGTTTCGTCAAGAATCTTTCCGTCTTCCACTTCGCCATCGTCAGTTAGATCAATCACCGCCCCTTCTTCCTTCTTGACCTCTACTGCCACTTCCTCTGTCATTCGTTGCTCCCGATGAATCTGAACAACCGGTTTCACGATGGCCACAAGTATAGGGTCTTCTTCTGACCCACTCGATTCTTTCCTATGTCGAATCCTGATGTGAAATTTCGTCTTCTCGGTTGCTTTGTTTGGATGAGTTTTGGCGGTCTGTTTCGGTATCTCTCGCGTGGGGCAGAGAAGGGTACTCTGGATGGGCCCAAGAGCTTGGAATTTCTGCCTCAATTGTTGGGTTGTGAGTCTCTTGATTTCGTGGGGGGTGAGGGGACCATAGGGAGCATCACCCTTTCTCAGGTACGTCTGTAACATGGTCATTGGTGTGTGAGAGAGAGGAGAGAGAGGAGAGGGGGGGGGAGAGGTAGAAAGAGAAGTGTTAAAAGGAACATGTGCAGCCAATTAGCATAAACTTTTGGTGCAAATGGTCCTACAGATGTGGCACTTTAATCATTCACATGCATGCACGCAACTGGACACACCACGCATCTTTTTGTGCTGTAAAAGTTAGAGAAAAATTTATTCCGACGCCTGCAATGACTAGTACTACCTCAGACAACACTTTATACACGCACAAACCTTGTGGTAGATGTCTTCATACATCTCGTGGTCGTCCCCGGCCTGTACCCGAATCTCTACCACAGTTCTCGACGTGTCGGGTGTCCAGTAGCGACGGGAGACGTGCGTGCAGGTGACCCGGTAACGCTGGGGCTCGACCATCGGTCTAAACCTCTTGAACACGTCGTCGATGACCAGCTTCATCTTGTCTTCCTCCCAGCGAGGCAGCGATTCTCCGTAAACTGTTCCTGCAAGGAGAAAAGGTGCAGCACATGAATTATACAGTGGACCTCTTATAATGGACACTCTGAATGAAGGGCTGTCTGCATAAAGGACAGTTAAAATTAGATCCGATGTGTATCTGTACCATTTGTTCGGCAGCCAAAACAGAGTATTCCTCCTTTTCCGTTCAGAAACGACCCAATCTCTTTTGCAACGACCTGAGTATAAAAGATAAGTCCACCAGTATAATTATACTCACTACATCTGCATTATGCACGGCTAGTTTCATGTATATACAAGTAGCCAGCTGTCGAGAATACACAAGCCTACTGTACGTGGTGTAGACATGGGGACTGAAACAAACAGTTCACTCAAAATGTTGCGTGAAAAATAGAATGTTGTCCATTGCGTGCAAAATGTTGCGTTGACCTATCATACGAGGCTTTTTGTCTCACAATAGGTATGCCGAGTGTGTGCCTCTTACCCTCTGCAGCTGATCAAGGTTTTCAGGGATCAAGCGATGGATGGAATGGAAGTAGTCTTGGTGATAGCCAATGTTGTCAAATTCATACAGTTCTCTGCCAAGAGGGTGAGAGAGAGGTTGAACACATCTGATTGGTGCTAGGTCTAGCTCGCTACTGTATATACTTACTTTCTCCCACTCTTGAATCGTTTGTTGGTTGGCTGCAAGAGAAAGAGAAAACAGTCTAGTTCTGTGCGTAGTAGTTTTGACCGTACATGATCACGTGCATCTTTCAAGGCAAAATTAGCAACCTGGATGACGCTCTCTCTCACCGCGTTCAGTCGGTTGTCTTCCTCACTCAGAGCTCGCTTTCTCACGATAGGCATGGCTCGCTTTCCTCCCAGCTTCACTTCTGCTGCTACAGCCCAGCTAGCTGCTGTCAGAAGTTGGATGGAAGATTCAAATTTCGAGGCGGTTTTGGCACGTGACTTCCTATACTTACGCATGCGCACTACGAATGCACTGTCCGGTTTCACTGTCCGGACTCCACGTGTAGAAGATGCCGGACAACAGACGAATACAGGGTCCCGAAGAGTCTCATAATCCTGCCGTCTTCCTGAAACCCTCTGAAAAACCAGGGAATCCCGATCTTGTAAGGAAGAAGCACAATTGAGGTGTGAGCGTGCACATCTCTTTGTGCATGACGTATAGCTCAACCAAGAAGGATGCCGCATTGATGGAAGAAAGCCAGAAGAAATACGTCCAATATGTATGAAAAAAACCAGCGTTTCCCTGCTCACAATGTTACATAATTTGTTGCTATCCACAGATATGAAGACAGGGTTGAATGATAGAGCCAGTGGATCGGCCTACGTTGAGCTTGGAGCCACGAAGGTCATGTGTGCAGTGTAAGTAACAGATAGACCCAGAGCTCCGTTGTTATCACGTGCTTGGGGGTATAGACGCTGCAGTGGGGAGTCTAATTGTGACATTCAAATATTGAACAACTAACCATGCACGTGTGCAGGTATGGGCCGAAGGAAGTTCCCCGTAAAGAAGATACTTTACTTCAAGTACAGTGGTATATAATTGTAGCTGAAATTATGCACGAGTGTGGTATATATACCCAATGTGTAGCTGAATGTGATCTATGCACAAGTGTGTATGTGTACAATACTCCATGTAGGGTAGACTAACCTGTGAGTTCAAGTTTGCTCCGTTTTCATGTCACCAACGAAGGCAACACCAGCAGGTAATGCGTCACGCTTGAAATTTTATGTGGACACTTATTGGAGGAACATTTATAGGATCAAGAAGAAAAGGAGTTCAGTAGTCTTGTGGTACAAGCCCTGAGCAGAGCTGTTCGATTGGTAAAGTTCTTAGTCATAATGATGTCGTTCTCTGTCATGTGACATCATGTGACCTTCAGGACACGTTTCCAAAGCTACAGATGGAGATAAACATACTTGTCGTGGAAAATGGAGGCAACGGTCAGTTTTGCACCAGCCTTTCCTTTTACTCAGGAAACCCTCCTTAGGGACGCCCCTGATATGAGAAAATCTCTCTAGTAAGGACACCTTTAGTTTGCCCATGAACAGTTCTTGCCACGTAATATAGCCCTGAAATAAGGACACCTTGCTAAATGGACACTTCCTTATGACCCACTGGTGTCTGGATTAGAGAAATTTCATACATCCAGCTCTAGGTGCTGCTCTGCTGTCTGCTGGTATGGCTCTTGCAACATGTGGAGTAAAGATGCTCGACCTTCCCGTTGCCTCTTCAGTGGTTGGTCCATTCTCCAGAGACTTTTGTTTCATTCTAATGATCTCTAGAACTGTTTCAAGGCTTGCATTCTACTGATCTCTAGAACTGTTTGATCTCTAGAACTGTTTCATTCTACTGATCTCTAGAACTGTTTCAAGGCTTGCATTCTACTGATCTCTAGAACTGTTTCAAGGCTTGCATTCCACTGATCTCTAGAACTGTTTCAAGGCTTGCATTCTATTGATCTCTAGAACTGTTTCAAGGCTTGCATTCTACTGATCTCTAGAACTGTTTCGCGTCTGTGTTGATAGAAGGCAATCATACACAAGGCAACTTGAGGTAGCCAGAAATACGAGAGATTATTGTTGCAAGAGACAAGAATTGAACGGCCTGCTATCGTATAACGGTCCCCTTTGTTACTTGCAAAACCTTTCTTTGTGTATGATGGTCTTAAATCAGTATTAGTCGGAGGCACTTTAACACATGCATGTTCATCTCTGAAAGGGTGTTGTAATGGACACAGGTTCATTATGGCTCCAGCTGTCTGGTTGATCCAAGTCTTGACGAGGAAGAGAGAGTGAGAGACGGAGTGGGCGGAGCCAAAGGTCACGTGACAGTGGTCTACCTGTCATCACTGGACGAGGTCACTTCCATCAGACAGACTGGCTGCATGCTCCCTGATGACCTGATGATGGTATGTTGCGTAATGGATAGACCTTATCACATGTTAGGTATATAGACCATGCCTCGAATGTATCTTCTTCTCGAAGAAGTTCAAAATACACCAACAAATTAATTATAGATACGCAAATTCTCCTTCACTGCGAAGGTGTCCTGTTGTGAGAGAGGCTTGTGCATGTTTTCATGCTGGTTTACACTGTTCTCGTTGCAGGCAGTTGATGCTGGGATTGAGAGTTGTCTGAGACTGAAACACAGAATGAAGTGCGTTCTCTGCACGTAACGATTCACTGATCACCACCATCAAATATATAGTCTCGTGTCAAAAATAAATAACTTTCAGCCTATAACTTCATATTATATAATATTATTGTGAGTGTCTCCCTATTACAAAAGAGTGGTTCTACTATAATATCTGATCAACACAATATCATCTGCATGATGCATAGTACACTGTACAAGTCACACAAGTCATGGAGCACATGCAGCAGTGTGTTAATCAGAGTCCGAGTCACTAGATCCCGTTGATGATGATGAGTCGCGATCATCTCCATCTCCATCTCCAGCTCTCGACGTCTTCCTCTTCTGCTGGGACTGCTCAAAGAAGTAGTCGAAAGCGTACGGCTCTGTCTTCATGTGCACCGTCTCCATTAGCTGGGCTCTCTTGGTGTGTGTCCGGATCTGTGTTATGATACGCAGAAGATGGAAGGGAAGAGAGGGAGGGATGTGAAAGAGAAAGCCTTGAGCTTGAGGCCAGCTATACAGTGGAACCTCAGAACAAGGGACACTATGGGGCCAACGATTTTGTCCCTTGTAGAGAGGCTGTCCCATCTTGGAGGTCAAATAATACACTAAAGTATTAGCATGGGGTTGAAACAAGTGTCCTTTGTAGAGAGGTCGTCCCTATCTCATACTGAGGTTCCACTGTATGGCCTCAGCAAGACATTCAGCTCAGAAAACTACAACAGGAAAAAACAACGGCACCCACCTGGGCTACAAACTCCGAGTCGTTTCCAGCGGCGATCTTGAGTCCCGACACAAAGTTGAACAGTTCCTGCGGAGTCTTCACGTCCCTGACCCCGCCCCTGTCAAAGAACCCCGAGACGTTGGTGCAGTCTCGCAGGAGGAACTCGAGTCCGTTGGGGTGAGACGGCTCCACCGACTGGCCCACGTCGATGAAGAACACCCTCTCTCTGTGCCAGAGGAGGTTGTACTCACTGAGGTCTGCGTGGACCAGGCGGCACTTCTGGTACATCCCCTGCATCCCCTGAACACGTGACCAACACATACGACAGTGACTTTCACTTCGCTATGTCAAACGTGAAACCAGCTAGCATTGAACACACAGCATTCAACTTTTAACTTTTACACATCATTAAAACGTACAAAGGATAAGCACACGTAATGTACAATAACACATACCTGTATGGTCTGGTGGTAGGCGCTGGTCATCTCCTCGTGACTCAGTCTGGCTTCCTTCAGCTTGGGGGCCGGCCGCTGGTCCTGGCCAATGAAACTCATTATGAGCACGTGTTTCTCAGCAGCACCACCTCGGGGCATGCTATCCCTCCTTCACGAAGTCTAGCAGGGAAAAAAGAGATTGTTTTCAACTTGAAAAATTGGGGCCTTTATACTTTTATTACGTCAACAGCATATTCTCTACACTACTTTACTTCTGAGTTTCGTCTACCTCTTCAGGTTGTGCATCTCCTTCTCGGCCCACATGCGGACAACCTTGCGAGGGTTCTGTTTCCCGAAGCGAGCCTTGAAACGATAGTCGTCCTTGATGTAGCGATCTCTGTTCTTGAATTTGTTCAGTGTGGTCTTGAAGACCTTCACCGCACACTCCGTTGGTAGAGGACGCTCCTCGAAACTGCAGTAGACAACACATGTACATGTACTATGGAATAAAAACGGAATTACATCGTGTCTAGACTGATGAAACAAAGAGCTGTCCATACAAGCATTTCTCGGAAACCAATACGTTAAAGGTTGTTGCTTGTGGCTCGTGAGACAAAGTATGAAAAAACATGTTTATAGCATACTAGCTAAAGGAGGAAAGAAATAACCCTTAAATCAGGTTTTGGCTAAAAAGCTGCCGAGGTTAACCTACCCACTTGCTCTCTTCCCTCCTCCATTACTGGAACAGATGGGTGCAATACATGGTGGGAGTGAATGTGTGGCCAAGTGGTCAGTTAAGCCCTTCAATTTCCATACCTTCCACCTCCGGCGTGGAAGACACAGGCCTCTTTCCCGGTGCTGACACATCCATTGATCTCGCTCAGTACCTGGTTGTCGACCATCTTGAACAGCATGAGACGGGTCTTGGTGTCCATGACCTGGTCGGACGTGGAGTGCTCTTTCTTCTCGTGGAGTCTCTGGGCCTGTGGGAAATGGGGGGTGGGGGAGGGGGGAGTTAAGAGGGTAGGAGGGCGAGGGGGGAGAAGTTCCAACCTAGCCATTCATGGGCAATACACATAGTATGTCAAGCATGCTTGGAATTTGCTATTTGCACATGGTCCAGTTAGTCTTATACTGGGAGAAAGTGATGCGACATACATACACTGCCTGTTAGTGGGAAAGAGTAGGCAAGGAAAGCAAAACTTATAACTTTGTGCTAATTATAACACGAACTCTTTTCACACGTGTATTGCAGCCATTCCATGGGAGAAGGCAACACCACACATACCAGCTTCTCTTCTTTGTAAGAGTGTTGTTTGAGAGTGTTGTAGACACTGTTCGGAAGACGGAAATCATGGCTTATGTCACCAATATCACCAGACGGAAAAGCCGGCGGAAACTAGCAAAAGAAAAAAAATTCACCTTTAAAGGTTTGAGTTCCTAACAAGAGATGTGTGTTACTTTTTCCATGTTCCTGACGTTTTTCCTGCCACAGACGTCGGCATCGTGTTTTGTCTGGGTTCCCACGGGAACACCCTTTGACCTGCGACGACCCCTGGAAGGTGCTGCCTGGGCAACATGTACTACACACAGGAAGAAAAGAACGAGGAATACAGTGGAACCCCTTCTAAAGACACCCCCGAAATGAGGACACCTCTCTAATCCTTTCTCTTCCCAAAAACTGTTGTTGCATGCAATTTAGGTTTAACCACCGAACGAAGAAATCGTCACTAATATGGACAACTACTATGGACACATTCTCTTCTATCCCAGATTACTTGTACACGTGGTGGTTTTTTTAGTAATCTTTACCTTCTTCCGTTTCGTCTTCACTCTCTTCATCTCCGTCATAATCATCAGTCAGGTAGGACGAGGGTAGGGTTAGGAACTTCTCAAATGATACCTTAACTGTGTGTGTGTGTGCAACATATTTGAAAGAAGTGATAAAGTCTTAAGATGTATCCATAAAACAATCGTATCTTCATTCTTTGTAGTTTAAAGTCTGACTTAATACGCATGATACCAAGTTTGTGATTGAAGTAAAGGTCTTAGGCTATTATGTGCAGTAGTAAAGCGAGCTGACCTTTGCTGTCCTTGTTGTAAGCTCTCTCCTCCGCTCTGAGAATGGTGTCGTGTTCCTTGTCGTACTCTAGTTGTAGCATCATAGCCAGGAGATGGTCGTTGGTGGTGTCTGTCTTGGTACCAGCTGCAGCACTGGAGAATGGAGGCGGTCGAGGACCATCTACCCTGAGTACGAAAGGGTGGAGGGAGCAGAGAGAGGAAAATCATTGATATCGTTCCCTTAGAAAGTAATACTAAAGGAGCTTTTCAGAAGAGCACTGGTTAATAGGTTACATTATGCCCCCACGTTTATCTCCCGGAGATTGCTTATTTCTTGCTGTCTTAAAATCTGTATATAGCACACTGGATTATAGAATACTACGACCAAGATAGGGGAAAAGTGAAGGAGAAAAGGGAACTCCACCGGCTAACCTAGATTGTCGTTCCTCGTCTTTCTGTAGAGTCTTTGCCAACTCTTCGTCCATGACGGCAGCCAACGAGCACACGGTGGGTGTGGCCTGCGGGGGTCGGCCCCAGGGGTTGGTTTTCTTGAGGGGGGCAGCCGTGGGGGGCTTGAGGGTCTTAACACTGGATTCCATCCCACGTGGTTTTCACACTCTGAAACATTGGGTGGATTGACACTTTAATCATTACAGGTCCCAGTAATATTGTACTAAGCCAACAATGTCAGCTACAACAGAGGCAACAAAACTGAGTAGTGAACGAAATGAACACAGTCACACTGAGCTAACGTCGTCAGTTAATATATATAGCTACAGAGATAACATACTAAGCAAAACTCAATACATACCAATGGCAGTTCTAATAATATTAGTACTAGGTAAGATTGGTAGTGTCTTCTAGTCGTCTAGCTACGTAGCTACGCTACAATCAAAGCATCTTACCGAATCAAGAGGAAATCTCTTCTTCTGTGGTTTATATTAGCCCAACGTCTTCCCCTGTAGTTCTCGACTTGTCCCAGCGACTCTACTGCGGCTTTTATCTCCCAACCGCCGCGATGGAATCCGGAACGTGACGAGGCCCGTCCCACACACAGCCCCCTAGAAAGCGGATGCTCTGCCAAGTCGCACCGATGTCTCCGTTCTTGTGCAATCGCGTCGGCCCGTCCCCTCGATCTGGCCGGCCGGCTTTGTTTATTGGCCGGTCGCACTTTGGCGCCGGCGCGCGATTAGTTTCCCGCGCGCGCCGACTACCCGGGGAAAAATTCACGCGCGCGTGTGCAAAACACCACACCACCACCACCACAGGACTCTGTTTTAATTTCCCCAAGAACAGCTCCTTGCACCCTTGAAATAAGGACACCTCACTTTATTTTGTTCCATTGGTCTAAACCCAATTGAATGCTGATTCACCAACACAAACGTCTTTGAAAATATAACAACAATCATATATAAGTTTATACATACAAATGTCTATAAAGGGATAACTCTTCATTTGTTAGGATAGTTGATGAAGGGGCTACCTCAAGGAGCTAAGGGCCGAGTGAACTTTGAAATTCAGTCGAGCCTCAAACTCATATCCTCCATATGCATCCTGCAGATAGCATAAAAACAAAAACCTAGGTTCACTCAAATAAATCTCACGACTAAACACCACACAGATTTAAATCCTTTTAGATATGCACGTACATACATACGTACCATGCACTAAAAGCGTTTCACATAAAATCATTACTTTAGTACGTGTGAGCCTTAGGAGCCTGCGTCTTTGCCATTAATTATGTGGGATGTATATAATATAATAGTAGAGCCTGTAGAGAACAGGTAAGTCGTGGGTTCCAACACACTGTAACAACGCTTCTAAAATTCCTCCTCCCTGGAGCTCTAACCTAAATAATGCCCGCTGTACACACACATAGACCCTAGATACACTACCGACACAAACCTTTGCAAACTGCAGGACCGTTCTCGCCTTTGCATACTACGAGAAGGAGAAGCAGCAGAAATGAATGAGCAACACAGTTGAATAATGGCGGAGAGTCATGTTGTATATACATACCTCAGTGTTGGTAATGTGGATCATGGCAATCTCGTAGAGAGAGAAGGAAATGATGTGTTTGTCGTGCTTGATGTCTGGTTCATACTCCAGAGCTTCTCTCAGACTCTATAGATCACATGATAGTCACATGACCAATGCCACATGATAGTCAGATGACCAGTGTCACCTTCTCCGCCTCCTTGGGTCTCCCGAGGGAGTTCAAAACTCCGCCCCTCAGCCACGCCCTCATTGCCTTGTGAAACGGTAGAGCATCGGGAGGAAGAGCGAGATCCAACATCTCCATCATCTGGAGTTTGACGTCTTCAGAGGTGAAGGGAAGAGCTCGCCAGAGGTAGAACACCTCTATGATCATAAGACGGGCCTCCAGTGGCATGTGAAACGTCACTCCCTTCTTGTACAGCTGGGCCTGTGGAAGGATGTGAGGAAAACACAGAGAAAGCTCTATGATGGTGCACTGTTCAACTAGCGTGTGTAGATTTCATACAACAACCCAGAACTACATCTAAAGAAGAAGATGCAAAGTGCCTCACCAAGCTAGGAATATCTCATGCCTGTCCCTATAACTGATCACTACATTTAAAGAAGAAGATGAAAAACGCCTCACAAAGCTAGGAATAGCTAACTGAAATGGACCATTAAAATGGCGTATACGTACTAACAAAATATTATCGTCAGCCGTAGTACTGGGGCCCATAGAAAACCACAATAGGCAGAGCTGACAGTAAGACACACACCACTATCTCATGTCAGAATTCTCTCATGTGGCTCAACAAGTCACACTCTATGCCCTCGAAACACGGTTACAGTTTGCTACATGGCCACTTACTCGTCTGTAGCAGAATTTTTCCAAGTTGTTGTTCTTGCGTTTGACAAGCCGCGAGGACTGAAGAAAGAGCTCCCTAGACTCCTTCAGATCACCCATCACCCCCGTCATTGCTGCACAAATTGAATATATACCACATTAGGGGCAAATCACCCTTCACCCCGGTCATTGCTGCACAAATTGAATATATACCACATTAGGGCAAATCACCCATCACCCCCGTCATTGCTGCACAAATTGAATATATACCACATTAGGGGCAAATCACCCTTCACCCCGGTCATTGCTGCACAAATTGAATATATACCACATTAGGGCAAATCACCCTTCACCCCGGTCATTGCTACACAAATTGAATATATACCACATTAGGGCAAATCACCCTTCGCCCCGATCATTGCTGCACAAATTGAATATATACCACATTAGGGCAGATCACCCATCACCCCCCGGTCATTGCTGCACAAATTGAATACCACATTAGGGGCAAATCACCCATCACCCCCCGGTCATTGCTGCACAAATTGAATACCACATTAGGGGCAAATCACCCTTCGCCCCGATCATTGCTGTACAAATTGAATACCACACTAGACAGAGTATAGGGGAGTGTGTTGAGAGGGAGAGGGGCTGTACTTAAACAGAGATAAAACAACAAGTTTTCACAAAAAGATTTTTGAGAGTGTAATAAACTTTTTTCATGAAAGGATTCAGTTAGGTAGAGAGTAGGTAGGGAGGGAAGGGGGGGTGGGAAGGTGACGTTTACCGGCACAGAGGTAGGCATAGAAACAAGCAGACCACCGAGTCTCATTCTTGAGTCTGTAAGAAACAAACGATGTCATGGAACAGCCAACAATACCAACCCGGTATCAATCTACAATCTACTAAAGTTGAAAACCACACAGAATGGAATATATTATAGTAATGTAAACTGTATATACCGAATGTAGCACAGAATGGAATAGTAATGATGAACTGTATGTATATGTACCTAATGTAGCAGGGGAGGGATTCCGCATAATTCAACTGGAGGAAATGGATCCATCCTATACAACAGACACAGTGATTACAGCATAGAGAATAGAAAAACCAATGTTCTAACCTTTCTCATAGAGAGAAATGTGTTCTATTTCCCTCTGGTCTCTGGAAAGAGAAGCAGCTGATGTGTACACTGCCAGGGCATCACCCAACTGCCGTCTGTGGGGACAAAGACCTCGCCTCAATACAGTGGAACAGACACCAATGGGACAAAGGAAGTAAGTGTCCATATCCTTATTTCAGGTGGTTGAATTTACATGCATTTTGGAGAAAGAAAAAGGATTCCTGGTATCTGTTCTAAGGGGAGGTGAGTTCCACTGTGACACTATAACTAGACAATAAGGCCCAGTGAAAGAACGCAAGTCTTATTAGTAAAACAATTTAGCCCTTATATACTGCCACATTCCCTAACTTTGTTGCATTCTACCCAACAACACTTTTGTCCAATGAATGTTGTTCATCACCTGAGGTACAGGACTTTTCCTTTGAAGTAGAGAAAGAGGGCGGAGTTTGGGTACAGAGACTCCGCCTCCTTCAGCAGGCGGTCGGCTTCGTCGGCACCTCCGTCCTCCTTCTCTCCATCCAGAGCAAAGAACGGCCTCACTATGGTGTGGTACCACAGCAACGCTATCCTGTAGTTCAAACAATGTATGTATGTGTAGCACTATACATGAAAATATCAAATGTATGGGCATAATGCAGGACAACCTGTGTCATCCCTATATACTAAGTACTACCGTACTTAGTGATATAGTACCCTGTAATACAGGGACTATACAACATAGAGTACGATATCTAATCTGGACAGAAGAAGGTGTCCATATTAGTGATTAGCTGGAGGGTGCAGTGAAAAAAATCCTCAGTAGTGATTGTAGAAGAGAGGCTTAAACTTTTCGTACTTTTAACAAGAAAGTGGGGGCATCTACAGACCAACCAACTGTTCTAAACACCCTGACTGTTACTGGAGTGTGCAGTGCCTCAAGAGTGACGGTGGAAAATAGGGTGGCCTAAACTTTTTCCGTAAGCAAAGACAGGCTAACCAACCATCTGAATACCTTGACTACAGCTGGATTTCACAGATGACTTGAAATTATTTTCTTTGTAGAAAGTTCCCCACAGGCTATCAGCACTACATGACAGAGCTTTCAGTTTAAGTTACACATAGCTGTTGTGAGTTAGCTATTCATAACCTTTGGTTTTGCACCACTATCTTGGCTATCACTCTTAGTAAACATTTTCACTGTTGCCTTAGCTGTAGAAATGTGGTCACCAAGTCAAAACACTCAGTACCCCCTTCCCTCCCCTCTGGTGGCTGGTTGTCTTCATTTTAGACTAAGTTTTCAGTCACAAAATCTGCTGGTCAGCATTTTCTACTGTTCGTAACCCATGTTCGTAACCTGTTGTTCTTATGGCCTGTACGTACTATGCACTGGGTAACCAACAACCAATATTGTGACTCAAAACTTAGTCAAATGAAGAAACAAGGCCACTATTTCTCTCTCTCTCTCGTCCCTCTTTCCCCCTCTCTCCCCTCCAACCTCTCTACAAGGGAGAAAATCGTTGGTCCCATAGTGTCCCTTGTTTGGAGGTTCCACTGTACGATGCATTGGGTGACCAACAACAAACTTTGTGACTCGAAACTTAGTCTTAAATGAAAAGAGACAAGGCCACTATTTCTCTCTCTCATCCTTCTTTCCCTCTCTCTCCCCTCCTCCTCTCCCATCACCCACCCACCCTCTCTCCCTCATTCCCGCACCTGGCTAGAGGAGCCTTCATGTCCTGACTGCGACTGGCAAACTCAAGTGCCTCAAGCCCGAGACGTCGATCTCCACTGAACCCAAAAAGATTAGCCAACTTCATGAGTTTTGGAGGGATAAGCGACAGAACAATGTTCATTATCCCATAGCCAAAGTAGACAGCCCCTCGCAACCTGTACAAAATAGACACGAGAAGCTCGGATACAATATTATATTGTCATTTAGTTGGAAGCGTGAATAAGCTAAGGTTTTCACATGGGAATCAATTATTGTGTAAACTTTCAATGAATTCCCCAATTTGGTAACAAGATAAGGATTCAGTGTACACAACTTTTGCAGACTTGATTGTTCCCAACAAAAAAATTTGGTGGTAAAAACGTTTTGCAGATGACTGACCCCAAATTTGCCCCAAGTTTTGAACCGGAGATTGTGGTGTATGTGTGTATGTATTGACCTGTCATCCTCGTGACCCAGGTCAGTGACAAAGTCACAGTCGGGGATAGATTCTGGGAGATAGTACCCTGACAACGGTCTCTTCTTCCCTCTCTTCTCCTTCACTCCATCCACCATCTCCTTCCCTCCTCCGCCTCTGTCGGCCGGGTCGGAAGTCTCTCTCTCCAGACCTTCATGTGGTGTCACTCCATTCACATCACCAGCAGTAGCCCCTATGACACACACACACATTACAGAACACGAAGAGTAATACAGTGGAACCTCCGAACAAGGGACACTGTATCATTCTACAAATTATTTTGCAGAGGAATACAGGGCACCATGAGTAGAATTTAAGAGAGATAATTCTCTGTTATTTTTTTGTCACATGCTGTACTGCACACATTCACATTGCTGTTCATAAGTTTCGAGTGAGTTCTAAGTGGTTCGAACACACTGAACCTACAAGCAAAAATATATGTACACACACAAAACTCACAAAAGTTTCCTCAACACTTTTGTTGTAATTAGCATACGAAAGAACATTATTTCTGCCTGTAGTATATAGCTCGGATATCAGTCTAAAGCAACAATAAAGCTCATGAACAATTCGGTACAAACCTGTTCCTTCCTTTAACACGGCAGAGTCAGATTGAGAGTGGGGAGAGTAAGACGAATGCACAGAGCCGTTCTGCACTCCCTCTCCCCCCTCCCTCTCTCCCTCACCGGCCGTCTCGGAAGCCCCTCCCCCCAAACCTAACTGCATTGCGAAAGTGTCGCCGAGCTCGGCAATTGTCTTTTTAACCTCCTCTTCTTCCACCACCTCCTCTTCACCCTCTTCCGCCAGATAGGCATTCTTTTCGTCGTAGACCGAAGTCCCCACATGTCTATCGGTTGGCGAGGACACTCCTGGTCTCGAAATCGGCGACGGGTGCGAACAAAGCAGCTCGGTCTCGTTGTAAATCTTCTCGTACATTTTCCACGCCTTTCGGATGAGGTAGCCCCCCTTTACGTAGCTCGTTAAGTTCTGTCGGATGAAGACGATGATTGCCTGGAAAAGCAGGCAGTCGGCAACGATGGACTTGCGATAGAGCCGCTGGTGACGTGAGAAACGCTGAGAGTTCGAACTCGAGGAAAACAGTTCTGAAAACTTTCGCGAAGTGTCGCAGAATTTCCCCGTGGATTCCAGGGATTTGTAGGCAGCTTCCATTGCATCTTCTTCGAATGTCATCAGCGAACGCTGCGAGAATAGATTGGAGAAGATGTACGTAGTTACAGTAGTAGTACTTATAGAGAAGGAGAAGACCTGCTTTAGTCTGGTGTTGTGGGTCAGTGGTTAGTGTACTGGAGCTCCAGTCACTATGTCATAGTTTGAGTAGCTGCGTTCTTATCTCTTACTTGCCCTTTTTGTAGGCTGATAATCTTCATCTATACTACGTAAAGATCCCCGTCATAGAGCATGTAGCTATATTATATGCACTTGGGCAATGATACAGGTCTAATAGAAACACAAACGGACCCAAGTTGTGTTCATGAAGCTATCGCAACACGGGAATAGCTGGGGAGAGTAAAACGTCTAAAAAGGCAGAGTTCAGCACACAATGTGATGAGAACTATGCCATAATGGTACATACATGGGATGATGGACAAGAACCCAGTAGGTATAGAGGGAAGGATACACCATGAACAAACCCAATATCCTTGGTAAACACCCATATTAAATGCATGGCATACACTACAAATGAACAACAGTGTCTAGTTTCGACATACCACCAATTGAACGAAACTGTGACCAGCATTCAGCTCAGGTCCAGTGTACCTGCACACAGCAGGAAGCAAAGAGGAAAAGAAAGGGGCGAGGGAGGGAGGGAGGGAGGGAGGAAGGGAAGAAAGGGGGAGGGAGGGTGGAGTGAGGGAGGGAGGAAGGGATGGAGGGAAGAAAGGGGGAGGGAGGGAGGAAGGAAGGGAAGGAAGGGGGGTGAGGTGGGATGTGATGGGGTGAGAGGGGAGAAAGGACACAGACACAATTTTGTTGCTCCAACGTAAACACTACACACTTCATTGGTGAGGTTTAGTCTTTGGGTTAGAACACAGAATGTTCTGAATTCAGCAAAGGCCATGTTTATGGTTCAGGTATCAGTAAATATACACACTGTTACACAAATTGTGCAGTCAGTGAAAGTGGTCTAACGTCCACAAAGAAAGTTGCCTGATGTCCAAAAAGAAGGTCGTAATTTGTCCATAGACCATAACGAGAGCCACTTCTGGGGTGCATGGATACCGGTGCTTACGCACGCCACAGGATTTTCGCACACAAGTTTACACGCTGTTTCTGGTGCTCTTACACTCTTTCTTGACACAGGGCCACACTTGCATGGATGTTCACATACACCATTAGCACCATTATTGTAAGCGCACAGTATATACATACAGCATAATATACTTGGACTGCATAATACAAAGAATGTGAGAAGATATGCGATCGATTGAAAAAAGAATCAGCTTTCGTGAGGATGCCAAAAATGTATAGCTAGTTCAACCAATCAGTTTTCTCATTGTGGCCTGTTGAAATTTGCTGATGAAAGTCTAAAATCAACACACATATATACTAGCCTTGCACGCACTATTACTACACACGTTTGCTGGCCTTGCACCGACCAAACAACACACACAAGCCAAAGGGATACATCCGCTGAACGACACATCCGAACCTCCTCCAGCTAAAAGCCTTTTTCACAAACACATAAGAAGCCAAGGCCTACACTCGCACTACGTAGTCGGAATGATCTTTGCAGTGAATTCTAAGAGCATTAGTGTTCGATCCCATGCTGGGAGCCTCTGTTTTACCTTGATTTGTGGAAGAGTTGCTCCGCTCGCTTCACCTCGCTGCTCAGCAGCAACCGCATGCCCTCGTGGGCCAACTGCAGCCTCCGGAGATCCTCCGCGTTCATACGCTCCCCCGGGGAAGACGGAGGGACGGTCGAACACGCTGCCATCGCTCCTTCACAGTCTGTCGATCGCTGACCAGCGGCTGCAGCCAAGTAGTAGATTCTCCCCCAATCTCTACTTGTCCGTTTAGTGAGATCGGGAGATCGAGAATCGATGACCTTTCAGCTCCGCCCACTTCAGTTGGATATGCGCATGCGCGCCATGACTGCACTTGATACTCGCCGAGCGCGGCAGCTTCGCGAAGTGAGTATATACACTCCTCCACACACGACGGCTATAGAGTTAGACCTGCAGCTGAAAGCCAGAAGCAAGGCAAAATAGTGACGGACCCGTCGTTGAAAAATTGGCGGGAAACTGTGAGTGCAGTGGCGGTCGAAGATGGTGCAGGTTTTTATGGTGCTGAGGTGCTTCTCGTGTGAGACTTTTCAAGTCCACCAGGTACGAAGCTAGCCGGTGTAGTTACGGTAGTCTCGGTATACACCAAAAGGTGACCTGATCTGGTGTTTGTTTTGCAGGTAAAGAAAAGCTCCAACAAGTGGTTGTGTAAGGTATGCAACGAGAAGCAATCAGTACAGAAGGTATGGGGACATTTTCTGTTCATGGCAAGCATAACTGTACACACTGAAACATTACTTGTCCTGCCGTGTAAACCATCTTTCCGAAGCCTTTCGCAAATAGGTCTGAAACGACCATTTCATGCATAAAAGTTCGATTTGGTCTGAAATGGCCAGTTCAAGTATTCTCCATCTCATAATGTGTCCCACTGTGGCTCTCTCCTCAGGTATATGGTCAGGGGACCGGAGCCGATTGCAGACAACACGTCCAGAAACTCAACATGATGAGAGGAGAGAGAGATATGGCAGGGTAAGACTAGGTTCACAATACGTTGCCATTGCCCTGTCTCGCCATGCCACGACGATGATCCCGGCAAAGCGGCATGGCGCAATGCGACATACCTAGCCTAATTCCATAATACCATGCAATACTTGTCTCTATATTATAATGGTGTATTGTTTGGTTTCCAGGCAACAGATGTTAAACCACCCCCCGGAGGACTACGCCAAAACGTTTGATAGCGAACATCGGCACAGCTGCCCTGATTCAGTGAGCACATGTCTTTTTGTCATTACGCTAGTGTATGTGGATTGGAGCCTCTGTCATACCAAGGCCGATAATAACATTGTGACAAGTGATGTGCATCAATCCTCATTAGTTTCAATGCACGTAAACGGTGTGAACTTATCCGCTACTCAATTCAGTTCAATACTTTGGTACATACACACATAAACGAACAGTTGAACCTCTCTAATCAGGACGCTAATGGGGTCAGAAGAAAGTATCGCAAGGAACTGTTCGTGGGGAACGAAAGCTCTTCATAGAGGTGTCCTCATTTCAGGGGCCTCCCTAGTCACAGGTTCCACTGTATTTAGCACACTAGCCAAAACACACTCCATGTGTCTGTGTCTCTACGTATGTGACCGCGTGTATGTCTGTCTGTAGGGGCCACCAGAGCACCCGGTGCTACTGACAGAGAAAGGAAGCAAGTGGAAGATGTACACTGAATCACAGGACTCTGATTCTGAAGAGGTCCGTTTCTCTCAAACGGTTAATATAGCAGTGAACTAAAAGGAAGCGAGCAAAATTGTGTTTTAAAAATCTCATCTGGAGAAGCAATTTCTATGCTTTTCTCATTCCCGATTTGTAACAGCTTTTTCCATCTGCTTATGTATATTACTGTACTCATAGGAGGTGGATGGTGCTGGTTTGTACACGACCAACAAACCTGAGTTCGATAAGACACACAAGAAGATAAAAATAGACTTAAAGAGGTATGCATTTGTTTTCTGACTTCTCCTCTCTACCCACTAGCAAAACAGTAATCTTATAAGGAAAAAAAACTGTGGCAAACTGGAAATTTTTTACTTTTGCGGATTTCTAGTATTGCCATACAAAACTGTCTCGTGAAGATATAACCTTATGCTAGCTGGCATGCAGTCCCACACGTGTTCCCCTCGGGCAGTACAGACCGAGCAGTCGGGTGGGTGGCCTTGCTTTTGCGCTGACCAACCGAGCAAGCAGCTCATAACTATTCATACTCACATGAACCTTCATCTCCTGATGTTGTCATGCATGAATTTTACTACCACACATACATACATACATACAGTCCAAGTACTTTCAAACTATGAATGTTTAACAATGACGCTGCATATTATTATCACACTACATCCTTATGCAGTCGTTAACTTTTAGTATATTCAGTAGTAATCGCAATGAATTTCATGGGCAGACAAACTTTTGTGATTGTCACCGAATCTTTATCCCTTGAACGTACCACTCTCTTCTTTAACAGGTTAGGATCTGGCTCTTCAAAGCCACACCCACCATCCAAAGTTTCTCGTACACGCAGTGGTCCAAACCACGCCCCCTCCTCTACTTCGGTGTCTCATTCCCAGGCCTCCATACACCCATACTCGATAGCGAGCGACGAAATGGACCAGCTCTTGTCAGGATCAAAGTCTTCGTGCTATTTCCACTCATCCAGTGACAGATACCGCAAACTAGACGATGGAACCGACATTAATACCCCCTCCTTGCACCCTTTTTCAAGCTCAGCAAGTGAATCCGGCTCTTCTAAAAAACACGACGAAAAATCGGAACCGTTTCGGAATTCTCCGAAAGAGAAGCTGCAACGTTTGCAAATGACACCAGAAGACAAAATGGCGGTTATTCGCGAGGATATCAGTCGGTTTTCAAAAAGCTCGGCAACTGCTAGTGGCAGTTCCGTAGCAGCTAGTATCCCCGCCGTTTCTTCGAGGTGGTCAAAGTTTATGAGCAAAAGTGAGGAAGGAGATGAGGAGGAAGGAGAGAGCGTTGAAACCCACATGCTACAGAGCAGAGTGGCCGTCGCAAGATACAACTGAAGAAATGTGCATGTCTAGGCATAATCAGAACCCCTATCATCTCTATTTGCGGTGTGCTATTATCTCAATAAATAATTATGTTAGTAATAGTGCAGTCATAACCGCAACAGGAAAGGAGCAAAAAATTAGTCCCTGACAACGTATGAAAAGTGGCTGAATAGAGCTATATACTAGAGTGTGAGAGGGGGAAGGGAGAGAGAAAGAGACACTGTTTTCTGGTCTCTCATGGAAAAACAGAGTTCGCCTAAAAGGGAAAGAATCAGTCCTCAGTGGAGAAAAATAAGAGAGTAGAGAGAGAATCAGCGTGGAGGTAGGTGAGAGAGAGATCACTGAACCCTGGAGAGGGATAGGTCCAGGAGACTGTCAGATACGAGAGCTCTGAGAGATAGAGTCTGTCCTTTGACGAGAGGCACGTCTTCTTGTAGACAGAACACTGCCTGGTGCCAGTGCCTCCCAGCAAGCTGCAGTGGATTGGGGACAGTAATAGGAAACTCACACGGTAGAGTACTGTGTATATACTAGAACGAGGCCAGCAAGTCATCAACACTGTATTTCACTTTCGCTTTGTCATGCAGTTACACAAACTTCATCAGAGTTTGCCCAATGTCATTGTAGGAGGGTATATGCTTTGACAAAGTGATTCCCCAGAGCTACAATACTGTATATATACCTGTCCAGAGTGTTGAGAGCCAGCAGTGGATATGGTAGCTCCATTAGGGAAGTGCAGTGAGAACCAATAGAGAAACCCAGTCAGACTTCCAGAACTAGTCACCTCCACACTCACCTCTCTCTCCTCCTATATAATAGCCAGTCAAAGAACAGTACTATATACACACACTTGGTTACATGCACTATTGGTTACTGCATATACATTACCAGTGAAGTGGAACCCCTCTAATCAGGGCACTAATGGGACAAAAGAAAGTGTCCATTATTAGTGAGGTGTCCTTATTTATTTCACGCAAGATTAAACTGTTCTTGGAGAGAAAAAACCTCATTATAGAGGTGTCTCACTTCAATCAAGACTGTTTTAGAGAGGATTTCCACTGCATACTTATAATGTAGGTAAGTACACACATACTTTGAAAGGTGTGTTCGAGAGAGAATCAAATCAATGGAGAGTAGTTCAGTATCTTCTGTCAGTCTGTCATGAGCCAGTGAACTGAGGTCGAGGTCAATGTAGTGGATCACCTGCCACAAGAGATGAGAACGCAGTTTATAGTCACAAGGTTATCCAGAGGATCTCAGAACAATAATAAACAGTGGGACACATTTGACAAGTTAGCAGATTGCTGTACGGTGGAACCCCACTCTAAGGACACCCCTGAAATAAAAATCTTTAAACACACGTGTCTCTTCTAAAGAACAGTTCTTGCATGCAATTTAGGACACCTCACTAATATGGACACTTTCTCTGTCCCATTGGTGTCTGGACAACTCTCTTTTCCAAGGAAGAAAGAGCCGGTAGCATGTAAAACAGCAATGAGGGTGCGAGGCTAAGGGAAAGCAACTACACATATTTAGACAATTCTTGCTAAAGAGCTGCATTCTCTCTCTCCCCCAGTTAGTGAAACCTGTATGTGGCGTGGCTTGTCTGGATTAGAGAGTATCTACTAAGGCGAATGCACCAAAGGTGAGGCGAGAGCACCTGGTACTTGTTGATGAAGCGAGCAATGTCCAGCCCCAGTGTTGGTACCGAACCGAGAACTGTTGTCTGCGCACGGAGGTCCGGGGAAGAAATGGCGACGGAATGGACCGCCACTCGCCCCGGGAGAATGACGGTATCGGAATGAGACTGACACTCCCTGGAATACACAGAACAGCAGAATAATGTCTGGTGGGCAGAGATGAGTGCAAGTGGTGCATATAAAACATGGCCGATGCATACACTTAACACTTATATTCAATTGGACTATAAGCCGTGATGTCCAAAGACATAAGTGTATTAACCTGACAGATCCAATTTCTTCAAAGACCATAGGTCTCAGAATTCCCTGAGGACTAACTACATCACACAGAACTATATCCCACAGTAGACTGGGTTCAAAGGTCGACTCAAGCTCCGCCCACTTGATGGATGTTTTCTCTTGGAGACCGTTCTTCCTGGCAACCGCTTCCACGAGTGACGTATAGATATCATGACATCTTCCAATTTGGACAAAATCAACTCCTGATAGAAAGACGAACTAAGTTCAACACATTGAAGAAGAACACATGTGCCATTGTATCACGAAACTATTGAAGTAAACAAGCAAGGGCGAACCTATGTTAGCAGCCATAAGACCAAATATGGAGAGTTCGTGGCTCAAATCCATGGCAATTATCTCTGCAATGTCTCCATCTTCATCAGTTGACCTCTCGTCATCAGATTTCACCTCACAGTTCACACCTGTTGCAGAATTAGATTCGTAACGATATGTCCCGTGAGCCTACAAGATTCAAATTATTTTTGTGAAGGTACATTAGATGTTTAATCACCCGATCTCACAATGGAATGGAAAAGATTTATATTCGCAGCAACGTAGCAAGTGCAATCTTGTTAGTGGTATCTGTTTGCTAAAACCTGTGCCATTAACTTACCTGTTGTATTAGGGTTGTTGGGGTCTGCAGCAATGTCACTGGATTCACTTTCACTTTTGCTCTCCCGCAACAGTCTTAAGGCGTGGGATATAGCTTCCGAGTATACTTCATGATATCCAGCATCGTTCAGTCTAAATACTGCACCTCTATCCACGAAATGGACACTGGACGATCCTGAAATGGGACAGTCGACATCTCCAAGGGACAATCCCGAAACAGCACAGGCAACGTCCTGTTTGCCAGTGGACGATCCTGAAACAGGACGGCCCATATTCCCTTTGCCGACGGACGATCCTGAAACAGGACGGTCCATATTCCCTTTGCCAACGGACGATCCTGAAACAGGACGGTCCATATTCACTTTGCCAGTGGACGATCCTGAAGCGGGACGGCCCATATTCCCCCTCTCAATCTTGGTCACCATCACATGCAGCAGAGAATCGGTGCAAATTGCCGTAAGATGGACAGTGTCCCCCTCAGCAACTGATATTCTCCCTCCTCCCTCACACCCATCTCCCGAGGTCGTCACGGGATACACGGCCTGTTCCCAGCAGCAGTTTTGGTTGTCGTGAGGATATGTGCTTATCGTGATGGTGGGGTCCAGGTGGAGGTCGTAGTACGTTGCCACGGCGTCCAAACATCCTGCCCTTACCATGGGAACAACTAAGTTCACAGATGAAAGTGGAACCTACGAACATACAAAACACTTAAATTATTCTCCTGCAAGAACGATACTGTGCAGAATACACTGGATATTTTCTACCATTTTGTCATCTTTTGCTATACTTTATTGCAAAAGTTCCTGCTATAAGCGATCATCTGAAAAAGGGGAGCTGGTATGTGAGGTCACTCATTACCTCAGGGTCAGAAAAGTCAAGAGATAGTGCTCTATGAACTCTGCTCAATTCAGAGTATCCTCCGTCGATAGAACTGAGTCTCTCGCATGTGTAGGGTTCTTTTGACAATCCGCTGTTCTCTCTCCCCCTCTCCCCTCTCCACACCCTCCCCACTCTCTCACCCGCCCTTCCTCCCCTTCCTCCATTGCTCATTTCCACAGTCCACTTGTCCCCCACCTCCGTTCCCTCACTGGAGCCCTTGCAGCTGCCTTCGAGAGCAATCCCACGGAAACTAAGACCACCCACTTCATCTGAAACAAGTCTGTGGAAAAAAACAACCATTTTCTGGGAATATACTGCAATCGCTATAAAGTTAGTGTGAAAAGTAAAGACGAACATCAAAGTAAAGCAAATCTTACTTGCTTGTCCGGGCAATATATGGACACTCAATTGCCATCAAGTAGACAGTCGCACCACATGGTATCACATGACCACACCGAGCAATCTCATTGGACCCACTCGGTTGCTTTGGCAACAGCAGTCGTGACCAGGCTCCTCTGATTGTCCTTACTATGGCTTCTCCCAGTAGCCCTGCATCCACCGTCTCCGTGACAACCAGACACACCCTGAAATCAACAGAAAAATGAAAAACGTGCAAAATTGAAAAGACACCTTTCAGGAATGTCCTGCGGTATTTCTAGGTCGCCAGACATCTTGTTGATTATTGAAATTCTGTCCGCCATTCCATTGGCTGCTATGATGTCATGCGACATTGTTGCCATGGTAGCATCCATTTCACAAGCGTACACTCTCGAGGCACCAGATCTGACAGCTAACATGCTAGAGAACAGAAAGAAAGAGAAGAAGAGGAAGAGAAGAAGAAGGTTTAGCATTGGTCATATACCATTAAAACTTTGCCATTTGGATGTCGCATCTGGAAATAAGATTTCCGTGCAAATAATATGTGGTACGACACAACGACCAAATAAAACTTCAAGGCAAAGTGAATGGTTGCCAATACACCAGTTAAACTAAATATACAATACTTGCTGGTTTGAATAATTATACCTCAAGAGTCCAGTTCCAGAACCAATATCAAGGACACTGCAGTCTGGAATGCGGGCGATGGCTTCGGAGATGGCTCTGGAATAGGACGAGTTTCGAACCAAGTCGTTGAGCATGTGAAAATGCCACCTCGGAACGACCATTTCATACAGCATCCTCAGATTTTCTCTGGCTATCAGGCACACTGGATTCACTTCACTCAATACCTGCATAGAAATTTGTTTTAGCCACTGGCCATAACCGAACTTGTGTTGGTGCTTGAGCGAATTGCAAAAGAATTGTTGTTGTAGAGTGGTATGTTATGCTAAAGTGACCTCACACTACATGCACTAAGCAATTACTAGACCTTTTGCAGAAAGTACTCGGCTTCTGCGTGCATTTCCCGACGGAGAAACATCTTCCCCAGCACCAGGAGGACTCCCTCGTCCAGCCCGAACCGAGGACAGAGGCTTTGAAGGAGAGACGGGAAGAGGGAGGGGCTCGTGCGGATCACGTGATCCAAACCCGACTGCAGCACGGCCAGGAAAAGCCGGCGGTCCTCGTCAGAGCGCGGAGGATCCCTGTACATAGCACTGCACCGCTTCAAGGTAGAGTCCGTCACGAAGCAACCGCCCAACTAACTCCCTTCTTCCTGACTCCATTGCCGGCACGTGTTCAGTGCAAAGGTCGCTATAATAAACACATGCGCTCACATTTTAATACACGCATGCGCCTAAACACGAATCATTGTCGCGCGACAGTCCATTATGTCTCAGGAATTGAATGTTGTCCGAATTGAACCGAATATTCGGGTATGTTATGCTATCTCCGTCTCTCGTGTTTCTGGGTCCGTTTCTTCTCCTTTTCCTTGCGGTCCAGACCCTTCTGTTTCTGAGCCTCTCTATTATTGCGGTCTCTCTCCACCTTCACCTCGTGGGCCGCCTTCTCCTTCTCCTTCTTCTCCCTCTCGGCTTGCGACACCAGTCGGGCATTCATGTTCTCAAACACTTCTGGAGAGATATTTGAGATCATAGGGAACCAAGGAAGAATAATGTTTTGTTTCAAAGACAAACCAACAATACTATAGCGAGGAAAAACCATCTGGAAAAAACGTGATGTTGTTGCAAAGGGAAAACCAATTACCAAATTTTGAAGGTGTTCTTATTTCAGAGATTATTACTCTGACACCATAAACGGTAATGTCACATAGTCTGTATGGGACATACCAGCCATATTTGGGGCGTGGTTTCGAGAGTGGTGGCAATATCGTGAGCCTCCGCCCCCTCCAGGATCATCCTCACGATCATCTGTAGCCAGCAGTCAAAGAAACCACCAACAACTGGAAATTAGCTATCAAAAACTTGATTACAAGAAACTAATACGTCTTCATGAGTGAAACATGGGGCTGCAAAGAAAACCTATTCTTCTAGCAAATTAACACGCTTATTTACATGCTGTAACCCAACCGGATGCTAAAGTACAAAAACACACAAACAACACTCCCCTCCCACACACACACATGTTGAAAGGAGGATATAATTCATCCTCATCATTGGACAGATCTCCATACTGAGCCACTAGTCTCTTCTTGTCTGAGACGGAGAGTCCACCTATCAGGGCCACGGGGTCATCTCTCTTCTTGTCTCTCTCGCCTCTACTGCTGTTGCTGACTGGAACACCCACTGAAAAATCATTGAATCCAGTCGACATGCAAACATGTTTATAAAAAGAAAGCCTGTAGATACAGATTTGTGCATGCCTTCACCTGAGACTTTCACGAGCATTGGAGAGAAAACTTAAACGGATTGAGTAATTAGAAGATAATGATGGACAAATGTGGAGCACTTTAACCTAAGCGGAGAGGGGTCTCAAACCTTAGCGTAGGTACAGAATAGATCTGTAAGCTTGTGCATAACCCCAAAAAGTGCTTACTAGATTCATCTTTTTCCTTGTCTTCCTCCTCCTTTGCTTCAGCTGCCAGTCTCTCTGTCTCTCTCGTCATCCACTCTCCAACTATCTCCACACACAACTGCTTACACTTCTCCTCCTCCTCTTCCTTTGGAAGGGGAAATAAAGTTTTCTAGTTTCAAAGTATAAGATAAACCAGCTTCTATCAGGACCATAATTTCAGAAGTTTAGGTAGTCAGGTAATGACATTATGTGTCAGGAGTTGAAAAGCTGTCCGGATTGTATCTGTGCGTGTCCGAAAGTTCTCACCAAACACCCAGAAAGGATGTCCTGAACCGTTTCCTCCACGTCTTCCCGCGGGGAACCGGTCATGGCGGCCAGACTGCCGCTGATGTATCCTCCATACACCTCTCCGTCCACACCTGCGGTCTCTAGTACTACGCACAGCCAGTCAGAAAACGCTGAAGATGCCATTTGTGTATTTTCTAATTGAGCGAAATACCCACGTGGGTTACACAGAAATATTGAAATCGTGTTGTAGTATGTTGCCTCGAAAGAGGACGAACAAGGGAGAAGGCTCTGCAAGCGTCGCTGAAAGCGTCAGTCCTGCACCTAGAGATGCCGATTCCGGGGAGACTACGGAGGAATATCCGAGATTTCAGCCCAGCAATCGCAGGCCGCGTCGTAGCGACGGAGTGAAGTGGTTTCCAGTGGTAAAGCGGCTCTTCTACGTCTCCCTCCTCGTCCTAGTTCCTATGATCCTCAACTATGCAGCTCTCAACCATGAAATGAGAGTACTTCCTCCTAAAGGTTACGAATTGTTTAGAAGTGTTTAGTAAGTACTTACTCTATACTGTAGAGGGTTGTTAACCCTAGGCACAAAAGTCAGGGATAAGCAAATGGCTATACGGTAATTTCACCTTCCCCACTTAGCTTTGCAGAAATGGGAGGTTGGGAAAATGGGGAGTGCTCACTGATATCGCTTTAGGTGCAGTGGCGCTTTTGCCTATTATATCACGTTCGCCTCAAATCCATTCTTATTATGCTAATACCTTTACCGTGACTTGAAATGTTTAGGTGCAGTGGTGTATGACATAGGCTGGGGTCAGAAGCTGTTGCTACACTGCACGGGGAGTGGACTGCCTACAGTTGTACTGGAGGCTCCCATTGGGCAGGCTTCGTACGTGTGGAGCAGAGTTCAACCCATTCTAGCCAGACAGACAAGGGTGAAGACATTCATACATACATATAAGCACATGCACAGTGCCAGAATTAGGTCGGCCTTCTGTGGAAACACATTTCTAGCAATAGGACAGCTATCTATCCTTCCCTCTCTCCTTCCTTCTCTTCTTTCTTTCACCTCCCTCTCTGTCTCTCTCTATCCCTCCTCTTCATAGCTACTCACAGCAACATGCTGAGCAACATTATATCATACACACGATGGCACCTTTGCTTGCGACAACTTATATAAGTTCTACCGTGGATTTTGTGATTTATTTTCGCAGGTTTGTTCATACGATCGTGCTGGTCTTGGCTTCAGCGACAGAGCCTATCAGGTCAGTCTGAAGAGCCCACACGGTCTGATTCCGTGGTTTACCTGTAGTGTGCATGTCCAGAGCTCCGCATCTCTTTTCTCTTGGCATCACATATGGTCTATTGCTACATGTACATAGAACACCAGTAGGTATACTGAAGACTATGGCAATGCTACCAGAGATCGCGATAAGACGCATCCTTCTACAATAGAAAGGTTAGAATGTGTCTGTTAAAAAGGGGATCTATTCATGAGGCACAAGTGTTTGTTCTGTGTAGGATTCTAGCAAAAAGATGTGATACATTTACTCGGGGAATATAGTTAGCTGGTTGATGTAAATTATCATCAAGAAAGTTTAAACATGCCATTACTTTCTTTAGGATGGTTGAAGACATACACAAGCTATTGACAGTTGCCAGCAACCAGCCGAGGCCATTTATAATGGTCAGCTCTGACTTCACGACAATGATCTCAAGATTTTATGCACAACTCTATGAATAGTGAGCAGTATATAACAATATTCATTTTCATGGCACATGTTCATTAGTCCCAAATCTGGGGGAAATTACACGTATCTGTGAAAAATTTTAGTAGCCTATCCTTGAAAATTGTGCCACGAAAATTTGCCACTGTACATATACAGGCAGAATATCAAATGTTGTACATAGATATATGTATAGGTTTGTTAAGAGTGTGTTATTAACTGGAGCATGTAATTAACTCTACTCGCCCTCTTCTTTCTTATATCTTTCATGTATGTGTATGTATGTCACTCAGTGAGCTAGCAGGTCTTCTACTAATTGATCCGGCTCCTGAAACAATCTTTGACCCCAACACACCCTCCTCGCCCTCGCCACCAGGCACGGAAGACGAATACCTGGCAACCGAGACTCTGGATAACAATCCCTGGACCACTCACTGGTACAGAAAGACAGTGCCTCACCTCCAGAGTCTCCACATGTCTGGCTCACTGGGATTCAATAGACTTGGTCTAATGGCTGGTCTGATGGCACCTGTTGAGGTCCCTGAACTTAGTGGCGTTTTAACTGATGACATCATCGCAATAAAGGTGAGTAGCTGTCGTAATTCGATCATCACATTTGTATCATAATATTGCCTGTTGGTGTTTTTGTTCTGCAGAAGCACCTTCTATGTCAGCCGAAGCATCTGTCATCAGCATTTGATGAGTACTACTTTATGAATGAGAGTATATCTCAGCTAAAGTAAGGCTCTTTAAATTTAGCTTCCGTTACCTTCCTCCACACTACGTACATCAGAACTATGTTTCGGTTGAAGCCATTTCCTGATCTCTTGACTAACATTGCCACGTTTAAGAAACCCAGTGAGACACTCCCTCAAGAACTGACAAAGGTCGGATATCACTTAACTTTAATCCCATTTAAATACTGGCCTCTTCCGTTGAGCAGATATGGAGGAGGGAGCAGGAGAGGATGATAAAGCGGTTTCACCACGGGAGCTACAGAATATCTCTCCCTGGTTCAGACTACGTGAGTCTATACCAGCACCCCGGGGCAGTGGCACAGACCATCATGGACATGGTCAAAGATTGGAGACAATACTCGAGCGCTGCAGAATAGATCGTTATATAATTATAGGGTGTTGGTACGGAGTTTTATGTGAATCACAGTGACTTATTTCACAAAAAAGATCAAAAAGGGCAGCAATCAGTAATGAAATGCCATTGAATTTGGACCATTGTGGAGCTAACTATTTGGATATAATTATATTGTGTTGGGAGTAAGATATTGTCCAAAAAAATTAAATGCTACTGAAGGTTCTCTCATGAAAAAGCACAGCAGCCAGCAAAGTGATATTTGAATATGGTTGGAGAAATAGTCTATTCCTTCCACCTGTGGTTACAGTCTGGATTACAACACTTGTAGAAGATGGTCATTGGCTCGTCAGCTGAACGCGTCTGCATCTGAACAAAGTATGCTCTCGATTGTTCACACTTTGGACAAGTTTCTGTGGGGCAATACGAAAATGAAGGAAATGACAGTTAGTTTTCTAAAGAAATCTACCAAACCTTCCGTTGTGTCCACATTCTCCCATGCTGCCTGGCCCCCTAGCACGTCGTCGACCTCTTTCAACCTTGGAAACTGCACTGATGAAACCTAGTACGACAAGAATGGAGGCTAGGAGATAGAGAAACGGTGCTTGAAAAGTGGTAGTTACCTTTTCCGTGATGTTCTGGACATAGGGGCAGGTGTTGCAAGAAAACCTGAGGGTTGAAGGTCCCTCTTCCACCACCAGAAGGGTCCCGCACTGAGGACAAAAGAGATACATGTGGGTCCGTGGTGCACGTTGCCTGAGCTGTTTGGTTTAGCGCATGCGCGGATATAGGTGTAGATGGCTTTGTGTTCTGTTGTTGCTCGCGGCCTCGGCAGGGCCCAGATTGCTCCCCTGTTGGTCAGAAGAAACTTCAGCAGGTGGAACAGTCGATATGGCTGGCAGAGGGGCCGGTGGGGCGGTCAAACCAACTCGCGCCGTCCGAGCTCCTCACCGGACGTTCCTTTTGTCGTCACATCCCTCTCCCTCGGCTCCTTTTTCAGCAGTGGAGGTATACCTAACCGCTCTAATTCATGTACTGTTAGACCTCTGAACAAGAGACGTCGAAATTGTCCTTCTTTAGAACACTATAGAGAGACCTTAGCCACTCTAGTTTGTTTCTTTGCAGGAAAGAACAGTGCACAGAGTTCTTTATCCAAGCCGGCCTCTCTGCCGGATACAATGCCTGTTGAATTGAGTCGAGTGATGCTCCCAGACGACACGAACCCCATGGGAAACGTGCATGGTGGAACAATCCTCAAACTTATCGAGCACGCCGGCGTTATAGTGTCCACACGGCACTGCAACAGTGCCGGAGACCGCAGCAAAGGCCCGTTCATAACTGCACTGGCAAGAGTAGAGCACATGGATTTCTACCAGCCAATGTACGTGGGTGAAGTGGCGCAAGTACACGCTGCCGTGACGTACACTTCGCCCCACTCCTGTGAGGTGACAGCGGAGGTGTGGGCTGAAAACGTTCTCACTGGAGATCGAAGACGCACCAATCGAGCCATGCTGTGGTACGTGGCCTTCCCTACAAACGGCAACAGTGCGTTGAAACCTGTCGCTGTGCCCCAGTTAGAAGGGTTAACCGCAGGAGAGGCAAGCGAGGGTTTGAAAAGGTACAAGGCTCAAAAGGCCAGCAGAGCCTCAGCGAGCGATTCCATGCAGGGGCTGACCCATCCGAACATCTATCAACCCTTATCGGATGCTCCCGAACACACGGTCCAAAGTTCACAGACCACACTAGCAACCCTCGTTCTTCCTTCCGACTGTGTTAGAGGGAATTATCTAATGGGGGGTCCGCTCATGAAGATGATGGACAGTGCAGCAGGGATCTGTGCGGCACGGCACTCTCGCTCGCCCGTAGTGACGGCTTGCATCAATGCGATAGATTTCCACGGCCCTGTTCGAAACGGTGAGGCGATCTTTTGCACAGCAAGACTCGTCTTTTGCAGCGAGAAGTCGATGATGGTTGAGATCATTACTGAAGCTGAGGGCTTGGCATCAGGCAGTCGTAGGGTTGTAAATACAGCCTACTTTACATTTGTTTCCATCGGCTTCGACAGGAAGGCACACGAAGTACCTCCCCTGATTCTGACCAGTGATGAGGACCACCAACGATTTAAAGAAGGAAAAGCTCGCTATGAAGAGAGAAAGAAAGCAAGAATGTTAGAAAAATCCTCCAAAAAATAGAACTTTATATATATGTACCAATCATAATTTGATATTATATAATAGTTTCAGTGTGGTTTTCTGGCTTCATATCGTTTCTTTCCGTCTTCAAACCACTCTCTCAGAATCGGTTCTTAGCTGTAGAGGTGGGACAGTTATTGCCCTGAGGTCTTTGCCTATCGCGACGTATGTGAAGTAGGCAGTAGTAGTGACCCTTCGAGATCCAACCTTTAACCCTTCTGCCTCAGCTATCACCTCAATTTCCATAGACTTTCCACTGATGTAGGAGAGCCTTGCCGTCACAAACATGACTTCGCCGCACGTTATCGGGGAGTGAAAATCTATAGAATCGATGCAGGCAGTAACGCAGAGAGTACCGCAGTGACTGGCAGAGCATATCGAAGCCGCTTCGTCCATCTTTTTCATTAGCACGCCACCCATTAGGTGTCCAGTGACCGTGCAATCTGACGGCAGAACGATGTTTGCTAGAGTATTCTGCGACGCCAGTACAGTGTGTTTCTCAGGCTCATACTCGTTCCTGCTCGCATCGTGTCGGAAATCAAGCGGCTCTCCACTTGCTTCTGCTCGTGCCGTCTTCTGGGCTTCGTACCGGAGTCTCCCAGCCTCTAACTGCTTAGGTGTGAGCTCCGAAATTCGAGGTACGGGGACCACTCGAAGTTCCTTAGCTTCGTCCATTTGCTCCAGGGCTGGCGTGGTGACATACCACAGCGTGGCGGTGTTAGTGTGTCGACAATTCCCCCTGAGGACATTCTCGGCCCAAGCGTCTACAGTCACTTCCACAGAGTGTTTCGAGGTGTAGGTGATAGCGGCTTGTATCCGGCCCATTTCCCCAACAAACATCGGTCGATGAAAGTCCATGTGGTCAACACGAACAACAGCAGCAACAACTGGGGACTCGGGGTTTGTGTTTCTATTGCAGTGTCTGTTGGCCACCACCTCTCCTGCTTGCTCCATTAGCTGCAACATCACTCCCCCGTGTACGTTTCCATTTGGATTGGCATCGTCCAAACTCATCACTCTCGACAGCTCTATCGGTGTACTGGACGGCAGGACAGGTGTCGAAGGCTTTCCCAGAGACATCTCCGAACACTCTAAAACTGACAAAAGAACTGAGTTTATGCTCTAGAAAGGGATCAAGAGCTACCTTTCCTCAGGAATGAAGGGGAAGGAGGTCTGGGCACTGCAACTAGTGTTCTTTGCAATAGCAGTTGATTTCGGCATAATCCTGACCTGGTAGCTCTGAGAAACCCGCTGGAGCTGACGTACTTTCTCGAACCTCTGAAAAATGGAAGGGCCATGATATCTCCTCGAGCCTGGCGCTTAGTGGCATATCGCGCATGCGTAAACTTACTGAGTGCACTTCGACCTCATTTCGTTCAAGCAAGTTCAAAGGAGACTGCTCGACAAGTTGTTTTTGTTGCGATCGCTTGCTGGACTCCCTATTTCCTTCGTAGACTAGTGTAACATTGTTTTATATGTTGTGGAATATACAATTACTTTCGACGGTTAGCTGAACGGCTTTACCTAAGTTTGCACGTATATACGGTGTGGGGTGTGCTTTAATTGGAACGAGACGACACTGGGAATAAACGATCAAAGTGGATAATGGACGGAAACCTCCTGGACGCAGGGAATGGAGACGCCATAGCGAGAGACTGGGAGCTGCCAGAACTTCCTTCAGGTACGCCAGCCCCGGGCAAGTTTGTCACTCTAAATAATGCGCAGCAGCTAGCTAAAGTGACGTAATCTGAAACGTGTTCACCGTATTTGTGGTCTCAGGCTCTGCCTCCCTCATCTCCACTCCGTCCTTCCCGACCTCACAAGAGCTGGCCGAGATATTCGGAAACAGCGACGACGAAGATGACGATTTCCCCTTCCCTCCTCTCTCGGGTGGCCTCGCTGCTGTGGGCGGAGCTTCATCGGCCATGGCGCCGTCACTAGGAGGGCCACAGCAGGGTCAAGGTTCAGAGTCCCTCCTCTCTTCTCTGATGGGGCCAGAGACCAAGCAGCCTCCGTTACACGACGGAGTCTCGGAGCACTTACCAGTACCCTCTGCTATTCAGACGCCACCATCTGAGGAGAATAGAACTTCAACAACAAGTAGTGATACTAGTAAGAGCATTTCCTCTTCAATAGCTCCTTAACCGTATTAACTTTTACTGTTGGGTTTCTGTCATTCTGACCCCTTATTAAGTGCTATTTAACCCCATAGCCTTGGTATTTTTAAACATCCCCTTAGGTGGATATTGGCCCACTCATTTAGTGTTAAATTCAGTTCACACTAACAACAATTCATTCAGGTGCTCACCAAAGAAAGAGTCCACGTATCAGTTCACGTCTGTCAGACGTGAAGACAGACGACAAGATAAGAAAAGCCAAGCCTCCACCAGCCGAGATGAAAATTTCGGAAACACCAACATCCCCAGAGAAAGGTCTGTGTATTGTACAGTATATGAAAGAAACTACAGCTCTGAAGTAACTGATGCTGGAAACAACGTAGTTTTACGGTCTGAATGTAAAGCTATTATTTATATGCTAATGAGCTTGTAAAACAAGGAGTGAATAATCCGATAAAGGTATATACCAAAATTCACTATAATTCGCGAGCATTTTAGCCATAAAATATGGATGCCCATGCAATTGTGGTGAATCTTAATGGTAACCCGGAAGAAACAGTGACATGGTATGTTTCAAAGGGTTGAAGAAATCCCTTATGTGAAAGTGAAGGGCAAAGTCTAACAAATTGCCTCTTGCTATGTTTAATGCATATTTTAGGTGCACCACTGAAGTCTCCAGCCAGTGCTGCAGCTAATGCTAACAGCAAGGCTACCAAGCAGGAAAAGGAAGCACCGGCGATAGAGGAGGGAGAGAAGAAGGAGGAGGAGGGGGAGGAGGAGGAGCGGGGACAAGAGAGTGATGATGAAGAAGATGAAGACGAAGAGGGGGGATCGATATCGGACGATCCTGACCGGCTCTGGTGTGTCTGCAGAAAACCCCACAATGACCGGTATGTCAATCTTCTAACTCACAATCAAAGCCTTCTGAATCTTTAACGGTGCGGTTTGGAACCTCTTACAATGGACAAAGTAATATACTATCCAGTGCAAGTGTACAATAGATAGGTGACCGACTGCGGAAATTAGTTTCATCTTGTGGGGCAGAAATTGTATGAACTTAACTGTTGGCTGTCCCATGGCGTCCAAAGGGGTTTTAATGTTCCCTCTCGGACAGGTTCATGATATGTTGTGATGTGTGTGAAGAGTGGTTCCACGGAGACTGTGTGGGTATCTCAGTCAGCCAGGGAAGAAGGATGGAGCGGGCCGGCAAGGAATACATCTGCCCTGTCTGTACAGAGAGGACAAAACTCGAGAAGGAAATAAAATCAGCAAGCAGGTCAGTAGTGTCGAGTATCTTGTAAAGAGCCAAATGTCCATGGATCGGCAGTTTTGCAATAAAAAAATGACCATGTGCAGTGCTTTAGACAACAAATTTGCATTTTCATGATAGAAAATGAATATTTGGCATTTAAAGTATGTACTTCCCTTCTCCATGAAGATATTAGACCATGTGATGCCATGTACGTATATGTATTATTAAGAGCCTTTGAGAAGAAAATACAAATGTATGTACCTAAGACAAACTAACGACTGACTGTACAGGATGGCTCGCCAGGAAAAAAGGGAAGAAATGAGAGAAACACGGCAGAAATCTGCGACCGAAAAACATGGGAAGGTGAGAATTGATGATTAGATGAAATATCATTTGGTGTTTTGTAACTTTTCTGGTTGCTCTAAATTTGCAGGACTCTCATAGACGGAGGTCGTTAAGTGGTTCTCAATCGTCGTCGGGCGTGGCCAAAGAGGGCGGAGATAACTACGGGATAGACCTCCTGTTCCAGCCGGACAATGCTCCGCCCAGAACTCCGCCCACTTCCGGGACGCAGGATGGAGAGAGGAGAGGAAGAGTAAAGAGGCGGAAAAGATCCTTCTACAGGATAAAGGTTATTATTCCTACGAAAATTTCAGAGATGTTATATACGAGTAGAATTAAGTCAAAGTTGATCTTTTGTTGGCTGGGGGCCTATTTAATTTTTGACATCATTAGCACCTTCTACTATGGGGTGTGGGGTATGCCCCCAAGAAAAATATAATTGTGGCAGCCCATTGACCACTCTGTACTTTGCGGATTGGAGCGTTCTTTCTGACTTCTCATCTTCATCGATTGTTGTGTGGGTGTGGTGCAGGAGGAGTCCGATGCCGTGATGTGTATAGTCCCACAATGCTCCGCCCACACAACGTCGCCATCGCTATACTGCAGTGACGCATGCATCGAGACATACGCGGCAGACTCTCTCAGAGATCTCGCCAGTCGAGGGATAACCTTTGAGACTGACCCCTCGGAGTTCGTTCGGGGGTCAAAGGGCATCTCGATGGTCGACAAGGCAACGGGGAAGACAGTGATTGGTATCCAGGCGCCCACGGACAAGACACTGGTCTCCTGGTTGAAGCAGCACCCGTCTTACCAGGTTCTTCTGCCCTCTGGAAAACACGGAAGAGGTACGATTAATTATACCAATTGCAGACGTGCACACACTACATATAAGAAATATGTTTATTGGCAAAAAGAAACATTCATAATCCTGATTTTGTGAAAGGTCGTGGATTTCTGATTCCATAATTTAACGCTACGTGATTTGCAGACGGCTTGTTTCGTGAAAAGTTGTTTCCTTTGAAATGTTCCTCGTTCTGCTCTATGTAGATTTGGGCTCTCGTGTAAGGCCAAAAAGACTCAAGCAGGAGAGCGAGAAGGGAGGAGGGCAGGAGGGAATGAGGTCGGAAGACAGCCCCAGCAAACCACGTTCCCTCAACGATCCCGAGACCGTCAGAATGAACGCCAAGAAAGCTCTCCACCAGACCCTATGGAAGAGGTCTGTCACACATTGTATGGGTACAAATCCCAACCCACCCGATTGCGTAGTGTATGGCGACTGACGTAGTTTCATTTACGTCTGAAAAAATATATAAGCTTCTAGCTTCTAGTGCCTGCTGATGCAAAAAAAGATCACTTAGCTGCAAGAGCTATGAATATACATTTCCTCCTATTTTTTCATGGCCTCAACCCTTTGGACGCCATGGGTATTTCCTTATATGCCCGTGGCTTGCTAAGGGTTAAGCACGCATGAGCAAAGTTCATCGTGTGATATCACATGTAAGCAATGTGCACAAAAGCAGTTTCGTTGCTACTCAATCAATCCTCACACAGGAAAGAGGCTGTTGATGATGTCGCAGTGGCTCAAGAGCGGGTTGAGAAGATAGCCAATCAGATTGAGGTAAAACTGTTCAATCTCCACGGCGACATCAACACCAAGTACAAGACGAAGTACAGGAGTCTGCTTTTTAACCTCAAAGACACAAAGAACCAGGTATATACTGTTTAATGTTTTTGAAGGCACTGAATTTTCATTGTATGATACTTTCTAAAGCTTTCATCATACTCCAAAACACCTGTGCCTTCAGTTGTGTTGTGATATGTTTTCATGCAGGGCCTGTTTCGGAAGGTCTGTCTTGGTCAGATATCACCCTCGGAGCTGGTGAAAATGAAATCAGAGCAGTATGCCTCAGATGAGCTGGCAGAATGGAGGGAAAAGACATTGAAAAAGGTTCAGTTTTGCTTTTTTAGCTTACCAACCATGGTGTAGCTACTGTATCTCTTTATTTGGTGGGTATATTTTGTTAATGTGTAACACTTAAGGGAATGTGTCAGTATATACATAAAGGCTAAAGGCTTTAAAAGGGACCAGCGAAAGAATTTCCATTTTTTTTATTTTAGTAACAGTATCTAAATTTAGCCCTTATATACTGCCGCATTCCACCTTAGGCCACCAACTAACTCGAAAAGAATAATACACTCAAATAATATTCATCTTAATAAAAGTGATTTCAAATTTAATATTTCTGGTCAAATGTGCATTTTGGTCTATGTACTCGTGTTCCCTCGTGTGCTGTGCTGTAATAGGATCTGGATAAGATAGTGGAGAGAGAAGAGGAGGAAGGGAGCAACAAGAAGGTCATCAGGAAGATCACCTACAAGGGAGAAGAGGAGATAGAGGCAGAGAAGATAGAAGCCATTGAGGTAAACCGATATCCTTACAAAAAACCAGGAAACACTGACCCAGTTAGGCCCCTGAATTAAGACTTGTAAATAGATATGTCTAGTGGGGACTTGTACATTAGTTGGGACTTGTAAATAGATGTCCAGTGGGGCCAAGAGTTCTGTAATAGATCTAAGCCTAATGAAAAGCTTGTAGATCTAAGGCTTGTTCCCTGGAGGCCAGAGGAGGCATCCCTGACTTCAAACTAGCCAATTTCCTGCCCATGTTTATGGAGCTTCTGTTGTGGTGTGAAACTGTCACCCTATACCCCATATTATATAACAACTGCTGGAGATACATAGGATAAAGTGTCACGCTTGTCGACGTGCTCCATGAAAATCTGAGAGAGCATCAGTTTCTAGCTCTGCATCCTTCCTTCATAGCTAACCCCTCTACCTTATCCTACCCTACAGTACTTTGTCTGTACACTACTCTACCGACACCTGCACTCCCTTCTCTACTACTCTACCCTACTATACTCTAACTAGTCTCTCTCAATTTCTATGGTCGTCTGTGCAGACGATAGCTCCACCACCTGAAGAGGTTGCTGTCACACCTTCCACTCCACTCACACCCACTTCTGCTACTAAGGTCCCCGTCCAATCCACGGATGGGACAAAGGCATCGGACAGTGGGACAAGTACAAGTGGAAAGCAGGACGCACCCAAGTCTAAACCGACAACTGCTACAAAACAAGATGCGTCGAAAGCGAAACTGAGCAAAGACAAACCGAAATCTGCCAGTGCGAGCAAAAGCGAACCCAATACCAAGCCTGATTCAAAACCCGCAGTGGGAAAGGAGACAGACGCTACAGAAGAGAAGCCAAGAGGAGGTGTTTTGGATCTTCTAACTGACACAACTGCTGAACATGAGAAGCACATTTACCATCCTCAGTGCCAGGTGTGCTTGGGAAAGAAGTCTCCTCCGGCTCAAACCGACACCTCTCGAGATGAAGAGTATGTTGCTTACTAGTTCCTTCACTGGTATATACATTCTTACGTCAGTGGTAGGTCAAACTACTATACTACTCTGGTTTCTGCTGCAAAGACAGTGAAAATATAATATACAAACTGTCTAATAAGCTAAAGATTAGTGCCATAGTGATCTCCGATGATGTGCCCATCCAGTGAGGCAAGCAGATTCTTGAATTTTGCATCACAAACGGGTTTTAAATACAGTTGTCCTGTTGCATTGAGTTTTAAGATGTGTTGCACTTTTTCCCAGTGGTGCACATGCTTCAGGTACAGATGTGGAAGAAATGCAGACAGAGAGGTATAGCTATACAGTATGCTTCTGTGTGAAGAAATGCCTGATTTATCGTTCCATTTCTCTGTATATTCAGTCTCCCCCCAGCAATTCCTCTCTTGTGGGAGGGACTAGTTGATATGCCTGGTACTGTTGCCTTCACCTCATCTGCCTACCCTGTGTCCGGAAGTTTTGACTACGTCACCACAGTAAGACCTCGTCGTGCATGAAATTCTGTTTTAGATAACCAACGGTAAACCCGATATACTCTTCTTACGCACAGCATCGCATCGCGCATTGCAGTGTGCTTTGATAAAACATTTTACGAATATAATGGTACATAAGTGTATACAGTGCAGGGTAGCACACATATTGTTTATTGTGTGTCCATGTGTGGAAGTTAGAAATGTTTATGTCCACTTAGGGAAACGTTTAATGAGGGTTTAAGGTTGCTGGTTATTTCGTCCGCGTTGTCGCCCACTTCTTCCAGGGTTTTTTGGTGACGATTCAGAAGAACGTGATCTTGTGCGTGGAGGTACTCCATGAAAGGTGCCTAGTGCAGGACGAGTGCTTTCCTCATCGTCGTCAGTTTTTTCATCTTCCACCTTATCGACAGAGTCCTTTTCTGCTGAGCCTCCATCTCCAGAGCCTGAACTAGGCTTGTCCTCGCTTGCTTTTTCCCCAGACGCTTTATCATCTCCTGCTTCTGTTTGTTCCATGTATATATGGGATATCAAGCAACTGGTGTTAACAAATATTATTATAATAGAGTGTTGGGATTGTTTTTATTGGCTCTGTTAATACAACGACTGCAAAGAGTAAGTCACAGTTACTCTTTTGATGCCCACAAATTTTTCCTTGTTTCTTGGTATATATAAGAATGATGACACGGTCGCATAATTACATACGGTAAGTATAGAAAATGTGCGTGTAACCAATAATAGGCTCTTGGTGAGTGACACGTAAGGTAATGATTAATGTTTGCATTAGTGTACCATCAATTTGAGGGAAGCAGGGTGGTAGGCGCAGATGTGGGGGGATGCGAAATTGTTCCTCCCTATCACTGTCAATCGGACTTTCATCAAGGGGCGGGCAAGGAGGCAGAGGATGAATAGGTAATGGTGGATGAATAGGAACACCAGGGCGTGGGCGTGGCGGGCTTGGTGGGCGTGGCAGGGGACGCCCATTGATGTTCTGTGTGGGAGGAAATGGGAAAGGTGTAATATGAAGGATGAAGAGTTTATGAGCATGTGGGCCCCGATACGTAAAGCTTACAAGAAACTCGAATTTAACATGAATGCACCATAACAACTTGCGCCACATTCCGGTATATTATACATATTATTGCAGCACTGTATTCTGCGCCCCTTCTACAGTATACCTTACCAGTCTCACTGCTTCAACTTGCAGTAGTAGTGAGCTCCCCACAAGAACCACTAGTACAGAGACTGCTAGTTTCATCTCACCGCCTTGTCCACGGTCCAAGCACTGCAATGAATTCTCAATTTTCTCTAATTGAGGCGTTTTCGAAAAGATGTGCGCATATATACTGTCGGCTGGAGTAGGCTTAGAAGTGAACCCTGGCCTTCCTTGGATGTGTATATTGTCTTTGAAGTGTCAGCACTAGAATGATGAGTCATGCAGGCATTGTCTTCATATGGCCAAATACTCCACTAGTGAACTAAACCTAGTAACCTCCAACTTGCACTGTCACAATATTCATCATAGTCAGTTGTGCACATTATAAAAGATATTTTTTACATTTCAACAGCGTTTATGGTTTGTTTAGCAGTCACACTATAATATTCCAGTATTTGTTGAGAGATAACCCCCACCCAATAGTATCATCGCCTGATTCTTTCATACCTACCAGTCTTACTGCTCCAGCTTACATTAGTAGTGAACAGCCCGCTACTAGACACACTGCCAGCCTCAATTCGCCAACCTCTCTACAAGGCACATGTTTTGCTCACATAAAAACCAGTAATGCCCATTTAAGGTTGTGTTTATTGGTTTGATGAAACCTATAGGGTCAGTGACTCAGTGCTAGAGTGATGGATGAGTCATGCTTCAATCACATTGCCTTCGTATGGCCAAGTCGCTATGAAAACTAAGGCATATGCATATGATAGCAAGGTGTGGAAAGATAAAAGGTCAGATATTGCCTCCCTTGAAAAGGACGAGAATAGGGTTGCCAAAAATGGTTGGGTGGCTGAGTGAGATTCCACATTGTCTGCTGGGAGTGTTGGACTGCTTTGCCAAACCTGGTTGGCTTATGTTGTGGGGAGGTTCTGTGGTTCTGTGAGAGTAGTGGAAGTTGTTCCAGTGCATCATGTACATAGCATCTTGTGGTTTGTTGCAGTAGCTGAAAAAAATGAGAAACTAGCTAATGCGTCTACAATGGTCACGTGTGTTTGAGTATCCACGTGGGGGCATTCTACTAGAGAGGTAGAGCCTAGCCTGTCTGTACACATTGATTCACTGTGTGCACTGGGACAGTCCAAGTTTGGTCACAACTCACAGACTTGTGACACCAGCAATTCAATGGACACTTGAACCAGTAGCGCATATTCATAGCGGATTTATAGGAATGGTTTCTGTCCTCTGTCTCACCCACATGTCAGTTTTGAGAGGAAGGGAAGAAGTGCATCAAGGGTAGAATGATCTCAGTTGTTGTGCTCATCACATGAGCACGAGGTTATGTGTCTTACCTTCCCAGGCCATCTTGGAGAATTGTGGAGGTTTCTTACCAGCCTCTGTCACTGCACACATGTAGTAATTTCACACCATCGTGGAGATTACACACTTCTTTTATAAGGTAGGAACTATTGAAAACAAGAGGAGGTTGAAATGCTCCGCTCACCCAAAGAAGGCTAAGCATTAACACAACAATTATTGCTAATGTACTGAAGAGCTATTCTCTACGCTCGGGCTATTCTCTACGCTCAGGTGTGTTTGCACTTGCACGTGCGTGCATGCTATTCTCTACGCTCAGGTGTGTGAGCGTGCGTGCGTGCATGCTGCACCGATGTATAATCGGCTGCTGCTTTGTAATAGCAGTTCTCCATTGATACTATTGTAAGTCGTGAGACACATGTATTCATGGTTTTGACAATAAGATTCCATCCTCACACGTCCCACATACTTGTTGTGAGAAAATGGCAAGAAGTGCATCAAGTGATGAATGACCTAAGTTCTGCTTGATAGCAGCAGGTTCGTGACTGGGTCGAGGGAGATGGTGGGGGTGTTTTCTCAGGTGAGTTTTGTTAGACTTATCATTCCTGGACCGTAATGCTGGGGAGGTTTGCACAAGGCCTTGGTTGCTCTGGAACCTCAGGTTTCCATGTGAGGCTCTGAAGGGATGTGTTAGGTAATCTGTTGTTTCCAAAACAGGAAGAAGTGGGTGGATGGTAATAGAATCCCTGGAGTTTGTTTTGAATGATGTGGTTAGAATGGATCAAAGAACTTATTCTAAATCGTGGGCCTCGTGTGGCCTGTGCGGTATGCTTGCCAGTATAAAGCAGCACGCTGGGTAAGGCTGTCAGAACCAGCAAAAGAGTAGCTAATCTACACCAAAAGGAAGAGATTTCACCAAAAGATGAGGCTCTTGACAATTCTGCTCTTAGGTCTGGCAACTCTCTATTTGCTAACCACTGAGGTGGAAGCAAAGAGGGGAAGCAAGAGCAGGAGTGACTCGGAAGATGATGAATCTTCGGAAGATGAGGAATCTTCGGGGGATGAGGAATCTTCGGGAGACGAAAATGACGGGGACAGATCGAATGGGAGGACCAACGGGCGACCAAACGAAGAGGAAAGGTCAAATTCAAATTCAAGGTCGAATGAGATTGGCAGCGGGTCAGAGAGCGGATATGGAAGGCCTCGTCCCGAAAGTAATCAAGGGGGAAGGTCAAGGTCATCCCGTCCAGGCAGGCGTCCTCAGTGAGCAGCTAAAGCTCTACCACTCTACGGACTCTAGTTTTATAGTGCATGCTTGTACTGAGTAACTGTTGTAGATGTTTGGCAATTGAAGTAATAGCCCCTTTACTTTGCTACTTTGTCGCTTTCATGATTGGTGTAATCGTGCAAACCTAAACATTCTGTTCATTAAGAGCGGTTGTACCGATATGCTCGCGTGCGGGCGCTGGAGCAGTGACGTGCTGATACACCTAGTGCTTGGATCGAAGATTCGCGATAGCAAAAAAACATACTGGAGAGTAGGCACGTGCGTCAACTCTTATCTCCAAGCACCAGAGAACATATCATTTATCAGTGCATACAAAAGCAGGCTGGGTATATCTAAAGCATGCCACCTGTGAAAGAGTAGCACAAGATAGAGGTCGTATTTTTATCATGAGACATCCTCTTAGCTCGCAATGACCAGCAGTGGTAGATCAGAAGTTCCACTGTTGTTGAGAATTATGCCAAGTTTTCAATGAATGCCTACTACCAGTCTCTGCAACTTTATACCCATCATGGACATTGACAAGATACATTCCCAACTCCAGCAGTCGTTATGTGCCCCAATTGCAGTACGTCAAGTGGGGCGTAAATGATCACATGCCAATGGGAAGGATCTAGGATGTCTTTTATACAAGTAGGTTGTTTCTTGATAATGCTAGCCAACTTGGCTCCACTTGTGCTTCTTGGTGGAAAGTTCATCTCTTGTGACATGCTTGTGTTTGCTCGCGAACATCTATCATACAATGCACAAGCCTTCAAAGGGTGTTTCTTGTGTGTTACTAACATAGTATTTGCATCATGTACGCGTTAGCATGATGGCAGAGCACATATATAGAAATGCAAGGTCAACTTATCACCTGTTTTTTTTTCTTCAGTGGAATATGGTTAAAAAGTTTACAAATGCATAGAGCAATAACATTTGCTCCAGACTACAGTCTTTACAATTCATGGCCCGAGAAAGAACCAAAATATTTTGGTTCCTAACTATGCTACACCTCGATAAGGTGTGTGGATGACTGGCAACATAGTGTTTGCTGTGCTTTGTCTCACAATCATGAATTTGCGGCTTATTAACCCTCGGCGCGCATGCGCAGCGAGGGTTCTGCGTTGCATCTTCTCGTGCCTCCGAGGTACGCGCAGAGCACACGGATCGATCAGACCGCGGTAAGCCTTCCCGTCCGTTGCGTATTTTACATATTGGCTTTTTCGCGCTCTAGCTCTGCAACGGAGCATTTTCAGAGAAAACCCCACATATTTTCTGACGTTGACCAGTTGGGCGATCTCCTCCAGTTGGTTGACCAGTTGGGCGATCTCCTCCAGTTGGACTACCAGTTGGGCGATCTCCTCCAGTTGGTTGGACCAGTGGGTCTGTCTGTTTGTCTGTTAGTCTACATCTAACTCCTCGAACGTCTGTTCGTCCCAGAAACGATACCATCTACCCAACGGGCGACAAAGGTCAGAAAATATGTGGGGTTTTCTCTGAAAATGCTCCGTTGCAGAGCTAGAGCACGAAAAAGCCAATATGTAAAATACGCAACGGACGGGAAGGCTTACCGCGGTCTGATCGATCCGCGTGCTCTGCGTACCTCGGAGGCACCAGAAGATGCAACGCAGGGCGTGTATCGCCTATCTAGTAGCCGCGTCAGACTCTACGCGAGCTGACAAACTAAACCCAGCCCATCGATTAGTGATACAGCGCATGCGTTTACTCACGCGTGCGCGTCACAATGCGCCGAGGGTTTGCACTTCAGTGCTTTTCATTGTAACATAAGGAGCGACATGTGATAGAACAGTAATAGAGTCTCTCTATATGTATATCCTATAGTAGGAGGTGGTTTCGTAGAGTCACCCAAATATTTCAGTTTTACATACTCATCGCAAAAGAGACCACGGGTAACAGCTAAACCCAGCCCATCAATTAGTGGTACGGCGCATGCGTTAACTTACGCGTGCGCGTCACAGTGCGCCGAGGGTTTGCACTTCAGTGCTTTTCATAAGGAGCAACATGTGATAGAACAGTAATAGAGTCTCTCTATATGTATCCTATAGTAGGAGGTGGTTTCGTAGAGTCACCCAAATATTTCAGTTCTACATACTCATCGCAAAAGACACTTAGTGGTATTATTTCAATTCTCATTTATACAATTCATGGCCCAAATAGACAACAAGTTTTTATTTCCTAGCTAAATTTTAGTTGAGGCCTAATAGTCAAATTGTCTTGTTTCACCCACTTCTGCCAGTTGGGATGTTAGTTGGGCCACTTGGTTGTCCAGTTGGTTGACCAGTTGGGCGATCTCCTCCAGTTGGACTACCAGTTGGGCGATCTCCTCCAGTTGGTTGACCAGCTGGGCGATCTCTTCCAGTTGGACGACGAGTTGGGCGATCTCCTCCAGTTGGTCGACCAGTTGGGCGATCTCCTCCAGTTGGTTGACCAGTTGGGCGATCTCCTCCAGTTGGTCGACCAGTTGGGCGATCTCCTCCAGTTGGTTGACCAGTTGGGCGATCTCCTCCAGTTGGTCGACCAGTTGGGCGATCTCCTCCAGTTGGTTGACCAGTTGGGCGATCTCCTCCAGTTGGACTACCAGTTGGGCGATCTCCTCCAGTTGGTTGACCAGTTGGGCGATCTCCTCCAGTTGGACGACCAGTTGGGCGATCTCCTCCAGTTGGTTGACCAGTTGGGCGATCTCCTCCAGTTGGTTGACCAGTTGGACGATCTCCTCCAGTTGGACGACGAGTTGGGCGATCTCCTCCAGTTGGTTGACCAGTTGGGCGATCTCCTCCAGTTGGTTGACCAGTTGGGCGATCTCCAGTTGGTTGACCAGTTGGGCGATCTCCTCCAGTTGGACGACGAGTTGGGCGATCTCCTCCTGGAAATTGACCTGTTGGGCGACCAGAAATAGGAGGAAAACCACCGAAATCAAAGTCACCAGATGCTCCAGGCCCACCAGGACGAGGGCGTTGTGGGCAGTGCAGGAAGGGACGGCGGAGGTGGTTTATACGATGCAGACGGTGCGGCAGGCGGTGGTGGAACCCATTTGGTCCTGGAACGTCAGGTAAATCGGACACCCCACAACCTGACAATTCGCCTTCATCACGGAAACTTCCCCCAGAACCAGAAATTTCATCAACTCCATGCCGGCGGAAGTGGAAGTGGCAAGGAGGCGGGCGTCTGTCATCGTATCCCTCGAAATCTGGGGGTCCTCCGGATCCTTGGAATCCTGGAAATTGCATTGCCCCTTGGTTTCCTGGGCGCTGCATTGGTCCTTGGTTTCCTTGAAGATCTCCTGGGCGCCTATCATTACCCCCTTGGTTTCCCGGGCGTTGCGCGTTTCCTCCAGGTCTTTGGTTTCCTGGGCGTCTGTCATTGCCCCCTTGGTTTCCTTGACGATCTCCTGGGCGTTGTATGTTTCCTCCGGGTCCTTGGTTTCCTGGGCGCCTATTATTGTATCCTCCAGACTGTTGGTGACTGAACTAGGCTTGTCCTCGCTTGCTTGTCCTCGCTTGCTTTCTCCCCAGACGCTTTATCATCTCCTGCTTCTGTTTGTTCCATGTATATATGGGCAACTGGTGTTAACAAGGATTATTATAGTAGAGTGTTGGGATTGTTTTTATTGGCTCTGTTAATGCGTCACAGTTACTTTTTTGATGGCCACAAATTTTTCCTTGTTTCTTGGTATAAGAATGATGACACAGTTGCATAATTACATACATACAGTAAGTATAGAAAATGTGCGTGTAACCAATAATAGGCTCTTGGTGAGTGACACGTAAGGTAATGATCAATGTTTGCATTAATATGTGTTTAGTGTACCATCAATTCGAGGGGAGCAGGGTGGTAGGCGCAGATGTGGGGGGATGCGAAATTGTTCCTCCCTATCGCTGTCAATCGGACTTTCATCAAGGGGCGGGCAAGGAGGCAGAGGATGAATAGATAATGGTGGATGAATAGGAACACCAGGGCATGGGCTTGGCGGGCGTGGCAAGGGACGACCATTGATGTTCTGTGTGGGAGGAAATGGGAAAGGTGTAATATGAAAGATGAAGAGTTTATGAGCATGTGGGCCCCGATACGTAAAGCTTACAAGAAACTCGAACTTCATTCTAACATGAATGCACCATAACAACGTGCGCCACATTCCGGTATATTATAGCATATTATTGCAGCACTGTATTCTGCGCCCCTTCTACAGTATACCTTACCAGTCTCACTGCTTCAACTTGCTGTAGTAGTGAGCTCCCCACAAGAACCACTAGTACAGAGACTGCTAGTTTCATCTCACCGCCTTGTCCACGGTCCAAGCACTGCAATGAATTTTTGTATTTTCTCTAATTGAGGCGTTTTCGATAAGATGTGCGCATATATACTGTCGGCTGGAGTAGGCTTAGAAGTGAACCCTGGCCTTCCTTGGATGTGTATATTGTCTTTGAAGTGTCAGCACTAGAATGAGTCATGCATGCATTGTCTTCATATGGCCAAATACTCCACTAGTGAACTAAACCCTAGTAACCTCCAACTTGCACTGTCACAATATTCATCATACTCAGTTGTGCACATTATAAAAGATATTTTTATGTACATACATTTCAACAGCGTTTATGGTGTGTTTAGCAGTCACACTATATATATATTTGTTGAGAGATAACCCCCACCCAACAGTATCATCGCCTGATTCTTTCATACCTACCAGTCTTACTGCTCCAGCTTACATTTGTAGTGAAAAGCCCGCTATAAGTTCTACTAGACACGCCGCTAGCCTCAATTCGCCAACCTCTCTACAAGGCACATGTTTTGCTCACATAAATACCTAGCTTGGGGGGCCAGATATAAACCAGTAATGCCCATTTAAGGTTGTTTATTGGTTTGATGAAACCTATAGGGTCAGTGACTCAGTGCTAGAATGGTGGATGAGTCATGCTTCAATCACATTGCCTTCATATGGCCAAGACGCTATTAAAACTAAGGCATATGCATAATTATTATAGCAAGATGTGGAAAGATAAAAGGTCAGATATTGCCTCCCTTGAAAAGGAAGAGAATAGGGTTGCCAAAAATGGTTGGGTGGCTGAGTGAGATTCCACATTGTCTGCTGGGAGTGTTGGACTGCTTTGCCAAACCGTGGTTGACTTATGTTGTGGGGAGGTTCTGTGAGAGTGGTTCCAGTGCACCATCTTGTGGGTAAGACACTGTACATAGTATCTTGTGGTTTGTTGCTGTGGCTGAAAAATGAGAAACACTAGCTAATGGGTCTACAATGGTCACTTGTGTTTGAGTATCCAGTGGGGACATTCTGCTAGCTAGAGAGGGAGAGCCTGGCCTGTCTGTACACATTGATTCATTGTGTGCACTGGGACACACAGACTTGTGACACAAGCAATTCAATGGACACTTGAACCAGTAGTGTATATTCATGGTAAATTTATATGAATGGTTTCTGTCCTCTGTCTCACCCACGTGTCAGTTTTGAGAGGAAGGGAAGAAGTGCATCAAGGGTAGAATGATCTCAGTTGTTGTGCTCATCACATGAGCATGAGGTTATGTGTCTTACCTTCCCAGGCCATCTTGGAGAATTGTGGAGGTTTCTTACCAGCCTCTGTCACTGCACACATGTAGTAATTTCACACCATCGTGGAGATTACACACTTCTTTTATAAGGTAGAAACAAGAGGAGGTTGAAATGCTCCGCTCGCCCAAAGAAGGCTAAGCATTAACATTGCTAATGTGCTGAAGAGCTATTCTCTACGCTCGGGCTATTCTCTACGCTCAGGCGTGTTTGCACTTGCACGTGCGTGCATGCTATTCTCTACGCTCAGGTGTGTGAGCGTGCGTGCGTGCATGCTGCACCGGTGTCTAATCGACTGCTGCTTTGTAATAGCAGTTATATCCATTGATACTATTGTGAGTCGTGAGACACATGTATTCATGGTTTTGACAATTGGATTTCATCCTCAAGTGCTAGTTGTGAGAAAATGGCAAGAAGTGCATCAAGTGATGAATGACCTAAGTTCTGCTTGATAGCAACAGGTTGTCACTGGGTCCTTGAGGGGGTGGTGGGGGTGGTGGGCTCAGGTGATTATTGTTACACTTACCATTCATGGACAAGTCAGAGTAATGCTAGGGAGGTTTGCACAAGGCCTTGGTTGCTCTGGAACATCAGATTTCCATGTGAGGCTCTGAAGGGACGTGTTAGGTAATCTAAAAAGGGAGGAAGAAGTGGGTGGGTGGTGATAGAATCCCTGGAGTTTGTTTTGACAGATGTGGGTGGAATGGATCATTCTATTTATGGAGTGTTATTAAATCATGGGCCTGACATGTGGGCTGTGCGGTATGCTTGGCCCAGTATAAAAGCAGCACGCTGGGTAAGACTGTCAGAACCAGCAAAAGAGTAGCTAATCTACACCAAAAGGAAGAGATTTCACCAAAAGATGAAGCTCTGGACAATTCTGCTCTTGGGTCTTGCAACTCTCTATTTGCTAACCACTGAGGTGGAAGCAAAGAGGGGAAGCAAGAGCAAGAGCGACTCGAACGATGAGGAATCTTCTCCAGAGTCAGTAGACACCGTAGACGAAGAAGAAGATACGCCGGTAGATGTGGAGGAGGGAGAGCAGGATCCTGCAAATGCTGTGGTAGAAGATGAAAATGACGGGGACAGATCGAATGGGAGGACCAACGGGCGACCAAATGGGCCCCCAAACGAAGAAGAAAGGTCAAGGTCAAGGTCGAAGGCCAGCGGGTCAGGAGAAGAGAGCGGATCTGGCTCAGGAGAGGAAAAATCTAAACCTCGGCCATCTTCTCCCCGCCCCGGAAGGCCCCGTCCTGGAAATAATCAAGGGGGAAGGCCAAGGCCAAGGCCTCAAGGCAGGCCAAGGCTATCTCCTCCAGGCAGGCGTCCTCCTCAGTAAACAGCTAAAGCTCTACCAGTACATATATAGACTCTAGAGACTCCTAGTTTTACAGTGCATGCTTGTACTGAGTAACTGTTGAGATGTTTGGCAATTGAAGTAATACCCCTTTACTTTGCTACTTTTGTCGCTTTCATGATTGGTGTAATCGTGCAAACCTAAACATTCTGTTCATTAAGAGCAGTTGTACCGATATGCTCGCGCGCGGGCGCTGGAGCAGTGACGCTCTGATACACCTAGTGCTTAGATCGAAGATTCATGATAGCAAAAAAAACCTACTGGAAAGTAGGCGCATGCGCCAACTCTCCCTCCAAGCACCAGAGAACATATCATTTATCAGTGCATACAAAAGCAGGCTGGGTATATCTAAAGCATGCCACCCGTGAAATAGTAGCACAAGATAGAGGTTGTATTTTTACCATGAGACATCCTCTTAGCTCGCAATGCAGAGTTAAGACCTGCAGCGGTAGATCAGAAGTTCCACTGTTGTTGAATGCCTACTACCCGTCTCTGCAGCTTTATACCCATCATGGACATTGACAAAATACATTCCCAACTCCAGCAGTCGTTATGTGCCCCAATTGCAGTACGTTAAGTGGGGCGTAAATGATCACATGCCAATGGGAAGGATCTAGGATGTCTTTTATACAAGTAGGTTGTTTCTTGATAATGCTAGCCAACTTGGCTCCACTTGTGCTTCTTGGTGGAAAGTTCATCTCTTGTGACATGCTTGTGCTTGCTCGCGAACATCTATCATACAATGCACAAGCCTTCAAAGGCTTGTGTGTTACTAACATAGTATTTGCTTATCCTGTACGCGTTAGCATGATGGCAGAGCAAATATATAGCAATGGAAGATCAACTTATAACCTCTCTGTTTTTTTTCAGTGGAATTATGGTTAAAAAGTTTACAAATGCATAGAGCAATAACATTTGCTCCAGACTACAGTCTTTACAATTCATGGCCCGAGAAAGAACCAAAATATTTTGGTTCCTAACTATGCTACACCTCGATAAGGTGTGTGGATGACTGGCAACATAGTGTTTGCTGTGCTTTGTCTCACAATCATGAATTTGCGGCTTATTGTAACATAAGGAGAGACGTCGACATGTAATAGAACAGTAAAATAGCCTCTCTATATAGTAGGAGGTGGTTCATAGTCACCCAAATAAAATGATCTTTTCACAGTTTAACATGCTCCTTGCAAAAGACACATTAGTGGTCAATTCTCATTTATACAATTCATGGCCCAAATAGACAACAAAAATTTTTTGGTTTCCTAGCTAAATTTTAGTTCAGGGCCTAATAGTCAAATTCTCTGTTTTCTCTCCGCTTCACCCACTTCTGCCAGTTGGGATGTTAGTTGGACGACTGGCATCACCAGTTGGTTTGCCTGTTGGGTGACTTGCTTGTCCAGTTGGTTGACCAGTTGGGCGATCTCATCCAGTTGGTTGACCAGTTGGGCGATCTCCAGTTGGTTGACCAGTTGGGCGATCTCCTCCAGTTGGACTACCAGTTGGGCGATCTCCTCCAGTTGGTTGACCAGTTGGGCGATCTCCAGTTGGTTGACCAGTTGGGCGATCTCCTCCAGTTGGTTGACCAGTTGGGCGATCTCCTCCATTTGGACTACCAGTTGGGCGATCTCCTCCAGTTGGACGACGAGTTGGGCGATCTCCCCCAGTTGGTTGACCAGTTGGGCGATCTCCTCCAGTTGGTTGACCAGTTGGGCGATCTCCTCCAGTTGGTTGACCAGTTGGGCGATCTCCTCCAGTTGGTTGACCAGTTGGGCGATCTCCAGTTGGTTGACCAGTTGGGCGATCTCCTCCAGTTGGACTACCAGTTGGGAAATTTCCTCCTGGAAATTGACCTGTTGGGCGACCAGAAATAGGAGGAAAACCACCGAAATCAAAGTCACCAGATGCTCCAGGCCCACCAGGACGAGGGCGTTGTGGGGAGTGCAGGAAGGGACGGCGGAGGTGGTTTATACGATGCAGACGGTGCGACAGGTAGCCGTGGAACCCATTTGGTCCTGGAACGTCAGGTAAATCGGATACCCCAAAACCTGACAATTCGTCTTCGTCACGGAAACTTTCCCCAGAACCAGAAATTTCATCAACTCCAGGCCGGCGGAAGTGGAAG